CATATAACTATAATGTTTGGTGTCTTTTTGTTCTTCGTTTGATTTATTTTCCTCAGGTTTATATTGATTACCACTGAATAATGAATGATGTCAATTTTATTATTAGTTTTTCAGTAGTAGTCATCACTTATTAATTTGTAAACACTTTTTTTAATTAAACATATAACTGTAAATCTTTGCTATTATATATAATATAATATATTGCTAATGCAACAAAATAAATCCGACAGTCTGTTTAAACGTTAGTAATTGTCATCGTGAGTGTAAAACAATTCTTAATTAGATGAGTTGCATCTTGAGTTTAGACCAATATGAAAATCCCGGTGGCCTTAAGCTGATAATTACACTAGTCTATAGGGATGTTGTGTGTAATGGTTGCTTATAACTTATAAGTTATAACCATAGGACCAGTTCCATAATCTATAGGAGATGAACCCTTTGTTGTAAATTTGAGGATTCCGCCATTTTAAAAAAAAGTAGGATCACTTTTATAAACAAAGTGACGTTTTTGCAAATCGAGCATTAGAGTTAATCATATGACCCTTCAAATGTGATCATTTTATGACTTATATATAAATATATACTTATTCTAAAAACCACAAAAGAAATAAAAATAGTTCCTCTACAAAACAGTACGTATTCTAAAAGAAATAAATGTAGTTCCTCTAGTACTTATTCTAAAAGTCACAAAACAGTAGATTCCCTACAGATTAAAATGCTATTTTAAGAATAGAAGATATACCTTTATATATAAATGAACATTAGACATAGAGAATAAACAGATAACACACAAACAGTTTGAACTTTTTGTCTCCTTAGTGTTCTATGGGTTATTATCTTAGTGTTCGTTAACTCAGACTCCCTAGATTAGAATCATGCAATGTCTAATCTCTAATTGTTCACAATTTGTTCAATTTTGATTTTTCTGAAAAGGTTTCATCGCCTATAAATGTTATATTTCGATATGATGAAGTCTCCAATGCTATTATTTCAGTTGCTACTCGTCATCCATATAATATGAATTGGATTGTTTATTACCATCGTTCAGTCACTCACTACTCCTCATTTTCCTCATCCCTATAATATGCCGCATCATGTAGTTGTTTTGAGGAGGTATATCATTCCAGGTTTGCCAAGATACATCATGCAGTATTTGGAAGCAGATATGGAGAATGCTTGTAATTTAGAGGGGAATGCACTCATTCTAGTTGTTCCGATTGTTTAGTAAACAGATTTGTGGAGGTATATACCATTCAAGGTTTTGAGAAAGTTCACTGTTTGGTAGATGATGAGGAGGTTTCTGATTTTTATTTGTATGAAAATCATTGTTAGAACAAGAAATGTGTTTTCATTGACGTGAAATATTTTAAAATAATGATAACCCGTTGGTATCTTCAGAATCCGAAGACCAATTAAATGATAGTACTTGTTTAAGCAAGTAGTAATTTTTAAGATGTTCATAAATTTTAAAAAGTACATTTATATAATGAAATAGAAGAAGTTTTATATATGATGCTTTTTACAAAAAAAACGAACAATTATAATCATTTAGTTTAGAATGTCGAGGAAAATGATTGGAATCATTAGATACAAGGTGTGGTAGAAATAGAAAAATAAGTGTAAATGGGAGTATGTGTAAAAAAAAAAAGAGTTACGATTATGATTACACGGCTAGTTCCTTCCATAAATCACGTTACGTGATCATTGCACTTACCATTTTTTTCTTTTCTTTCACATAATAGCTCTATAAAATTATTCTTTCTGTTTTATAATATAAGCTTTTTTTATGAATTTTTATAGGTTTTGGATATTCAATTTTTACAAAAAAATGCTATTTTAAGAATAGAGATATGCATTTACATATAAATGAACTGTAGACACGATCATCGGAGTACACATATAGTTTGAACTATTAGTCTCTCTAGTGTTCTATCTTAGTGTTCGTTTCCATTAGTGTTTTCTCATGTTTTGCTTATTATGACGTGTGAATTAACTCAGGATTTGTAGATTAAAATCATGCATTGTCTAATCTGTGATTGTTTACAATTTGGTCATTTTTTTCAAGAAAGGTTTTCATCGCCCATATATTAACTATTTCGATATTATGGACTCAATGCCATTGTTCAAGAGTTCGCAGTTAATGTTCAATCGGATTGTTTCACAATAACTATTCCGGTTAGATGTACGGTTAGTGTTAGTTTACTTCTTGTATAACTTATTAACTTATATTGTAATATAATATTACAGATTGATGACATATTTGTAAAGTACCGATACTGATGGTTTTGGTTGCACATCAATATCTCAATCTTTACGTTACGGCGAAATGCTATTTTATTGATTGGTTCATTATCTTAAAAGAGCGAATCATATTAACGATGACTATTATCTTAAAAGAGCGAATCATAATTCCAGTGGCACCAGTGCTTGTACTGGATTGATAATGAGCTCAAGTGATAAATCCCTATATTTTTGCCGGAAGTTTATCTATGAAGCTCGTATGCATTTTATGCACTTGCATATAGTGCAATCTTTGGCCAACTATATATGACAGGTTCTAGTTTCTTTTGTGTTTTTATTGGAGGCATATCAATTTTTTACTGTCTCATCTTCAAAAACTTTTAGAAATGTTAGTTACGCTTTTTTGCTGATACTTCAGGTTTTTTTTAATTATGTCAAATACTTGCTAGGAAGCTTGAAGTTGACATGACTGGGAATCGATGATATAAACTGCTTCTGGAATACTGCGTCTCTTTCTAGTATATGCTGTTCACACACATACATTTTTTAGCATCATATTTACGCTTGTATGTGTATTTTCTTTATTATATACAAAACATGTCAACTTCAGCGTTCAGCGTTAGAGATTCTGTTTAAATGTTATTATCATTGTTTTCTAAAAAGATTCTTATTAGAATTCAGCGTTAGAGATTGATTACTTCTTAAGTTTAGGTCGATATGATCATTCGGCGATTTGAACGGCAGTTACAACATCAATAATTTTTAGCATAATTGACTCATGATCTATCCATGATCCAACTATATTGAATCATTGAACTATATCTCTTGCGCATATTTAAAGAACCATCAAAAAAAACCATGATGTGTCTCCTCAAATCTACATTGCCATTTGGCTATAGGTTCCTTGGAAGCATGATTTTCTAACAAGAAATTACTTGGAACAAAGTTCCATCTCTGTTAAATTCCTGGACGACTTAAAGAACTAAAAAAATAATAGGGATTCTCTGCCGACTTAAAGGTCATATGTATTTTTCCTAGTTTAAAGGGATTCACTTCGTCAGAACAGTGAGGTCATTCTCTCTCTTAGGGTCTCTGACTTGATTAACCCCAACGGAGATGGGTGGAATGTACGAGTTATACGTCAAACCTTTGAAGCTGAGGATGCTAAGCGGATACTACAAATCAAGCCTAGGCTTCACGTACAGGATAAGAAGATTTAGGGCTTCTCACGGAATGGTTGCTATGATTCACGAAGTGGTTATAAATTCCTTGAATCTCTCTCTAGTTCCAAAACCCACCTACGAGAGTGATCCCTCATATGGAGAAACAACTATGGAAACAGCTTTGGAAATCTAAAACCTCACCGAAAATCAGGCACTTCATGTGGAAAGCTATATCTGGAGCCTTGGCTGTTTCGGAGAGGCTACAATCTCGGAATATACCATTAGATGCCACGTGCAGAGTGTGTGGGAATGCAACGGAAACAATATGCCACATGTTATTTCAGTGCTGTAAGACTAAAGAAGCATGGGAGATATCTCAATTCCCAGCTCCTGTCTCCGGATGGTCTTCAAACTCGGTTTTCCTGAATTTCCACCATTTACTTGCATACAGTAAGAAAACAGAGATACCTGCAGACGTTCGCTCTTCCTTTCCGTGGATTCTTTGGCAAATATGGAAGGCTCGAAATGCACTGGTGTTTGAAAATATCAACATCTCTGCTGCAGAAACTGTCTCAAAGTCTTTGGAGGACTCTGATGTATGGTTGCAGGTTAATAACGCCGAAGAGTTCGCTCCCCCGAACACCACGCCTGTAACAAATGGAGCAACGAAGTGGAAAAAACCTCCTCCAGACATCCTTAAATGCAATATTGGCTCATCATAACGGAACTGTTTTGTTTCACAGCAGACATGCATTCTCAGCTCAAACATCGGCTCGTGATGCGGAACTCCAATGTATTCTCTGGTCAGTACAGGCTCTCTCTCAATTAAGACAAAGAAGAGTAATCTTTGAAGGTTCCTTACCTTTGGCGAGAGAAGCAATACTGCATCCGGAAAACTTCCCCTCTCTCCACTCAAGGATCAGTTCGATATTGTGCTTACTAAACTCTTTTTGATTTCTGGAGCCTTGATCACATCTTGGAAGAAGCAAATCAAGCTGCGCTAGCTATTGCTGTCAGTGTCACAAGAGATCACCGTTATCAGTCATACGTAGCAGCAACAGGGCCTTTTTGGCTTCACAACATTACATCCTCTGAAGCCAGTGTGGACCCTATCTGATAACTCTGTTTAAGCGACCTTCACGATGGGCAATAACGAGGGTTTGTAGACAGGTGTTCCCCTCTATTACTACGTACCATTTTCTCTGTTTTTCATTTACTGACCAGGTTTGAGTACCTACTGGTCTCTCTGTTTTCTTGGCCGTTTCTTTGCCCTGTTGTACTTTTGAAACTTCGGTTCTTCTTTGGAATCACCATTATTTTACACCACGAGTTAAAAAAAAAATGGATTCACTTCAATAAGAAAAACTCCACCGTTAAATCATAAATAAATAAACTGAAATAATCACAGCCGTTGGATCATACATTTCTTCTCCTACAATTACTAGCTTATCTTTTCGAATACGTCTAGTATATATCTACTTAATAGCATAAATATTTTTGCATTTATCCAGACGCTTTGTATATATATATGGAACGTGAGTGACGACTTCTTCCCATCTTCATCGCTAACCCTAAATTCTCTGAACCATCTTTGAAATGGCTAACCCTAAAGTTTTCTTTGATATGACCGTGGACGACAAACCAGCTGGTCAGATCGTGATGGAGCTCTTCGCCGACATTACACCGCGGACGGCGGAGAACTTCCGGGCCCTCTGTACCGGCGAGAAAGGCATGGGGAAGTTTGGTAAGCCACTCCACTACAAGGGATCGGTCATCTACCGCCCCTATTCTGTTTTCCAGGGAGGAGATTTCAACGCAGGGGACGGATCCGGAGGCGAGTCGATTTACGAAGATAGATTCTTCGATGATGAGAACTTCATCTTGAAGCATACCGGTCCAGGTGTCCTCTCCATGTCCAACCGTGGTCCGAACACCAACGGATCAGTTCTTGATCAGCATGCTCAGGAACAGTTCACTCGACCGCCAACACGTCGTGTTCGGCCAAGTTGTTGAAGGATTGGATGTGATGAGGAACATTATTGAAGAGGTCAGAAAATTGAGCCAAGTGTCGTGTTTGGTGTTTTTTTTTTGTTCTTCGTTTGGTCTGTTTCCCTCGAGTTTAGACTAGCTTCCACTGAATAATGAACGATAACCAAATTCCGAAAGTGTGTTTAAACGTTAGTAACTATCATCACAAGTGTAAAGCGGTTCTTAATTAGAGTTGCATTTTTATTAGTTTAGGCCGATATGAAAATTCGGGCGGCTTTATGCTGATAATTAACACTAGTCTGAAAAGAGAAAATCTTAATTGTTAAACGATTACATCAATCGGTTTAAATAGCAAAGCTCAAATGAATACAAAGCAGCCACGTCTCACTCACACGTGATTGCTAGGGACGATCAAAATTTGTTATGCAAAGCTGGAAATCCCGTACGTTTATGAGCTGTAGCAAACGTACACTTTGACTGAGATTCTCCTCCGTTACCGTTGCAGAGTTTATGACGGCTGTGAGGTTTGTGGGCTTGATATCTTGAAAGAGAGCCCATCAGTTCTTCACTCATCAGAGTTTGGGGTTGGAGAATAGGCTGGCCCAACAGATGAAAGCAAAGCTTCTGTTTGAAGTAATTTTCTCTGGTTTAACATAGTCTAGGGATGTGAATCGTCTAAAATTTGATTGATTATATTTAAAACTACACATATAACTAGATTATTGTAATTTGTAAAATAAGTGTTTCCGCCATTTAAATGATAAAATTGTTATTGTTGACTTAAAGGCATTGCTTTCAAGAGATGTGTGTAAAGATATAAATAAGGCAATGATGGATACTGAAAGTGGAAACCCTTCTAAATCTTGCACATTTTCTTTCGTCCTAAAAACTGCAGCCACCATCAGCTCCTCCGTCACCCCTAACACTCCCCGCCGCACGTGTGTCATAAAAAGGATCCGTTTATTGATTCCTGATTCACGAGTGGGGAATGTAACACGTACGGAGTTGTACTTGTTCATCAGATTTTCTTCCCTTTTTGTATCTTTAATTTGTTTTTTTCTGATTATCATGTGTATTAAAATCATTGTTACAACAAGAAACTGGAAAAGGAAATGTAATTTTAAATATATTATTGATTCCTGAATCACTGACGCGAGAATTTTTAAACTTCGCTTGCACAATCGAAGAAATCATTTAAAAAACAAACATAATTTAGATGACCATGAAAATGCTAAGCTTTTTTATGTTTTAAAAAGGATAGTTATTATGTATAAGTATTAAGTAATCACTATAGGTTAGAGTGTCGAGGAAAAAGATGTTGTAATGGGTATTGAATGGGATACGAGTTAAAAAGATAAGGTTATTAAGAATGCGGTAAGAGCTAGTAAAGAATAAGATGGGAATGTGTAATCATAATTACACGGCACGATGGATCAAAAGACTAGTTGAATTTCTATTTGTTTAATAAAATAATAGATACAACTATGTTGAGATATTGGGGATGGGGCAAAAATGCAAAGTCACGGGCAAAACAAAGTTACAAAGCCTAGCCATATTAAGAATATATCTAGAAGCTAAAATGTGAGATGTTTGGTTTTGAAAATGAAGATCAACTTTTATAGTTTTATTGATGTTTGGCCAAAACATTGTATAATGCCATATGCATATATATTATATTATATTAATCTCTTTTCTTATAAGAAGGAGTTTCTATATAATTTTCCTTGTTTTATAAATATAGATCTTTTACCGTTTATACATTTTATACATTTTTTTTTGTTTAAAATCATGATCTGTAACTTAAAAAAAAATGATTCAGATAACTGATTTGTTTTTTTAAGTATGGATTATATACTGATTTGTTTGGAGTTTGATATGGTAACAATTGTATATGTTTTTTTCATTTGAATTTTGTTTATAAAGAGAGATTGGTTAAACTGTACTAAATAGTGACAAGTGGATTGTGTGAGTGGCACTGAAAAAGACAAAAAGAAAGTTAAATCAAAACGAAATCAGTTTATCAGAAATCTATGAGCTGATCACTCTACATGATATTATAAATACTGTATTCCACATTTCTACATTATTCTTCTAGTATAAAGCTCATATTAAATATATACCGTGATATTCAGTACAGTTTCTTAAATTATCTCTCATAGAAAGAAGACAATAACCATAACTAAATAAGTGGACCGAAACTTATGCGCTGGAGTTTAAGTCTTTCTGTAATTTATACATTTGTGACTGCAAAGGTGCAATAGTTAATTAACAAAACTCAGACACCGACCGGAAACTCTCATAGAATGTTTGATGTATATGATCCATACTTTTCCAAACAAATCAGATCAGATTTTATGTTTAAAAATATATACTGATTTTTTTAGTTTTTTTTTTAAACTACACTTTTTCTATATCAAATGACTAAACTATTTTTAATTAATACTAGTTTATAGTCACACTAGTATTTAAATTAGAAAAAGTATTAGAGAAAAAGAAATAAAAGTATGAATAGTAGGGAATTAGTTCCTCTCTCTCTCTCTATATACATAGTAATAATATATATACGAATCTCTCCTCGCAGAAACAACCCTAAATTTCTCTGATCCATCTGCGAAAATGGAGACTAGTTTTCACTTTAATGAAAATGACATGGCCATTACAATCCATCTCAGCATTTTTATTTTAATTGACGTGTGAATTAACTCAGACTTCTAGATTAAAATCATGCATTGTCTAATCTCTGATTGTTCACAACTTGGTCAATTTTGATTTTTCTGAAAAAGGTTTTTATCGCCCATAAATGTTATATTACTTCGATATGATGGAGTTTCCAACGCCATTATTCCAATGTTCGCCAGGATGGTTTCACAATTACTTCGAGATGTTTTTCTTTATAATCAGAGTTACCGCGTTTTTGCTGATCTTTCAAGTTTTCTTTAAATTATGTCAAATACTAGAAAGCCGTGCGTTTGGCTGATGGATGAGGTTTAAACATTATGATTCCAGCGGGCCAGAGTTTCTCAATTAATGGAAGGGTTGCAGTTTCTCTCAGAGCGTTCGGTCGCCAATCTTGGCCATGGTCGTGGTGATGGAGCACACAGTGTCATCGGTGGTGGAGTGCTCGTTGTCATCGGTGGTGGAGTGCTCGATGTCATATCAGATATCCTAATTCCTGTTTAAAAATTAAAAATTTTAAAATTGTATGTTTTTCCAAATTTTTACAAAATTTTCTAAATTTTTCTAAAATTTCCTGAATTTTCCAAAATACATATTTTTAAGTTGAGAGTTTAGAATATCCATAGATTTCTATCTGGTATCCGCAGATTCTCGATCCATTTTCGTCGGATTTCTTTATGGGAATCATTTCTCAATTAGAAACAACACATGCGATAAGTCTCTCATAAATCTTTCATTTCAGAGATTCTCTCTATTATCTTTTCTCTTTTTCTAATTTTACTAATATTTTATGTTAAGAGACTTGGTGGGTAATCGCCAATATAGATGGTTTGAGAAACTCTCAAAACATATGTTTCTTTATAATTGATTTTATTTATTTATAAATCAAAAATTATTTGTTAAATTAAATCTCACTTATTATATTACACCATCTGTATTGGGGTTTATCATAAATATTAATAAAATTAGAAAAAGAGAAAACAAAAATGAAAAAACTGAGACTATAAAAAATCTATAAAAGACTCATCTCATATAGTATCTCTATATCATTAATTTAAGTTTAATTTATAATTAAAAATTAAACAATACAATCAACTTATATTTAAATTATTATTATTAAATTGATTAGAGACTCACTCACCAATACAAATACAAATGCTTAATACTGATGGTCTTAATTTCTTCAAACTTCTCTACTCCCTAGTATATATGAATTCCTCCTCGCAGTGGCTATAAACCTTAAAAATTCTGTAGTCCATATTTTCAATGGCTAACCCTAAAGTTTTCTTTGATATGACCGTGGGCGGCAAACCGGCTGGCCGAATCGTGTTGGAGCTCTTCGCCGACATTACACCGTGGACGGCGGAGAACTTCCAAGCCCTCTGTACCGGCAAGAAAGGCATGGTGAAGATGGGTAAGCCACTACATTGCAAGGGATCAGTCATGACTCATCTACCACCCCTAATCTATTTTCCAGGGAGGAGATTTCAATGCAGGGAACAGAACCGGAGGCGAATCGATTTCCGAAAATAGATTCTTTGATGATGAAAACTTCATCTTGAAGCACACCGGTCCAGGTATCCTCTCCATGTCCAACCGTGGTCCGAACACCAACAGATCTCAGTTCTTGATCAGCATGCATGAGAACAGTTCACTTGACGGTGTTCGGCCAAGTTGTTCAAGGACCCCGAGCCCACGTGAACATTGCCGATTGCGGTCAATTCTCATAGATTTGAGAAATTTTATCCTATTAAGTATGGTGTTTGGTGTTTTTTTTGTTCTTCGTTTGGTCTGTTTCCCTCGAGTGTAGACTGGCTTCCACTCAATAATGTATACTAACCATAAAAAGCTTAGGTATTATTGCTACAGTGCTACTGAGAAAACAAAATCTGAATATATGTTTAACGTTAGTAATTATCGTCACAAGTGTAGAACGATTCTTGATTAGAGTTGCATATTAAAATTCGGGCGGGGTTAAGCTGATAATTACACTAGTCTAGGGATGTGAATTGTCTAAAAATAGTTAATTATTATTAATAACTAGGTATTTACCCGCGCTATGCTGCGAGATATTTATCTAAATTTTGTATATATTTTTAATATAATAAAATTATTATTATAATATAAATGAGTATTATATTTTTTTATTAGTTTAAGTTATGTATTTATATTAAGTTATGTATTTATATGTTTAAATCTGAATAAATATTATATACTTTTTTATTTTTTAAATTGTAATTTGCTATAAAATTTAATTAGCTAACTAATTATAAATGTATCATGCTAATAGTAAATGTAATATATTTTCTCCATTAAACTGCAATTTGATCCTCCTTTGTAATTATATAAAGCAAAATGTCATTTAAAAAAAATATTATTAATTAATATAATTATTTTGAATTATAAAATTTATTTATTTATCAAATATTTTATTATAAACATATGTTTCTAAAACTACCAAACTATAATCAATAACATTCATACCAAAACCATTGCTATTGCTTTAGAACTAAATAGAAAATTATGTTTGAACTCTTAAAATATCATTTTAGTTAAAGTTAAATAATTAAATTTTGGTTATTGTAAACATATTTTAACTTAAAAATTTAGCACATAGAAATTTCATCTTCTTACAAAAATCGAGAAATCGCATTTTCGTCAAAACAAAAAATTTCATTTTCCCATTAAACTGAGAAATCGCCTATTTCCGCCAAAACCACAAAATTCATTTTCTTTTCAAAACCTAAAACCTAAAATTTCATTTTCCCGCGAGAATCTGTGTTTTTCCACCAAAACCGAGAAATTATGTTTTTCACAAAAACCAAAAAATTTCATCTTCCGGAAAAAACAAAAAAAAATTGTATTTTCCCGCCAAAATCGAAAAATTTATTTTTCCTGCGAAAACTGAGAAATCGTCTATTCGTGCCAAAAAAAAAAAAATTCTCGCGAAAACCAAAAAGAGCCAAGAATCACGCTTTTCTACAAAAACAAATAAACTATAATTTTCTGCAAAAACTAAAAATTGCATTATCTCCGGTGAAATTGTGTTTTCCCGCGAAAATTAAGAAATTGTTATGTTTTTATTATTATTTATTTGTTGTTATTTATTATTTGGATTTGGTTTTGGCAAAAATTTATTTTTTTATTTATTATTTAGGTTTAGATTTGGCAAAAAATAAAATAATAATTTTTCATTTGCTGTTATTAATTATTTGGGTTTGGGTTTGGTAAAAAATAAAATAAAAATTAATAAAAAAATATTTAGGTTTTCAATAGGTTTAAGTTTAAGAATTAAAATAAGTAGATGAGATGTATTAATAAAATGTTTTGATTGGTGATTATTTTTGCTAAAGTGTCATATTTATAAAGCTTCAAAAAGCTGAGGTGTCAAACCATGAAAAGACTTTAGTGTTATTGTTGTGTTGATTTATAACTAGATGAACCGTTTAGAGTAAAGTAAGTGTTTCCGCCATTTAGATGATGAAGTTTTTGCAAATCGAGCATTAGAGCTAAACATATGACCTTTGATCATTTTATGATCTTATAAATGTTTAAGAAATAATGTCTTCATATTAAATGAGATTCAGTTACGCGTCTAAGGTCTGTGGGCTAGATTTCAGGGACATGCGAGTGAGATCCCAATCCAATCAAATGTGATCATTCTTATGGTTTTAGTCTTCTAGAAATGTGTACGACTTTTTAGTCAACCAAAACAACAAAGCAGCAGTCTTGTTAATTATATAATCCATAAGTGACAAGAACTTGGTTAAAGATACCTAACACAAGTTACACAAAATGTAAAGTGGAGAAGAGAAGATCAATTATCGTTGTTGGCGACAAGATAATCGTGACAACTAACAATCCCCTATATTTGTTATTTGTATTTACTTGAGGAGCATTTTAAGATATTTCAAAAACATACCAAAATTTAGATGAAAATAAAGTTTTTTTTTAAAGCTTGTTATAGGCAGGGCCAGCCCATGGAGCAAGCAGGAGAAGCCAAAGATTAGGGCATCAAAAATTTTAGAGGCATCATTTTTAAAAATGTTCACTATTAGGATTATTTATTAATATATATATATATATATATATATAATTTTAAGTTAAAGTTTATTATGAATTATTTATAATCTACAATGTCAAAAAAAGATTGAATGGACTGACTTTATTATCGATTTAAACAGTTATGGTTGGAAAACTATATTATGTGCATTTAATGAATAATTTTGCAAGCAAAAATGTAAAGAATACTATTTTCAATGATATATATATATATATATATAAACTATTTATAAATTTATTATGCTTGTTTGAAATTTGATTTTTTCTTTTATAAATTTTTTAACTATAGTTTTTATGTTAAATACAATATAGAAAAAAAATTTAGATTTGAATAGAGCATCAAAAATCGTCGGACCGGCACTGGTTATAGGTTGAAAATGTGGTAGAAATAGAAAATAAAAGTACAAAAGAATTAGATGGGAATGTGTAATCATACGATGCAGCCCCGACTCTGAGGCCTGGCGGGAGGGGCAATGGCCATGGGTCTAGAAATTTAAGGGCTTAATTTTTTTTTCTTTATTGAAAACTTCGTTATAATGTGTCTAATTTAATAAAAAAGGGATTATGATCTAAAAGAAATTATTCTTAAAATTTAGGGGCCCAAATTTTTTTTATATTATAAAATTTGTTAAAAATAAATTTTTGAAGACAGTTCTGAATATATGACTAATTTTTAGTACATAAAAAAGCTCATGATTTATTCAATTATTAATAAAACGTCATAACCTACTTATACAAAAAGAATTATACCTTAACTGTTTCTTTTGTTAACAAGATAACAACCATCTCAATTATCTAAAATTATAAAGAATTTCAAGATCAGAACAATGTTTCAACAAAGGTTGAATGGTCTTGTACTTTTTTGCATTGAAAAGGAAGTTTTAAAAACTATAAATTTTGAAACAATAATTAATAATTTTGCATCAATAAAGTTAGGAAAAAAAGATATATATGATTTTTTTATTTTTCTAAAAAGAATTAATATTCTTTTGTATTTTTTATGTTTGATGAATTTTTTATGCAATTTATAGAAATGATGCACTAGAATGAAGTATTATGTCAAAAAAATATTATACAAACTAGTTATGTATTTTTTTTAACAAATTAGCAACTTATTTTATATTTTAAAAAGTCAAAAAATTATAGTTTGGTTTATTATGATTAATATAATTATTTTTATTAATATAATATAAAAAGTCCATATTTTGTATTTCGTACAAGGTTTTTGAAATTGCTAAGATGGGGCTGATACGATGCAGGATAGATCTAAGAGTAGTTGAATTTATATTTGTCTAATAAAATGATACAGGATACAAATGTGAGATGTATCTAGAAGCTAAAATGTGAGATGTTTGGTTTTGAAAATGAATATCAACTTTTATTGATCTTTGGCCAAAACATTGTATAATGCGGCTAAAATGAAAACGAAAGGGACACAAAGCTTATATAGATCCCATATAACCCATATTGTAAAAAACTACTTATACATCAAAATTGACAAATGACATTTTATGTCATAATAACCCATCGAAATAATTAAATAAAATTAATAGAAAAGACAAAAAATAGTTTTAATGCTACGAAGGTGACCTCACGTGCTGTGTTCGGCCAACCCTATTCCAAACTCATTCCAGAAGCAGTTCAAGGCAGGGAGGATAATTAACGATTTTAATTTACAATAAAAAATTTCTACGACTCTCTTCTCATCTTCTTCATTAAAAAAAAAAAATTTCTATATACATATTCTTGTTTTGACCACGCGCGTAATGTAGTTGTGAATAGTTAATATATTTAATTTTGCTAAAAAAGCCAATATTTAATTTCAGATGTTGGTTTCAATTTAAATGAAGAAGATGAGATTATAAATACTAAATACTAGATGATATTATAAATACTAGAAGATGTATAGTTAATTTCAGGTGTTGGCTTTCAATTTATCAGAAATCTATGAGCTAACACTAAATACATGATATTATAAATATTTTATTCCATATTTCTACCTTATTTCTTCTAGTATAAGCTCATGTTGAATACATATGACGCGATATTCAGTACATGTTCTTAAATTATCTCTCATAGAAGACAATAACCATAACTAAATAAGTGGACCGAAACTCACGCTGGAGTTTTGAAATTTATACATCTGTGACTGCAAAGGTGCAATAGTTAATTTAAAAAACTCAGACGAGCCCGGTCGATGATCCAACCGGAAACTCTCAATTATCATAGAATGTTTGCTGTATAATCCATACTTGTCCAAACAAATCATATACACAGTGGAGTCTTTTTGTCATCGAACGGATCATTTGGTTGTGCAGTCTATTCATGAGTATAACTTAAAAATAGGTTCAAAAACTTACTTACTACTCCATATGAAGAATCGTTTCGTTGCATCAATAACATAAACTTGCATGCCCTCACGTCCAAAACAAGATTTGTCTTTCACAATAGAAGCCATCAAAATCACACCATCGGATAGGACCAACGTAGGCCCAAATAGTATATCGGCTAAAAAAGCTCGAGAAGCCCAATATAATCAACAATTTTATTTTAAATAAATACACGTAAAGTGTTTATAGTTAATCTAGAGACAATAAGAAATGAATGCAGTGAGAGAAAGAGTAGACCCATGAAGTGAAGCAGCGACAGGTCCTGAGGTCACACTCACCGCAAAATGCTTACAGAGTTTCACATGCAATGCTTCTGCCCATTTATTCTTTTATTGTACCTTTACCCCACACCACACTTTCTATTAATGTTTTCGTTTAATTGTTTCCTTTCTCTTCTTCATGTGATTTTGATTTTTGATTTTCCGCATTCAATTTTTTTTCCTTTTTTTTAGTCTCTAGAATATATGTTCTAAAACAAACTCAAGTGAATACATTCTATGTTTTTGTAATATGTTACTTGTAGTATATAATATGTAAGTAAATAAGTTTGCTATGACTCTAAATATTTCAACCGTATCCGTGTCGTGTATGTCGAATGTCGATATAAATCCCATATAACCCATATTCGGATATTTCCCAAGATTGACTCTTGTCACTTTTAATCTTAAATAACAAAAAATTGCTATAAACATGATAATTGATTAATATTGTGATAAACTGGATTTGAATATAATGGTGGTCGTCCCACATTTGAACTAAAAATTAATCATACAGCATGAAACGTAGCACACATTTATGTTTTTTTTTTTAGAATGCATAATCATAAATATAAGAAGGTCTAATAAAAGAGAAAATACATAAAAATCAATTTTTTAAACAAGCCCTCAAGGGTTTGCCGCAAAGACAGTCGTTGTACATAAACGACGCCGCTTCTAGGTGATCGAACGGCGACCCCACCGGAATCCTCCCGCAGAGATGGTTATGGCTAAGATCCAAATGACCGATAAACGACGCGCCGGAGATCGTTCTCGGGATTGGTCCCTTGAGATTGTTATACGACAAATCAAGCACAGTGAAGTACGACCTTGGCCCAAACCCTTCCGGTATGTTCCCTTGCAACAAGTTCCGGCTCAAGTTCAGGTTCATCACCGACGACGTCATCAGAGTTTGAGGTATCTCTCCGGAGATTTTGTTTCCGTCGAGGTTAAGCGTCGCGAGAACCGCCATACGGCCTAGAGACGGTGGGATTGTGCCGTATAACTGGTTACCGGAGAGATCCACGTCCGCTAACCGGTAGATTCGGGTTAGCGATTCCGGGATCCGACCCGTGAGTCGGTTACCGCTTAGCAATGCACGGCTGAGCATGGTTAATCGACCGACATCCGGTGGGATTACGCCGGAGATTAGGTTGTTTCGGAGATCCAAGTGCATTAAGCTAGAGAGGTTGGTTAACGATTTCGGGATTGTACCGGAGATTCGGTTATCGGCGACGTTTAAAACAGCTAACCGGTGTAATCTTCCGATGTCGTTTGGAATCCCGCCGGAGATTTGGTTTCCGATAAGGTCGATAGTACGGAGGAAAGGGAGGCGTGTGATGCATTTGGGGATATCGCCGGAGATGCCTTTCCAATCGGCGATTGTGATGGCGGAGAGACGAGGGAGGTCGCAGATTGCGGGGGAGATGCGTCCGGTCATGTAACCGGTTCGGTGAGCTCGCTCGAAAATCGGATCCTCTGACTCGCCACGGAGGTTTATGTCGGCGACTCGGTGAGTGAGCGAGTCGCAGCTAACGCCGTACCAGTTGTGGCAGCAGTCTTGGCCGGTCCATGAGTTGAAAATGCCGAGGTATGGCTCGTGAAGAGCTGACCGGAAAGCTAGGAGTGCACGGCGGTCCGACGGCGGACAACACGTGGCGGTTGAGATTAGAAGGAGAAGGAGTAGAACGACGACGTTGAGCTTCATCGTTGAAGATTCCTCTTCTGTTACAGTGTTGGGAATTGTGACTTGATGGTGAGTGGAGAAGATAAACGTTGTGGCATATAAATAGCGAATAATAAGAAAAAAGTTATAAAAAAAAAAATATTAATAAAATAAAAAAGGACAAGACTTTAGCTTTTTTTCGTTAAGAGGTCGACCAATTTTTCTTCTCGCAAATTATTAAAATATAATTTGATTTGGTTATGACTTATGACATATGATTAGACATTTTGGAGTCGTTACAATAATGAAATTGTGTGTTCGTGTAATCTTCATTAATCATGGAAATTCTACATTAAATTAGTCAACCGCAAATGTTCAATCCAGTTCATGTAAAGATGTTGAACACTAGAAAACCGAAAACGTAAGTGATTTAAAATAAAATAATTGGTCTCTTTAACATGTGGTTTGTTTATTGTATAACATGGGATTAAATGGTTTGTAAGTTGTAACACTAGTTATATCTTTTTATAAATAAATAAAAACACTAGTTATAACATTATGTGAAAAACAAAAATGTAGAAACACACACATGGATTATAATTTAGAGCACATTCATTAGATGTTAATAGAGAAGCTTGCAGACAAATTAAGATAGAGACACGAACTGAAAGTGGGGGAGAGTTCCCATGCAAATAATTGAAGTTACGATTAGATTTTCCGATGCGACTTGCCGGTTGGATAAGCTTCGCCAACAATTATAGATCAGAGGGTCACTATGACGCCACGTGGTGGTGTTCTTGCATTTTTAATCCTTTTTTTTTCTAGGCACTCTTCTTTTTTTAATCATGTCGTGAGATGACAATACGTATTCTTCGAGACTCGAGTCGCAAATAATTGTAGTTACGTTTGGCAATATTTGGTGCTACGATTAAATTACTGGCTCCATAAACAAATTTAGAACAAAAACATTTATAAAAAATGTGACCGTAGCCCGAAAAATTATAGGCGATTATTTCCATTTTCAAAGGCATATAGTATTACCCACAACATGTCATGAATCACATCTCAAAAATGTATTACAAATAAAGGCATATACGGATTTGAGTATTGAATTTTCAGTGTTTCGTATGTCCGCATCTAATTCAGCACCGACGTTTTTGTATAAAGCCGCGGGCACATGAAACAGAGAGACATAACTTCGAGACATTTTTTCGTTCTTGGCACTCATAAATGTGAGACATATTATTAGGAATATGTCGAAATGGTTAATACTACTATTCATCATGTTTGAACTACCTATTTTTTGCCACATCTACAAAAACTCTTGACTATTTTTATTTATAAGTAGTTTGTGGATTAGATCTTTTTACCCAAATGGGTAATATTATATTTTGTTTTAAACTATTTTTTCAAACTTCTTGCATAATTTTTCATCATTTTTTTTACGACGAAAAAAAAAGAGAGATGAGTTGATTTTTGTGGGTTTTTTTTTCCTTTGATCTTTGTGTTTTTTTTTGCTGTCATGTGACAGCTGAGTTGTTGCGGGTATTACGTGTCAAAAAATTACAATTATTGCTTCTGGTTACGAGTATTAATCATCCACGAACTCCGAAGCGTTGATTAGGTAACAAGGTCTATTACAAGAACTGAAAATTTATGAAAATTAATATTTATTTATTATAGCCTACTCCGAAGCTTTGTTTAGGTAACAAGATCTATATAACAGTCTATTTTTCGATTTACTAAAATATTTGAAATAAAAAAAAACGTTATACTGTACTATGAAATTGGATTCTACTCATATACTGTAAAACTTAAGGTATAATAAATTCTAACCCTAACTTCTAAAAAACTTAATTTTAGACCCTAAAATATTTCTTTTTAAAACTGATTTCCAGCCAATGGCAAAAGACAACGGAAGACTAGACTCTACTTGAAACGTTTTCTTGCTTAATGCAACGATAATACAAAAAAAGAAAAGTCTGTGTTAAGACTTAAAAGCTCTCATTTGTCTTTTACAAGATAGGCGTGGACCAAACAAACATCTTCATGCTCAGAGCAATTGTTTTCTTCTCTAATTACTTACTTCTTTAAACCCTTTTATGATCTAACACATAATTGTGTATATAAGACAGGGAGTAGTGAACTTAGAACCAGAAAACAGAGATTTAGAAGCTCCTTTCGCTACGAGTCAGATGAATCTGCTTCATTGCTCCACCAGAAGCTAACCGAGAAACTCATTGTCAAGGACCTGACATAGTGCCACCATTTGGGTGGAATATACAGCATTTCGCCTTCTTCTAGGATACAGTCCATAAACTCTAGCTCCACTGCCTTTGGGAACTCGGTCTCGTCGATGTTGTCGAGATCAACCTTCAACCAAAGTTTGAAAAACCACCCGGTTTGGAGAGAGCCAAGTGAGCTTCCGGTTATATGTTAAAACCAGAAATCAGATTTTTGAATTTAGGATGAGAAAACTTACCTGGCTAGAGTTGCAGAGCATTGTCTCAGAGTAAGGGTAAAGCTCGTCTTGCACTGAGGATGGGTAAAGCCTTATATACTTCTTGCCAACAACCTGAAGAACAAAATGATATCAAAAACTTCAGTAGGAGGAGACCAAAAAAACCACATATACAAGAGAAGTTTCCATATAAACATTATTGCAGGCCAAACGATTTCTTTCGTTAGTCAAAGAGTTTAGTTTTTGTTCAGACATCAGGCTTCAATCCAGCGAGATGATCAGGCTTTATTATGCAAAGAACATCAAAGACGAGAAAAAGCTTGTTAAGCAGTAGCAACCTTTTAAGGAAAAGATACAAGAACCCATGCCTCATTTAAGGAAAGAAAGATCTGTGACAGACTATAAAAAATATACCTGAGCAAGAATATTATGATGTGGATCATGATGTAACGGAGTAACTGTCCCAGCCGGACCAAACCACGCGTTAAGAGACCGGAGTTCACCTCCACCGACAAAACAGTAATCAGGAATACATATATCATCTCTCAGTTCATTTATCTGCCCAATTCGTGTTATAAACCAATTAAGTAATGAATGTAGAAAAAAAGATATACATCAAACATCCTCGTACATACAGTACACACCTGATCAAACAACGGATGCTGAGCAAGATAAGTAGGTTCCACGGAAGAAGATCCATCGGTGGTACGCATCCGTTCAAGAAACTTGGAAAACGTCACAAGCTCTTGTTTCCAATCAGAACACAGATAGTTCTTCCCCACCTGAATAGCATTTCAAACTTTACCCAGCTTTCAGCTAAACTAAAGTATGTTTAAAGGATACACTAAAAGTGAAGAAAAGATGGGTAAGTAAGTCACCTCGACGGGAACGGTTCGATTCCCAGCAACGGCGTCGAGATAGCCCAAGTGGTTCCACTTGGTCCTGGCTGGCCAATGAGCCATACAATTGGTTATAACAACAGGTGTACCGGGTTGAAAATATTCACGCAGGAACCCCTCCAAAGATAAACCAGACCTCTTCTCTACTCTTCGAGATCTTAAGGACCTGCAAGGTAGGATCTTAAGCACCTGCATATTTCAACAAAACCAAACCAAGTTCAACACTGAGATTCTGATATTTCTTCAGAGCAGATCAAAACGAAATTTAGCAAGATCTGAGCGAACTTTCCTATGTGATTCACAAGTTTTTTTTTTTTTGTTAATCCTATTTAAGTAATTTCAAGAGCACTTGTGTTGTTGTTGTTACCTCATTGACGTCGACGGGGACTTCCGGGACCAATTTCTCACCCTTGAAATCTCCGGAAGCTTCGAGACTCTCGGCCTTCTTACGAGCTTCGGAGGAGATTAACAGAACAGAATCGTGGAGGTCCTTGCGGAGAAGCATCCCTCCCATGATGAGTCCCATGTCGAGCGCCCCTAGGGCTTCCCCAAACTCGCCGGCGGCGAAGTGGAACTTGGCGACTTGGAGGCAGGCCATTGAGTAAGCGTCGCGCCAGACGGGGAGGACAGAGTGCCATGGACCGGAGTGAAGTTGCTCCCAGGCCATATCACGCGCCGCCTCCGCCGCGCTTTGGTCACCGGCCACCGCTAGAGCCGCCATGCGAGCGAAGGCGTAGCCGCCCTGAGCAGAGATTGACTGTAACAGGGACTTCGACTCGGCGTCGAGCGTCGGAGTCGATAGACGGAGGCCGGGGTCTCCGGACGAATCGGTGGTGGTAGCTCCTGACATGGCCTGGATCGGGTCGCGTTTCGGGTCGGGTCGGGTTTGTTTGAGTTAAGTATCTGCCTATGTGGTGTGAGATATTTTAGTCCTGAGGTGGGCAAAAGTGAGCTAAAAAAGTGGAAAGGGAAAGAAAGATATTTGAGTGATGATGATTAGGATATGAGATATTTTTGTATTTATGACTGTAGTGTTGCATAATACTTATTTGTAGAGGAGCCCTCCAAAATCGTACAATCTATGCAATCGTTCCTATATTTTTCTTCCGATCAGATAAAGCCAAGTAAATCTAACCAACAAATCCTTGTTCGGTTAAGTTCAAAAACTTCGGTTTAGATTTTGACTGCAAGCCTATTTCAAATAAATAATTTATCAGAAAACGCATCTTATACACGTGTACATATGTACTTTATCATTGTAAACAAAAACAAAAACTCCAAAGTTCAAATACATAATTTATCAAACATACACTACTTTGTTATTTTAGGGAAAAAAACAATCGTAAATAAATAAATTATATAGAGATATCGAAAGAAACAAAAACAATCATATATTCCGTTTTTGCGTTGATATTTTCTCAATTTGTAACTAGTGTTTTTTTTTTTTATGATTGGTGCAAATACAAGAAGAAGAAAAAGAGAAAATACAATATATTGAAGTTTTTAGTAGAAAGGACATCACTTTCTTTAGGGTCGGTCCAATGATATTTAATGATCCGACAAATGCTATCTAGTGCTCTAGAACTTTCCACGGTTGAATAGGGAAAAAGCGTTTGATGATATGTCGTTTTCGCATTGGCCAAACTGCATGTGACGTGCACTAACTGACACATCATATTTGTCAACACATGTACTCTTTGCCTTTTTCATTTTAGGTCATAGTCGACGTGGTGTGATGATAGTCAGCAGAAGAAGAGATATTTGGCAGAAGAAGAAGAAGAAAAGAACAATCAATGCTTTTATGATATATGCATAGATATTTTCTTTAGATACCTTTGGCCATTGTGTATACTGTACCCTTCTCTTGTCGGAACCATTCTTGGTAGTATTCTCACTAGTCTCTAATGTTATCGTATAAAGTGCTAAAACTTGGCTGCAAAATAAGATGAATGATGTTTTACGCTATCCAGAATATTGAAATTGCAGTTTTTCAACTAAATTTTGTATGCAGCAAACTAGAATTTTCAAACTCTTTCGTTTACTCAAAAACCAGATCACAGATTTAACAATTCTAAAAATGACTTTTCGTAAGTCAAAGATCATGTTCCAAGATAAGATCATAAGGCAGACAAAAATTACTGATCAGTTAATGATGAAGATAAAACGTACAAGTCAATTGTTCCAAGTGAACACAATGAACTAGGCCAAGACTATAGTCCATACATGCAACACACACACATTCAAGACACGTCGAAAGTGTCTATGCGAAGACTAAATGAGCCATTAACCATTTTTGTTTAACCATGTAGCTAGTCAAACCATTGTATAAGGCAGAGGTTACTCACGAACTCAACCAAATTTTAAAAAGACAAGACTTTCTATTTAACTAGATATTCACAAAAACCTAACGGGCTTGGTTCATCTATACTACTTATAATCTAGTTCAATACTCTCAAAAACACAAGTGTTCGTGTTTTAAGATGAGATGATAAGACAAAAATGATCAATTAAGCAACACCAAGGTAAGAAGACTCGCAAAGTTATTGTTCCAAGTGAAAACAATATGATCAATTAGGCAAAGGTTACTCAATATACACACGCATCACGCCATAAATGCTAGTGAAGACACGTTGAAAGTACTTATACAATATTAAAGGAATCATCGTCTCTTTTGTGTAAAGATGTAAATCAAGCCATACACACATTTGGCGAAAGATCATTTTCAAAGATTCTCTACACAAAGTTTTACTTTTTGTGTTGTATAGTCCACTGTTGGATTCGGTATGTGTTTTTTTTTTTTTTCAATTCGGATGTCCCCGGTTTCGGTAGGTGTTTATAAACTAAGTTTTACATTTTGATCATACAATTATTTCCACATAAACAAAGTAGTATTAGCATTAGATCTTTTTTTTTTTTTTTATAAAAAGGGCTTTCATATTAAATGCTGAAGAAATAAAAATATTACAAACCCCTAATGGGCTATAGTGTATCTCGGACAAAGGCCCAATGCATCAGCCTAACAGTGAAGAAAATTAGATAGTTAACATAAAAATCCTAAAAGAATTAAGCCCAATAGAACAATTGTTGGTGCACGAGCATCTCGAAGCGTCACCTTCGCGAGGAGAGTGATGGATTGTGTTCATCAAGAGAGCTCCGTCAGAAGCCACAGTTGGAGAAGTTTAGATGAGAGTGAAGGATTGTGTTCCCTGAAGCTTGCAATCCTATTTCGGATTTGACGATCTATTAGAAAGAAAATATTATCGGAAGATCGAAAGATTAGAGAATGCAGTCTCCCATTCCGTTCCGACCATAGCCAGTAAATCGAAGCTTGCCAGCCAAGAAGGGTTAATCGCTTTGCAGTTTATCGCCTTGTAGGTTCTGCATCTGCTCAAGCGAGCCATGCCAATCTCGGGCTGGTTGAAGATTGCAACGCCGAGCCACCTTCTCCCAGATCGACCAGCTGAAATCACAATCAAACAAGAGGTGATCTCTACTTTCACTCTGTAAGTTACAAAGTACGCACATAGGATTCGTTGAAAGACCCCATCCAATAATTCGATCCTTTGTGGGGCAGCGATCTTTGACAAACAGCCAAGCCAAGAAGTTATGTTTCGGGATGCCTCCCACATTCCAGATCACCTTATCCCAAGGTACAATATCTGAGTCCCCTCTGAGTTTCCTGTAAACTTGACTTGTGCTATATTTGGAGGTTACTAACTCATCAATCTCCCATTCATAGTAATCTTCTTCCTCAGTTAAGGTTAATGTGGAGAGAAAAGCTAGCAAATTAACTTGTTGCTCTGAACGAGCAGGGGGCAAAGACCAAGTGCCCTGGCAATGTAAATTAGAGAGCACGACGGAGCGAGCTAAGCCAATTCTGAAGTTACGATTGCCCTGAAGGTACTCTTCCAGGTTGCCAAAAGGAGACCAGTTATCAGACCAGAATCTGCAAGTCCGACCGCTCGCAACTCTTAGTTTAATCCAAGGATAAACATCATTTCTAATTTTGAGAAGCTTATTAGCCAGCCACGACCGGTCCTTGTGTGGTTTCACAGTCCAAAAGTTGTTGAGAGAACCCTTCAGCACCTCGCTCCTGTACCACGCCACCCATACTGAGCCCGCTTGGAAGAAGAGCAACCAAATAAGCTTGAGACAGCAAGCCCTATTCCAAGTTGTAAATTCCCGAACTCCCAAACCTCCTTGACTCTTTGATTTTGTTACTGTCTCCCAAGAGACCCTAGCTGAGTGATGACCCTCAGTGTTGCCTTTCCACAGGAATATGCTACATAGCGAGTTGATGCGGTTAATGCACGCCTTAGGGAGGATGAAAGAGGAGCACCAAAAGTTGGATATTCCAGCAATCACCGTTTTGATCAGAAGTAGTCGCCCTGCAAACGAAAGGGACTTCACACTCCAAGAGGTAACCCGAGATTTAACTTGGTGGATTAGCATCTCACAGTTACTGATACTGAGCTTCTTTGTGCACAAAGGGGCACCTAAATAGCGCACTGGGAGGAAACCTTGAGGCATTCCAGTTGAGAAGGAGATGAGGTCAGTCTCTAGCTCGGAAAGGCCAGACGCAAAGAAGCAGGACTTCTGAACACTAACTGCAAATCCCGACCGAAGCTCAAATTCATAAAGAACTTGAAGCACACTCTGGACAGAATGAAGGGACCCATCCAAAAAGATCAGAAGATCGTCAGCAAAGCAGAGATGGGTGAGCTTCGTGCCAGCACAGTTTTGGTGATAGGAAAATCTTCCCTCCTCAGCTGCCTTATTTAACATCAGAGATAAGCAATTCATAGCTATAACAAAGAGATAAGGGGAAAGGGGATCGCCTTGCCTAAGTCCTCTTTTTCCTTTGAAGTAGCCTTGTACTGTCCCATTGTAACCTATGGTGAAGTTTGTTGTGCAGATACAAGCTTTGATCCAGCTCATATACTGGGGAGGCAGTAACAAACTCTCAAGGCAGTTGATCAGAAAGTCCCAAGAAACACTATCAAACGCCTTTGCTATATCTACTTTAATGGTAATCTTTTTAGTACCAAGCCCTTTATGATATCCATTTACCAGCTCTCCCGCTAGAACTGTATTCTCAACTAGTAACCTGTCTTTAACAAACGCTGTTTGATTAGGGAGTATGAGAGCAGGAAGTAGAGGTTTCAGGCTAGAGACCAAAAGCCTTGAAATGACCTTATACAATGTGTTGAGGCATGATATAGGGCGATAGTCAGTAATTAGTGAGGCTCTTGGACGCTTCGGCACTAAGGCAAGAATTGTTGAATTGGTGGAAGCAGGCATGAAGGCCGATAAGAAGAAGTGAGCAATGGAAGCAGTGACTTCCTCTCCTACAATATCCCATCCTGCCTTATAAAACCCAGAGGAGAGACCATCTGGACCTGGGGCCTTGTTAGGATTCAGCTTGAAAAGAACCTTGGTAATCTCAGCCGTTGAAGGCACCGTTGACCGGGCTTGAATCTGAACCAATGAGCAACTAAACGAAGAGAGTGACTGAAACCATTCAACCGGGGATAGGATGGCAAGGGGAGGAAGAACGTCTGGCCCCAGGATGGATTTGAAGTGCTGGATTGCATGAAAGCTCATCTCTAGGGGATCTGTCAACACGACACCAGAACTCAAGAGGAAGGATCTAATAGCATTGAAGCTTGCCCGAGTTTGACAAACCCGATGAAAGTAAGTAGTGTTTAGATCTCCTTCTTTAAGCCAATTGATCCTTGATTTTTGCCTGAAGTAACACTCCTCAATATGCCTAAGGAAGTTCCACTCATCATGAAGATCACGCTCTTGCTGAAAGAGGGACAGAGACAGCGTCTGAAGGGCTTGTACTTGCACAGCTTGTAGCAAACGGTTAGCCTCACTTACTCTCCTTTGTATTTGGGAAAAGTTCTCACGGTTTATCTCTTTAAGAGCTCTCTTTATGGTCTTTTGTTTCCAGCACAGATATGTGAGATTGGAACCAAAGCTTCTGGCCTGAATCCAAGCCTCAAGTAACACGCTATGAAAGCTCGGGTGTTTTGTCAAGTAGTTAAAGAACTTAAAGGGTCGGGTTCCGGTAGAGGGTAATTGGTGAGAAAGATCAATGATGCACGGACTGTGGTCATGGGTTAGGAGAGGTAAAAAAGAGGTTACACTGTTTGGGAATAAGTTGATTATATGGCTATTGACAAGTAGACGGTCTAGTTTTTTTGCAACAGGAGACGCAGGCTGGCAATTTGACCAAGTGAAGAGAGGACCTTGGAAGCGAAGATCAAACAAACCCAACTGAGAAAGGCAGTCTTTTAATTCAGTCATGGTAGAGGTGAGCGTGTTTACAGCCGGGTTTGAGTGCTCAACGTGATGCAAGATTTGATTGAAGTCACCACCTATCATCCACAGACCATTATACAGCGAGTGAGACTGCTGGAGACTAAGGAGTTCCACCCAAAGGTCAGTTCTCTCTGAGCTTAAATTGGACGCATACACAGAGGTGTAGATAAACTGGGTAGAATTTAATAAGCTGACTTCACAAGTAATGAATTGTCTTGATTGGTGCAGGATTCGGACAGTAGCTGGAGCTCTCCAGATAAGAATAATTCTGCCATCATCATCAGAGCGGTGATTAGAGGAGAAGTTCCAACCCGGACAAAAGTTAGACATGAGCTGGTGCATGTTAAGATCTTTTATATGCGACTCGATAATAGAACCAAAAATAGGCTGATGAATATTAAGCCAATTACTAAAAGGCTGATGCTTGCTCGGATCATTAAGACCACGAACATTCCAAAAAAATAGCTTTGTACACATTAGGATGAAGTAGGAGACTCTCCTGAAGAGGGAGAGTCTAGGGGAACAAAAGTATGGATAAGAGAGGGCTCTTTAGTGGAGGCGGGAGGGTCAATAGACATTGAGTCCAAGCAGTTTGTAGTGAGGTTTTGAAACAAGGGGTTTGATCGAGAACGTTCTAAAGATGTGGGTTTGTTCTTTTCAGGAGGACTATAAGGGTAAGGCTCTCCAGAAGGAGTTATGAAAGCAGGGAGACCTAAGATGTAAGGGGAAACAAGAGGGACATGAGGCGGTAAAGAAGACTAACGCTTTTTGGGGGTACAAGGGGGATCTCCAGAGGAGCTAAATGTGAAAGGGGCACTCGAGTTTGAAAGGGACAAAATAGGCGAGGTAGACAGAGCAACAGCTAAACCAGAGACAAAAGTGGGAACAACCTCAGAAGGAATAACCACCGTAGCAAGATCCTTTGAAGCGGAAGAAGCCACATTGAAGGTATCCTCAACTTTATTTTGATTTTCTTTTTGACCAAGGGACAGTTTAAAAGCTTTGCTTCCAATAGCTTTTGACTTTGTTTGATCCTTAATCACCGGACTCTTTGTTTTAGACGTAGTCACCTTCTGGTTGGGAGTATTAGGCGTAATCTTCTGAGGTGGAGGAATTTGTAAGCAGTTACGCATAACGTGGCCTAATTCTTTGCAGTGAGAGCAAGAGGGAGGGAGCCAGGGGTAATCCACAAGAACTTCAGCAACTTCACCATTCTGCCTAACAAATTCCACAACACGAGGGAGCTCTTTGGTAAGGTTTACTTCCACTTTCACATGAGAAAGAGTTAGACTTACAAGATTCTTAGTAAAATCATCTGTTTCCACTGGTTCACCAACCAATCCCGCCACTAGACTGAGACCCTTTTGATGACGTAGGTCTAGGGGGACCCCCGTAAGATGAGCCCAGATTTTGATTGACTCGAGAGAAGGAGCCAAATACGAATGAGAGGATGTCCACTGAGCCACATGGAACATTGACTCACCAATATACCAAAGGCCTTTTTCCAGAATCTTCGTCCTCAGGTATTCACTCGGAATTCTTACAAGCAAAGACCTATTTAAAGGATTGTTATGGATCTCCAGTTTATTTCCTTTCCCCCACATGTGGTTGAGGACACTTTGAATTTTACTGTAGGAAGGAGCTCTGCCATTAAAGTAGCACACTAGAAAGTCTCAGTGTAGTTCTTCACCTTGCTGGAAGACCTCGTCTAGGATGAGCACACTAGGCCTGCCAGTTGCCGAGTAAGTAATGGGAGCTAGCCGTTGCAAAGATTTATCTTCAAAAGCCCTTATTCTTTCAGCCAAAGAGGGAGCATTGGCAGTTTGGTTAATTGAAAGAGTAACACGATCCGCAGCTTGATGTATCGGAGTTGAAGGCTGATGTTTCAGAGGTAACTTAGTAGGTTGACTCACATGGACAGTAGCTGGACAAGGGGAAAGGGTGTTAAGAGCTTTGTTGGTCTCAATAGGAGAAGTAGATCTCGGTTTCAGAATAGTAAACTTTTCTGAAGCTGTAGTTTCAGATCTAGTTTTCGAGGAGCTAGAATCTGTAGCCTCTTGAGAGACAGTTTTCGACTGTGCTATCTCGACATCAGTAGTTTCAGTTGGAGGAGAGATCTGAGCAACAACCGTACCCACTGGCGCCTTAATAGGAGTAGTTTGTGGGTTAGAGAAAGCTTTCTGGTTAACAGGTGAAGGGAGAGGAGGAAAATGGGAGATGGCCAAAGGAGCTAAAGGGTCAGGAGGGTCTGGTGGGACAAGGGGAGGGGTTGGGGAGCTATCACCAGCGGTGAGAGGCGGAAGGTTCAAGGCGGAAGCACGACTATGAGAGAACCAGCGGTTCTGCATTAGATCTTGTAATAAAAGAACTTGGCATCAGAGTTACGTTTGTGCAAAGAGTTTTGATTATATATATATTATATATATAGAGAGAGTTAAATTTCCTCATTTTTCTTTTTCAAAGCTCATCATCCACTTCATCCTACACATATCATCAATCATTTGTAATTTTTTTTTATTTTATTTCAATTTTTACTTAAGTTATTTAGTTAAATTTTATATAATATAATATTAAAATACTAAAATTCATCTAAACCTCAAAAAGTTATAGTAAAATAATTCACAATAATCATTAGATAGCAAATAAATAACTAGAAACAATACAAAAACAGAATTATAATCTTAGAAACCAAAAATTTGATCAAAAATCTTTGGACATGGGTATGAAATGAAAATGGGTAATCTAGGAGTTAAAAAACAGTTTTTAAAAACAAAATTAATTAAAAACATGATGAAAGGGTAATAAAACTGAATTATAGTCTTAGAAATACTAAAATAGCAGATATTAACAAACAATTATAAAACATTATAAAAAATAAAAAAATAAAAAATCAACAACAATATTAAAAATAAATAAAATTAAATCAAAGATATTATTATTAAGAATTTGGAATGTGAATGAGTAATTTAAAAAAAAAATTTGAAAGAAAATTAGATTAAAAAAAGAGATTGAAAATTTAGATTATGGAGCGAGTTCAGAAATTTTTTCTTATCTAAAATATTTTCCCAAACTTTCGATAATTTTGGTAAAAGTTAACTTTAAAATATATATTTTAGGTAATTTTGGGAAAACACAAAAAATCAAAATTTTTTGAAATAATTTGGTATCTTATCTCATATATTTTAATTCTTAAATAAATAATTTGGTATCTTATCTCATATTCGCTATTTTCTTGTATTATTTATATTTATATTTGAATAAAATAAAAAATTAAATAAGTAATGATTTGAATGAAATTAGAAATAAAATGAGAAATTCAAGATGAATATGAATAATATAAAAAATGTGTTTAAAAATATTCAGAATTAGTAGTTTCATAAAGAATTTATTAAAGAAAATACAACACATAATAATCTTGCTTTTTGTCTAATTTCTATAGGTTTACATGAGAGGACGTAGCCCTGAAAATTTCAGGACGGGTACCCAATTTTCTCCCATATCCATTTTAAATTTCTCTTCCGTTCACTTTTTTTGTTTAAGAAAATTTTCATTCAGGATTATTTATTTTATTCAAACGGATAAAGAAAAGGGTAATGGAATCAGATCGAAAACCTGAATTCCCATTTAAAAAATTAATATATTAAAAAATTACATAATTTTCTAAATTTTGTTGAATTCTATGATATTTTCTAAATTTTTTTCAAAATTTCCGATAATTTTCGAAATTTCTCAAATTTTCCTAAAATATATGTTTTTAAGTTTGAAAGCTTAGGATTCCCATTCCCGTCCTATATCCACAGATTTCTGTCCGTATCCACAATTTCTCATTCTATTTTTGTCCGATTCCTCTATAAAAATCATTTTTCAATTTGTAAATATTCCGTTCTTGTTCCGTATCCATAAATTTTCTTTCAGATTATCTGAAATATGTATATAGTTTGAGGAAAAAAAGGAAAAATAAAAAAAGAGGATGAAAGGGCGTAATTGCCATCTACGAAAATAGATACAAGAGAGTAGAGAGAAACCCATTTTTTCAGACTCGAGAAAAGAGGAAAGCAAAACCTACGAGAAAGCGAAACAAGTTTTCGATTCTAGAACAATGGCGAATCTACCTTCGTCTCTCTCCATGGGCACTCCTTTCGGTGGTCCCAGCACGTCGGCCCAAATTTCTCCCGGAGCCCCGGCGAACAAAGATCGGAACTTGGCCTCCGCGGAGCAATTAGTTCTCGATCTCAGCAATCCTGAACTCAGAGAGAATGCTCTCCTCGAGCTTTCCAAGGTTCTCCTACAAATCTCACTTTTCTTCTTCGTTATTCCTCTCGTATGGGTTTGTAAACTTTGCTGGCCGATTTGTGAACGAAAGTTAGGGTTCCCGTCGATGTTGACAAGCGAAATTTGCTCTCTAAGTAGGAAAAGTTCACTTTTGGAATGACAACTGAAAAGAGCGAATTGAGTTTTTTTTGTTTTTTGTTTCTTGGCATGCTTTAGAAGATATCAGTATTTGAATTGGGGGAATTTTCTTATGAATCGAATGATGTTTTTGCTTCTAACTATTCCAGAGTCTGAATCAGTGGTTCCCCACTTATTTTTTCTTTGTAGAAAAGAGAACTCTTTCAGGATTTGGCGCCTCTGTTGTGGAACTCTTTTGGTACCATCGCTGCCTTGTTGCAGGTATAACTTAAAAGCACATTTGTTTTGGTTATCTTTAATGACTTTGTGCTACTTCTCTCTTTTAATTGATGAGTCTGCGGATTGCAAATGATTCTTTAATATCGAAGTAAGAATTGCTAAGTTGATTGCTTGTGTGGTATGATCTGAGTGGTTTCGTTTACCTCCTTGCAGGAGATAGTATCAATCTACTCTGTTCTTGCGCCTCCAAATCTGACTCCTGCTCAGTCGAACCGTGTTTGCAACTCACTCGCCCTTCTCCAGGTAGATGATTCTCCTCTCATGGAGATTTCCCATTTTTTTGTATAAGATATGCTCGTCAAATTCTTGATTCTCTTTTGTCTTGCTGTCTTTCTCTGCAGTGCGTAGCATCTCATTCGGACACGAGAATGTTATTTCTCAAGGGTAATGTTCTTGTTCTTGTCATCACGCTTAGTTTAATTAGGCTATATACATATAATGCTATGTACCATTGAAGATTTCTATCATATCCTCTTGTATGTTCAATGCTTTTATGTTTCTTGTCTGTGTCTCGTATAGTTCCAATTGATTTGATCAATTACGATAACTGATGAGTTCGTTGTTACGTCTTGTACATTCTTATGCGCAGCGCACATCCCATTGTACCTTTATCCTTTCCTTAATACGACAAGTAAGTCGAGACCTTTCGAATACCTGCGGCTTACTAGCTTAGGTGTCATTGGTGCACTTGTGAAGGTAAATTAACCGGTCCCTTTGTTAGAACCCAATTTTATGTTGAACTTGAATGACTTAAAATCGTGTGAATTGGTATTGGTTTCTTAATAAACGAGACCGTGCAGGATTTATATTCCTTATTGATAGTTAGTGTAAGAAATACGAAAGGTTGATCATTGGCTCCTTCTTTCACTTTGTTATCCAGGTTGATGATACAGAGGTCATCAGCTTCCTTCTATCGACCGAAATCATTCCTCTGTGCCTCCGTACCATGGAGATGGGGAGTGAGCTGTCAAAAACAGTAAGTCTTTCAATTTACCGTTATATCTCTGCAAAGTTCTATATTCATCTTGAAACTCATCTTAGATGTATATCTGTTTGCTGTTTTATCGGGCTTGACTTTTGGCATTTCCATTCGTTAATATTGTTAAATTCAAATCATAATTTTTGAAACCCCTCAAAGAAACGAGTCCTCAGCTCTTTTTGTTACTGCTTCTTTTAACTGTATGAATGCCGTAGCCAAAACTTGTTCTCAACTAAGCCTTTCAATTGACGAATCTGTTATTTATTGTCCCTAGTATATTTGCAAAGCTCCATTGAGCCCGGTCTGAACCAGTTAAATGGTGTCTACAGTGGAACATGTGCATTAACGCCTGAACATGATGTGGTGTGATGTTGACAGGTTGCTACATTCATTGTTCAAAAGATATTGTTGGATGATGTGGGGATGGATTACATCTGCACAACAGCAGAGCGGTTTTTTGCTGTTGGTCGAGTGTTGGGCAACATGGTGCAGTCGCTTGTGGAGCAGCCTTCTCCACGCCTTTTGAAGCATATCATTCGTTGTTATCTCCGTTTATCAGACAACCCTAGGTTGGTTTAAGCTCAAAACAAACTTCACTTCCTTAGAGATGATTATCACATATTTGATCATGTGTCTGGTTTTGTCATGCTTGAGCTTTGTCACTCGTGTGTTACTTAGGGCTTGTGCTGCACTCGGAAGCTGTCTCCCTGACTCTCTACGAGATGGAACCTTTAGCAATTGTCTTCGCGTAAGTCATTGTGGTACCTAGACTGGGGTTTTGAACTTGTTGTGTAAGAGATGGTTTATAGTTGAAAAGATGGGGGTGTATTTATTTTCAGGAGGATCAAATTGCAAGGAGGTGGCTGCAACAGTTGGTTCACAATGTTGGAGTTGGTCGTGTTCCAACGCATCAAGGTGGAGGATTTGAGCACATGCTTTGAGCTATATCCATCTCAGCCCATCCATGGAGTGTCTCTTTTGTTTTTTCGTTTCTAATTTATTCATCTGCTTTTGATGTCTTAACTTAATATGATGAGTTCTAGGCTTTTAATCTGTTTGAAATTCTTATTGTAAAGTATTATAAGCTTTAGAATAATATAAAAAAAGAACCAAAATGCATAATGCTTTGGATAATAAAGGATTGGTTACAAAATAATACTAGAGTTTTGAGTTTTAGCGAAATTTTATTCCAATAAAGCTTTTAAAGCTAGAACTTGGCGACAGTAACCACAGCGCCGTTTCTTGCACCAGACTCGAGCATTGCTTCAAGAACAGCAACGTCACGAGCACCTTCCACGTATGATAGACGAGGCTCTTGTTCCTTCTGCAGCAAATCCATCAAGACACGTCATAAAGAGTTTAGATAATAGAATAATGTCCATGTTTTGATTCTAGGATTACCTTTGAAGTCTCTGAAATGTCAGAGAAGAACGCTTTTAGCTCTTCAGTCACTCCGCTGAAGGGGTAAAAGATTGTCCTCGAGGTCCCTCCTTCCCCGTAAATCGTGGCCTGAATAGCTCAGAAGATTACAACCATTTTAATTTTGAGTAGTTTCAAGTAAAATATGGATATTTCAGTTGGTCACATGTTAAAAGTATACGAACCATGTAACCATGTCGGCCATCTTGGACTCCACGCTCAAGTTGAACAGTGCCCTTTAGTCCTACGACTCTCCATAATATCTAAAGCATCAATTTTATGTCAGAAAAACTATAATTCTTAGGGTTATGTTAAAAGCAGAACGTCCAAGTCTTAGTACATGCCTTTGGTGACCTTGAAGACACAACCATAACAAAAACTCCAGAGCATCCGTTCTCGAGCTGACTATGGAGCAAAGAAACGTCCTAAGTTAGAGCATTCATGTGAAATTTAGTGTGCTAAGAGACAGGAATTGATGATGCGTGTAAACTTACAAGTTTGATGTTATATTGTCTGGTGCAGGTAAAGTCTTATCCACATGGGAGGTGGTGGCTGAGACTGATGTTACCTCGCATCCAACAAGCTGTTGTTCATGACAAACCAAATACATCATCTTTGTGATCCAATAGCGGGATATCGTAGAAGCTTATAGCATAATGAAGTTATATGGTACCATTCTCAACCCTGCAATGTAATGCACACCCATATCCAAGATGAAACCACCCTGCAAATGAAGAGTTTACGGTAAATATTAACAGATAACACAGTTTTTTTTTCAAGATATATATGGGTGATTGATATATCTCTCAGTGTAAAAACAAAATGATTTAGCAGGATGATAACATTTGGAGCCATATAATTATTAATTGACAAATGCAAGCAAGCAGCGTATTAGGAAGATGCAACAGAGTCTGACAAAATAAGAAAGTGGCGAAACAGAATGCATTACGTACGCCCAAATTTCGTCTCCAGGAGCTTGAGAAATAAGGATTCGAACTGTTCATTGATCCCTCAATAATAAGTTGGACGTTCATCATATCCCCAGTTTCTGCTACCAGCTTCTTTAACTGCCAAAATCAATCTTGAGATACTTGCTCAACCGGAAGTGCCAAGATGACTCTAGGTCGCATTTACCTCAACAAAAGCTGGCTCAAAACGATAATTTTCAGCCACAGCCCAGATAGGACGGCTTGGGGAATTTGCAGAAATATTTCTATAGCTTGTCATTGCAGTTTCTATCTCGGTGATTGCTGCAACAAAAACAAAAAAAACGTCTTAAATCAAAAGGAAGGAAAACATCTTCGTTCCATAAGTTTTACATTAAACGAGTCATGCTCAACAAGAGAAAATGACTCTTGGGCCGGAGACTAATCCTACATGTTTCTCATTTAACTCTGGAAATCAAATAACACGCCAAGCTTGTTTAACCAAGAGCTGTGATCAACTTACAAGCAGCAGCTGGCTTCTCTGCAAACCGATCCAGAGCAGCGACATACATATCAAGAATCAAGAAAAAAAGAATCTTTAGTGTTTTAAGTTGAAAAACATTTCCAAGTAGCAATAACATTGTTTGTGAGGAAAGAAGACCGATTCTACATGTTTGAGCAATCATCAAAGCATTAATGAAGTGGAAACAAGTTCACCTTGAAGGACGTGCTTCCCTGCCTTCAGCATCTTCAGCGACATCTCAACCTAAAAGCATAAGATTTCTGAGTTCACTCAGCTTCCACTAGATTTACACGCATCTGTGAAGACTAGGATCATCAAAGATACCTGGCTTTGTCCAGCTACAACTACAGCAACACCAGCTATTGAACTGTCTTGAATGATCTCACTGAGACCTTCATCTCCCCATTTGCACTTCACTTCTGGAAAATGCTTTCGCGCTATCTCCACAGCTCCTTTCGCAGATTCCTTCAAACCATTGTAACAAAATATCACAATCGTCAAATTCACCATCTCCCAACCAAATCAATCGCATTGGATCAAACGTACACGATGGTTCACTCTCTCGAAATGGCAAATGAGGATGAATGTGTTTAGTGTTTACTACCTCAGAACGGCTCCAAATCGCTTTCAGGACGACGAGATCGGAGATCTCAGCCAGTCGAGGAATGTATTGAGTTTTGACGAAGATCCCAGCTCCGAGAATAGCAATTGCAGGAGGAGATGGATTCGTCATTTTTCGTTTCTCGTCTCGATCGATCTCCCGTATTTTGATCCAAGACAAAAACTTACAGTTGCTGTTTACTCAACCGCAGACTTCAATTTATCGTAACCGTCCAAACCGCAAACGCTATTTGATGATCGCACATTGAATTCATGGGGAAATCACCGATATGCCCCTACATCCAATCTCACCTCTCTAATCGACTTCCATTAACTTCCCTCCTTCATATAACCCTAGATCCTGCTTTGAATTTGATCGAATTTTTGTTATACTGAAAGATTTTGGTTTATCTTATTTCAGTTTTACAAGTTTTGTTGTTGTTTCAATAATTTTTTTATTTTATTCATGGCGGGCGATGATAGTCCAGCTGAAACGAAGAAGGGCAGCTCGAAGAAGAACAGTAAAGAGAGCACTCTCAAGCAAAGTAAATCCTATCTATCTGCACATTTTGGAGTGTAATTGTGTGTTCCCCGGTGATAATTTTGAGCTGAATTGATTTCTTTTTGAATTTTGTGAATTTGCAGAATCTCCAGCTGAGTTTTTCGCGGAGAACAAGAACATTGCTGGGTTTGATAATGTGAGTCTCGATTTACTGGTTCAACTAGAACGATGGACTTTTTCATCTCTGTAATTCCAATTCGATATCACCCTTTCTCGCGAAGTTTGAAATTGTTTGATGATTGAGTCTTGAAATTGTTGATTTCAGCCAGGGAAGTCGCTTTATACTACAGTGAGAGAGCTTGTTGAAAATGCTCTTGATTCTGCTGAGTCGATTTCAGAGCTCCCTGAGGTTGAAGTAACAATGTACGTACGGTCCTTAGTTTGGATTAAAGACAGATGCTTTGAAATGAAAAAAAAAAGCATGTGATAATTCAATATGTTAGTTCTGGTAGGAGAAAGTTTTGAGGTTTCGTGAATCGAAAACGTTATTGTTTCATCTGTAGATTGAATGTCTTGTTTACGTTTTTGAAGCGAAGAGATTGTAAAATCCAAGTTTAATTCCATGATTGGTCTTATCGATCGGGAACGTGTTGACACGAAGCTGTATGATGACTATGAGACAGAGAAGGCCCGCGAGGTGCGTGAAACTCTGTGTTAATTGCTCTCATCTTCGTTTTATTCCAGTTTGTCTGGCTAAAATCCTTGTGCTTTTAAGCAGTTTTTGTTTTGATGTTCAAGAAGTTTCAGTGTTCTGAAATCTTCTGGGCTGTTTAACAATTCTAATTTTTTTTAGTTGTTTCCTGCTATGTAGAAAAGGTTAGTGAAAGAAGCTCGTGCCAGTGAGATACAAGCGAAAAATTTGGCATCGGGAAAGAAAAACAAAGAGCCTGGAGTCTCAAAGGTTTTAAAGGCTCGTGGGGAAGCATCTTATTACAAGGTTACATGTAAGGTTAGTGTTTGAAATTTGAATATATTTTGTTTTATTCAACAGAAATTTTTGTGTGCAATAGGGTATATATACATATGACTTCCAGATCATAAATATGTTCTTCTGCATTTTTTTTGAGATATGACTTGAGTTTATCATAATGTAGGATAATGGTAAGGGGATGCCACACGACGATATCCCAAATATGTTTGGGAGAGGTATATATCTAATGGCCGCCCCTCACTTTCACTATTTAATTAAGCCTCGCGTATCAGCCTCATTATAAGCTCTTGTCTCGAGGCTGGATTCAAATTTGGTGCTTCTTACAGTTTTGTCTGGGACGAAGTATGGACTGAAGCAAACACGTGGAAAGTTTGGTTTGGGTGCAAAGATGGTACTCGTTTTGTCTCAAATTTAAAATCTCAGTCTCTCGTTCATTTTCTTTGCTTCTTTTGATCCTTGTATGGCATGTTTGACATTTGAGATTGGCCTCATCAATCTGCATGAGATGCTGAAGTGGTTAGTGAATACGAATTTGTAAGCTTTAATTGTCTATGACCAAAAGAGGATGATGGCTAGTTCCTTAGCTTACAAAAGGAATATATAAATTTTGTGCAAGACTCACCTTAGGAGGACCTGAACCTTTGGTTTTGATATGCTGCGGGTCTTCTCTTTTGGTTAATCATTGTATATCTAAAATTTTGTTGCTGTCGAGTTGAAATATACATGGAGAATGTAGTTGTGTTAACAGTATGAAATGTTTCCCTTTAATATCTAAGTTTTTCGTAGAGAACCTGTTTAACTCTTCTAGTTGCTCTATTTTTTTTCCTGGCATGCAGGCCCTAATTTGGTCCAAAATGAGTACAGGCCTCCCCATAGAGATCTCTTCATCTATGAAGAGCCAAAACTATGTTACTTTCTGCAGACTGGATATTGATATTCACAGGTACCCCTTGAATACAAGAACAGCTTCTTGAAATCGGATATCAATTTAACTGAATATGTTTGCGCATGTAATGATAATCGCCATGAATTCCTTTGATGTATGCTTTGACTGTTTCAAATCTTTTACGAAACTCCTCATTTCGCTCAGCGTCAAAGAATGGTCTTTAAAATGGTTGATTTTACAGGAACATTCCTCATATTCATCTACACGAGAAGAAGCCCAACAAAGAGAAATGGCATGGGGCCGAAATAAATGTGGTAATTGAGGGAAACTGGACAACATACAGAGTACGTGCTTTAGATCGTCCTTTTGCTGTACCTTGTATCCTTCGATTTATGCGCGTGCACAGTTGTCTTAACACATTTTATCTTTTCTTTTCCAGTCAAAGATCTTGCACTATATGCGCCAAATGGCTGTTATTACTCCTTATGCGCAGTTTATGTTTAGATTTATATCAGAAACACCCGAGTATGATCTCTGTCTCTTTGTCTTCTTGCTCACATAGCTATATCTGTTTACGTGCAGCGTTATTAAGTTGTTTCATCTTATTTTTGTAAGGAAAAATGTCACTATAAAGTTTACTCGAAGAACTGATGTGATGCCCCCAATTCCAATGGAGACAAAGCACCATCCATCGTCAGTTGACTTGCTGCTTATCAAGCGCCTCCTAACGGACACTTCCAAAAAGACCCTTCTGCAGTTTCTTCAGAATGAATTTGTGAATATCAACCGAAACCTTGCAGCGCGATTAATTGGTAAGTATGACATCGATCTCAATTGTTTTATAAGTTAAAGCTGTGTGATATTTCCCTGTAGCAACACATTCTTCTACCTAGTGGAAATGATCTGATATCCAATTAAGAAATTCTGTATCACATGTTCTGATGGATTAGACGAATTGATCTGTTATGTTTGCTGATGCTGGAAGGCATTTTTCTGCTTTTAGTTTGCTGGTTATAATACTTAAGAAAATCATCCTACCCTAGAGTCAAGTTCTGTTTTCTTTATTTCAGGGGAAATGGGACCTGATTTCAGCCCTAGCATGGCTGTCAAATCTGTGACATCTCAGCAGATGGTACGCATACATCAGTTATTCCGCCAAGCTAAATTCGACGACCCTAGTGGTGATGTAAGCATCTACTTTCTCTTAACTGTTCATTGGGAATTGCTTTATTATCCCCATGTCTCTCTCTCGAGGCTCTTATAAAAGTTTAATTTGGTAGAGCATCTGGATTATTGAAAAAGTTTTCTCCTGTAGTGTCTTAGCCCGGCAGGAGAATACAATCTTCGTCTAGGGATTATCAAGGAGCTGCATCCAGATATGGTGGCAACGCATTCGGGCAGGTTGTCACTGGAACCCTCAATTTTCTGCAAATGCATTTAATTATAATATTGAGTGCTATAATAGTTATCTTATAGTAGTAATCTCATCTGTCAAGCTTTTTACCTTCTTTGTCGTTAATCTGAGCTTTCTTTCTTCAAGTGTTGACTTCTTCCTGGAAACTCTGTTCAGTGCTCAGGTCTTCGAAGGTCATCCTTTCATTGTTGAAGCTGGTGTTAGTGTGGGTGGAAGAGATGTGAAACAGGCAAGTTATATCCCCCTTTTGTTTATTCATGTGTATTCATTCGCAGCAAAGCTTGCAAACACGCTCAAACGAGAGTTCCCTGCGGTTTAAGTTTGTTCTCAATCTCAAAGATATTATCTTTTACATTCTGTTGATGAATTTTCTTGGGGATACGTGGAAACTGAAATGACAGGGGATCAACATATTCCGTTTTGCAAACCGCATACCTCTCCTTTTTGAACAAGGAGGCGATGTTGTCACAAGGACAGCCTTAAAGAGAATCAAGTGAGACTTCTTCTTAGCTTGCTATATCTCATTAAAGTTGGTGGTATCTTTCATCAATTTTTTTACTGATGGGGGTATTGAAATACTTTGCAGTTGGAATAGCTATAAGATTAACCAGACGCAGGATAAAATAGGAGTATTTGTGAGCATAGTGAGTACAAAAATTCCTTTCAAAGGGACAGGGAAAGAATACATAGGAGATGACATCAGTGAGATAGCTACTGCAGTCAAGGTAACCTAAGACAGACTTTTCGACTGTATCTGCAACTTGTTAAAGCTAACTTCTGGCATTTTTTTCTTCATTGAAGTCTGCAATTCAACAATGCTGCATCCAACTGAAATCCAAAATAGTCAAGAGAATGCAAGCCCGCGAACAACAAGAGCGAAAACGCAGTTTGAGCAGGTAACAAAATAAACACTTTCCTCCAATGGTGACTCGTGTCTCTTTGCTACAAACCTGAACAAAATTAACCAAGAAACACGAATGTTGCAGATACATCCCCGATGCGACTGGAGCAGTGTACGATGTTCTAAAACAAATGACAGAGGAACATACTACAAAGAGAAAACGTTACAAAAAGGAAGACACAACTATGCTTGAGGAAGTGTCTAAACGTATAATCACAAAAGAAACACTGAAAGAAAAGCTTGCAGAGCATGTGGAACAGGTTTTTGTTTTTCTCCTTTTTAAGTTTCTACTGCATCATCACTTTTGGTTTTTTTGCTGAATCCTTGGAATGGTTTCAGGTGGATTACGAGATGGCATTAGAGTATGCAACACAAAGTGGAGTTAGTGAAGAACCCAGAGAAACTATTTATCTCCAACACTTGAATCCCAACAATTCCAACTTCACTGATCTTCACAGTCCAACTTTTGTCTTCAGGCTCATCATGTAAAATGTTTGTAATCCTACTACGAGTTTTAGTCCACTTCTTCACTTTCTTCTGTGTGTGTTTTTTTTTTTAATATTTAAAGTTTGGGATGCTCGAAAAGTGCAAAAAAGAAAGCATAAAATTTAACACTCTGTTTGGTTCGTTTCAGCAAACGTATTGGAGAACGTGATAATAATTAGTATAAAAATCAAGAGCTCGAAAACTTATTAAAATGTTTTCTTACCTCTTCAGATTATTTTTTGTCCTAATCGATAATAGTTGTCGATGACGTAAGTTTTCTCTTGTAATAAAAAAAAAAAAATTCGTGCGTTTCTTTTTAGCCTATTTTAATGAAGGTATGGATAATGGATATTTTTTATTATTAAAAAGTTTGCAAAAGTGACTAAGGGAAATAACGTATTTTTGGTTTTGCGGCAATCAATAATATACGTGTTAAAAACATTTAATTCATACCGCGTAATAAAAATAAAAGAAATGAAAGTGTACCAAAGTAACCCCAAACGAGGAGCAGTGAAGCAGTACCAAAAGGCGCTTTGTTATTTATTTCTGAAATATAATTGTAATAAACAAAAATCAAAAATGTCAATAAATGATCTCTCTCTTAAATATTTGCGTAAAATAAATTAATGTATATAAATATTCTACCCTCTCTTTCCCTGATCTACAGAGACTCCACAAACGCAAGAAACGCAATTAACAAAAGTCGCTTTCTACCCACGTGATCTTTCGTCGACTTTTCTTCTTCTTCTCCTTCTCCTTCATCTTCATCTCTCGTCTCTCTAACTTTTAGGGGAGTTTTTTTGATGAATTAGGGTTTATTATTTTCTCTTTTCTTTTTCCCATAACCAAGAGGAGGAGAAAGGCAGAGACCTTTATTTCATTCTGTTATTTTTATTGGGCTGCTTGTTAATCTCCAGGTAACTTATTTGCTTCCTGCTCTTCCCTTCCCCATTTGATTCTGTTCATTGGTTATTGATACTGAAGATGATGATGATAGATTTCTCTTGGGGTTTTGATAGATCGATGGTTTTTTTTTACTGCAGATAGTGTTTACACGATCTAAAATAGATGAGTTAAAACTAATTCTATTGAATCTATTTTTTTTATATTCCCAGATATATCGGTATCGTTGATCTATACGCTTATATTCCAATTTTTTTTTTTTACATTTGAATTTCATTTCTCTTTCTTATTTCGCTCTCTTCAGAGATGATCCTTTCTATATTTGGGGGTTACTCAGATTTTTTCAAATCTCATGTGGATTTTTGTTGTCTTTCTAGGCTGAGAATCTCTTCCCTTATTTGGAAATTAAATCTGTAGATAATTTGTTTGCCGATCGATTGATTCTGTTCGGGTTGAATTTGATACTCCCAAGTCAAAAAAAATATACGATCTGATGTATTTTCTTAGTTAAATCCCCTTTTTTTTTGAATAAAACGGTTATTGAGTACGAAAAGTCATCTTTCTAATTCTGGGTTTTGTTTGATTTTCGTAATTTGTTTTGATTTCGCTCTAATGATCGCTAATGTGTTTTTTTTTTTACAGGTTTTAAATTGGCTCTGGTCTTTACTGTGAAGAGTCGCGATGATATTTAACGAGATGGGAATGTGCGGGAACATGGAGTTCTTCTCTTCTGGGTCATCTCTCGGAGAAGTTGATTTCTGTCCCGCGCCACAGGCTGAACCAGATTCGATCGTTGAAGATGACTACACCGATGACGAGATTGATGTGGATGAACTGGAGAGGAGGATGTGGAGGGACAAAATGCGTCTGAAACGTCTCAAGGAGCAGGACAAGAGCAAAGAAGGAGTCGATGCTGCGAAGCAGAGGCAGTCTCAGGAGCAAGCGAGGAGGAAGAAAATGTCTAGAGCTCAAGATGGGATCTTGAAGTACATGCTGAAGATGATGGAAGTGTGTAAAGCTCAGGGCTTTGTCTACGGGATCATCCCGGAAAACGGAAAGCCTGTGACCGGTGCGTCGGATAATCTCAGGGAGTGGTGGAAAGATAAGGTCAGGTTCGATCGTAATGGTCCTGCGGCTATAACGAAGTACCAAGCGGAAAACAACATCCCCGGTGTTCATGAAGGGAACAATCCGATTGGTCCGACGCCGCACACTCTTCAGGAGCTTCAAGACACGACTCTCGGGTCGCTCTTGTCGGCGTTGATGCAACACTGTGATCCTCCTCAGAGACGGTTTCCTCTGGAGAAAGGAGTTCCTCCTCCGTGGTGGCCTACAGGGAAAGAGGACTGGTGGCCTCAGCTCGGTTTGCCCAAAGATCAAGGTCCTGCACCGTACAAGAAGCCGCATGATTTGAAAAAGGCGTGGAAAGTCGGCGTTTTGACTGCGGTTATCAAGCATATGTTCCCTGATATCGCCAAGATCCGTAAGCTCGTGAGGCAATCGAAATGCTTGCAGGATAAGATGACCGCTAAAGAGAGTGCTACGTGGCTCGCCATTATTAACCAAGAAGAGTCTTTGGCTCGAGAGCTTTACCCTGAGTCCTGCCCTCCAGTTTCTTTATCCGGCGGAAGTTGCTCGCTTCTGATGAATGATAGTAGTCAATACGACGTTGAAGGATTCGAGAAAGAGAGTCACTATGAAGTAGAAGAGCTTAAGCCGGAGAAAGTGATGAATCCTTCAGGCTTTGGGATGGCTGCGAAAATGCATGAGTTCTCTGTAAAGGAAGAAGTCCCATCGGGAAACTCGGAGTTTATGAGGAAGAGGAAGACGAACAGAGATCTGAACAGTATAATGGACAGAACGGTGTTCACCTGCGAGAACCCTGTGTGTGCTCATAGCGAAATCAGCAGGGGATTTTTGGACAGGAACTCGAGAGACAACCATCAATTGGCATGTCCACATCGAGACAGTTGCTTACCGTATGGAGCAGCAGCAGCATCCAGGTTCCATGTTAATGAAGTTAAGCCTGTAGTTGGATTTTCTCAGCCAAGGCCGGTGAACTCGGTGGCCCAACCAATTGACTTGACGGGTATGGGAGTTCCTGAAGATGGACAGAAGATGATCTCAGAGCTCATGTCCATGTACGACAGGAACGTCCAGGGCAACCAAACTTCTATGGTTATGGAAACCCAAAGTGTGTCATTGCTTCAGCCAACGGTCCAGCAGAATCATCAAGAACATCTCCAGTTCCAAGGAAACATGGTCGAAGGGAGCTTCTTTGAAGACTTGAACATCCCAAACAGAGCTAACAACAACAACAGCAACATCAACAACAACCAAACGTTTTTCCAAGGGAACAACAACGGGTTTAAGTTCGACGCTACACACAACAACAACAACTTTGAAGCTGCGCATAACAACAACAGTAGCAGCAGCAACAGGTTTCAGGTTGTGTTTGATTCTACACCGTTCGATTTGGCCTCATTCGATTACAGAGATGACATGTCAATGCCAGGAGTAGTAGGAGCGATGGATGGTATGCAGCAGAAGCAGCAAGATGTACCCATATGGTTCTAAGTCTTGGTAGTAGATTTCATCGTCTGATATTTTTATTTACCGTTCGTGTCCTTACGTTCACACTTCTACCATGTAATATTTTTCTGGGTATTGTCTCCCGCTTGTCATGTGTTTGTGAGAGTCTCTGAAACTCTGTTACTGTGTGTCTTTGTCTCGGGCTGGTGAGTCTCTCTCATCATCAGCTTCTTTTAAATTACACATCCCCATACTTTGGGACGAACACGATGTAAGTTTTCATATTATATATAATTTGCGACTTCTCTTAATCTGTTTTTATTAAAGCTTTGTTAAATACTGTACTCGATGATTGAAAAGTTTGATGTGTTTCACACTTAAATCACACTCTGAAGTGTAGCTTGGTGGTTAATTTATTTATTATAAGAAGTATATTAAAAATTGAACTTGATAGCCAACGTGTTTGTTGCAAGTGGCTTGTTGGTATTAGGGCAGGGAACATCACCTTCCCAACCAGCGAACAAGTCACAACACACGCACCAAGAAGAAGAAGCAAAGAAAAAAAAAATGTTATTCTAGAAATAAGGTATTTTCAAATACCTTTCTTTTTCTTTAGTTTGACAATATTTCTCTTTAAATTAGTTTATTCGACGTTTATATTATTCTAATTATTTAATGTAGTAGCAGCCATGAATATTTCGATCACATTTTTTTTATGGTAGCAGTTATTTAACTCTGTTATTTTTTTTAGATGTGCTAGTTTTTTTTTTTGTATCCTTAGATTATTTTCTGCCAATTCGGTTTACACTTGCTAGTTAGCTAGCAGTTTTTGAAATTTACTGATTTTTTTGTTTAAATAGTTTGTTTTAGCTTTAATTATTGAGTGTATCCCCTGCATATTTTTTCTTTTCATTGTTTGGTCGACATGTATGGTGTTATAAACTTTGATGATGGTGTCAGATTCTTGGTTATTGTGTACATATGTTTAGTGACATTTATTAAATCGAATATTTGATACTCTTACTTATCGTATGAATCTTTAAACAAACGTTTTAACTGGGTCAAACAAATTGTCTCGGATTTTCAGGACCAGGTCAAATTTGACCGGGCTATATACTCGTAACACCATCTAGCTTGAAATGTCTGATTGTTTGGGCTTATATTTCTAGGTCCGATTTTGTTTTGGGTTGGGCCGTAACTGAAATAACAATTTGAATTTCTTTTTTTTCTTTTCTTTATTTTCGAAATTACTAAAACCATTTATCTCGGCGGGAAATTCATCGACGTCCCCGAAAAAAAAAAAAAATCCCCTAAATCTGTCTCTTCATCTTCTGGCAACTGTTAGGGTTTTTCGTCTTCTTCCCTTTAATCACTTTCCGTTTCACAATCTTTATTTTCCTCTGGGATCGAATCATGAGGAACTCGGTAAAACGGGAAGCGGAAGCGACAGGAGATCGCGGCGGGAGAAGAGAAGCCGATGAGTCGGAGAGGCTGAAGATTGTGAAGAAGGAGAGGCAGAGCAAGAGCAGGGCTGTCTTTGTACGGCCTCATGAGCCGCCGATTCAGGAGGACGAACAGGGAACTGCTGATCGGAGGGCTTTAAGATCTCAGTACCTCTCTCTCATTCACAAGATTAACGGTTTATTTTGTCGCCTTCTTTAAGTCTAATTTTTCTCTCTGTACTTTGGGTTTTTTTGTGTTTTTCTGACGTAAATAAATGTTATCTTGTGCAGATTCTAAAGAAGATTTGACAGCGATTGATTCGGATAAGTTCAACCGTATCATTAACGAGGTTGAGAATTTGCATCAGCAAGGTAGTATATAAAATTCGACTAATTGTGAGTTTGTGGATTTAATCATTAAATGAGGTTGAGATTTACAATTTTTTTTTCCGAGCAGTGCACAAGCCTAGAGAGCAAATTGCAGATGCTGATGCGCTTCTGGACATAGCGACTACTTTGGCTTCGTCTGTGAAATCCCAATCCGCTAGTGGCGTTTCTCCGGCTGAGTTTGTTAATGCTTTGATCCGTGGGTTTGGAGAGACTTCTCTAGGGATTGATGATGATGATGAGAACACGCAAGTGTCGATGAAGTGGAAAGACATTGGTTTTGCTGTCTGCTCTACTGTCATTGTTTCGTGTGGCTGTTCAACAATGTGAGTTTTCTCATTTATGATTTGCTTAAAGCATGACTTTGTTTCAGATCATGTTCTGTTCCAAATTACTAATTAGAAAGATGTGAACTTTATTTGGAAATTTCAAATTTTTGAATGTTCTGCATCTTGTTGCAGGACGGGTCCTATGGATACTGAACTGAAACAAAGGAAAAGGGCAGTGGGATACAGAAAACGTACGAAGCCTGGTGCAGGTGTTAAGCCAGAGGAGGTGAGAACTGTTATTTGCAAATTTCAGTAATCTTTATGACTGATTCTACTTATCATCATAGAATCTGCTTTATGGATTTAGTTTGCATGTAGAACTTTGTCAATTGTTGCTACGATTGAATGTAATTAGAAAGGAAACTGATTTATCCTCCAGGTTGATGATACAGAAGCTGAGAAGAAAACTGATACGGACAATAACATGGCAATAATGTTTAACATCCTGAGGAAAAACAAACGTGGCAAGATTGAAAACTTGGTGCTCAACAGAATATCATTTGCACAGACAGTAGAGAATCTGTTTGCGCTATCATTCTTGGTGAAAGATGGACGAGTCGAGATCATTGTCGATGAAACTGGTTCTCATTTTGCCGGTAAAGATATTACCTTTTTCATTCCTTATGTCTGGTTTTGGTGTTTGACAATAACATGGCAACAATGCTGATTTCACATGTTGTGTCACTTTCTTTGATCTGTCCTCAAGTGCCAAGGAATGCGCCTGCAGCAAACCTGGTGATGTCAGGGGAAGTCGTGTACAACCATTTCGTATTTAGATATGATTTCAAAGATTGGAAGGTATAATAAAAATTACTGTTTCCTTGTTTACAATATTTCTCTCTAAATGGTTAAATATTGATTGGGTGATTTACTGCATATAGCTGATGAGCGAAATGGTGGCAGTGGGAGAAGAGCTGATGCCACACAGGGAAACCGAAGTTGCTTCATCTTCTTGTGACTTGGCATCAAAACAAGATTCTCAGACAAGACCAATAAGTAAGCAAGGTTCGGTGACACAAGAGGAAACAGTTATAGAAGATTCTCCTGACAATGGAGACAGTGGAGCTGATGGAAGACGCCGTAAAAGCAAGCTAAGGCGACTCAATAGTGAAGATTGCTTGTGACTTGGGATCAAAACAATTGCTTGTGAATTTGCTAATTTTGTCTTTTTTTCTGACTAAAGTCTATTGGGGTACATAGCAGCGGTTAATATGACCTATGGTTTATTAGGTAGACAGAAGAGAGTATCTAATGGATTCCTCGTTAGTATTGCTATTTTGGTTGATGGTAGGTTTTTTGGAATTTAAGAGATATTGAATTCAATATTATTTCGCCATTTTTCAAATAATTTCAATATTATATATAACTACTGAATTATCTGCAATAATATAAAATGATATTATTGTTTATTGATGTAACAAACAAAAAACGTATTTCTCTAAAACCAATGTAACCGCCCTGCAATTATCAGTAAGATATGCACACAGACAAAAGAAAACCACCCATTACATTGGTTCAAAGAAAAATGGCCGTTTTTTAGTAAAAAGTTCAAAGTCATACCTATACATATCTATTTTACAGTTGTAACTTCACTAGATTCTAAATATATTTATTTCTAGCATTTAATTTATCAACTAAAATTTAGATTATGTAAATCTTATCCTAGTTTTTTTTTTTGGGTGCGTTAAATCTTATCCTAGTTAACCAATACACAGCTACACACCATTTGTGATTCTTCCATTTAGAATGGTAAGAAGAGAGGAAAAGCATATCTTTGGGGAAAATCCAAAATAACATATCTTGATATTTTTTTACCAAAACGAGTAGCATAAATTTCTTTATATCAAATATGCCAAGTTTTTTTTTAAATGACTATGACCAAAATTTATTTTCCACTTCAAGTAAAATATTATAAAACTGAAACCTGATTAAAGTAGATGAACCCAAAACACATTATGTAAATTTGTGTCAGAAGAAGTACTACTTTTCATATCTATTTTTTTTTTCAAATAGAATTCAAATTGTTTTACAAGTTAGTTATTTTATAGTATTCCTCCATAATTAACTATAAAAATCAAAATTTCCCATATTTTATGGTGTTTTTCTTTTTTTGATCAAAGGTGTTTTTCTTTAATAAAAAAACTTAGTGCTATTAGTATGATTTGTTGAAACTCTATATGTAAATATAATCTTTGTTTGTTAAAAAGATTAACTGCAAATTTTTTTTTTCATACAAGAAACTGCGAATTCATAATTTTACAAAATTTGTAAATGAAGAAATTTTCTTAAACCTCCAACATTGAGATTTCCTCTGACAAAGCTTAATCAGAAACATCGATAAATACTATGCTTAATACAAACAATCACTCAAGTCCTTCTGGTTCTCCTCTCTGCCTCCTTCCTAAACTTTATCCCACAAGCGTTGCATAATGTCTGAAGAAAACACGTTTACCAATTAAGCAACGTAATTAATACTGTTCAAACCTGATTAATTAGCTGAAAAAAAATTGAGATTAATTTAATGAAATTACCTTAGGACCAAGAGGACCTCTTCGCCACATAGGAGTGGCAATCGCGTTGCAATTCAGGTTCGTACACCTCCTCGTCACGTTAATCCTTCCGCCGCAGCAGCCACCACAGCCGCGACGCTGCTTTGGGTTTGCGTTTGCGTCCAGAGCGTTTTCCATCGCCAATGAGTTATTACGATGCGCTCTCCTAGCTGGAACATCAATCAGAACATAGTCACTCCCCGCAACAGGAATCGCCGGCGCCGGAGCCGGATACGGACGCGTCGGATAAGGAGCGAAATTCAAGGTCTCGCCGATGCCGGCGAAGCGGTTGAAGATTAGACTGTAGTATCTTATATTAACGTTGACGTTGTTTCTTGCACCTTCTTCGTTGTCGATCACTTCATCGTCGTCCAAAAGAATGTGACGGCGATGACGACCGTCGACGTTGATCCCCTGTTTTGGTTTAGTTTAAAACTCTAATCAATAAGCAATTAATGCATAGTTATGTAATAATTTGTCCATATGTTGCGCTGTTGTAAATATTATAATGGGAATTAATCGTAAAACGAAAATGATGATAAGGATTTGATGTTTTTTTCCCCAAAATTGTTGTCATTGTTTTATCTTTAACTTTAAGACAGTGAGGTTAGCGTTTTTTTTTCAGATTTAATAATAGTTCAATGAATTTAGATTAAAGAAATTTTTTTTATTTATAATAAACATGAAATTAGTCATGCAATTTTCAAATGTTATCAAGTAAATCAATCAAAGAGGAGTTGGTGATTGGTGTCACTAGATCTCTCTATGTACTAAATTTTCAGATTTGTTCAAGCTTACATCAATCAATTATAGTGTAATCAATAGAGAAAAAGAATATTTATAAAATTAAAATTAATGAAATAAAACCTGTTCAGTGGTGGGAGTGTTGAAGCTCAGGTGTGTAACAGTCGGACTCGGCAAACCCAACCTCAGTGTTAAATCCAATCCATTCTCCATTTTCTCTATAGAAAAATTTTAAGAAAAATCAATAACAATATACATATAACTATAAAAAAAACATTCACATGAGTTTAAACTTTACAAACGCATTTCCCATGTAGTATATATAAACATGAAAACGGGCATGCAAGATACTGTGTTAATAGACTTACGAAGATGATTAAGCAAATCGATCAGCAATTTTTAGTTTTTGATTTTTTCAGATCTGAGACTAATCGATCCACTAATCTTGTGGAGACCGTGTGTTGCTTTGGTTCGCATTTATACACGTAGACAAATATAAGTGCGGTTATATGCATATATGTACGCACGTATATAGAGAGCAACAATAAGGCATGAGAAATGTGATTATCGACAAATCATGATTGCTACATGACAAATCGAGCTTAATTTCGAAAGAAAAGACAATAATTCTGAAAAAAAACGGTAAATTTTTTTGAAGACCAACCATGGAAATAACATGAGAAGACTGAAGAGGGAGCTAGATCTGACTGGACTTATAAAGAGACTATTTTTTCCTTATTTAATCTTCAAAAAGCTTTGTATGTAACTTTATGAAAAGAAATTGATTGGTTTATAGTTCTGGTAGGATTTTTTTTTGTAAAGGCATTGTAGATTAGTGCTTTCATTACTTATGTCTAGCAATTTTGTTAATTCTATATTTTTTTATATTGACTTTAATTTTATTTCCAGTCATTGCTTATTAAAAAATTTATTTTTTTACCAAAACTAATTTTCATCAATTTGGAATGCTATCAAACAATTGTTATAGTACTTCTAAAAGATAACAACTTCAAACGATTGAATTGGTTATTTAAAATATTTTTAGAGACCTATCAAATAATTTATTTCAAATTTAAGAAAAAAGTGCAGATGAAGTTGTTTGTCGGAAAATATCGTATATAGTAAATACGATTGACTCTGACACTGGAAGTAAATTTGTCGAAATATAATCTTATTTCGCGTGTCGATTTCTGAATGTTTAGCAAAAAACAATAGCAATACTTTTTAATATATAAATTAGAAAATATATAACTAACAACTAAACCAATAGACAAAAAAAAATCAGAAAAAGAGACAGTCAACTTTCAAACTGTATTTTTAAGCGTTTTTGGCTCAATCGTATGTTTGGGAAAAAGTAGAAATGGTGGTTCAAAAATGGAAGTGATCATTTTAGAAAGGGTTGAAACTATGCGAGAGTTGGATGCAGTTTGAAAAGTTGGATACATCCCAAACATAAATAATAGTAAATGAGAGTGTGTAAATCAGAAGAATATAGGTTAAATCTCTGATTTGTAATGTTTTTTCAGGGATGGCTTAAAAAGTGAGGCAAGGCCAAGAGTAGAGGTGTCAAAATAAGCTAACTCGGCTTAACTATTTTTAGTCTCGCACGCTCGCTAACTTAATTAAACTACAATCTGAGCTGAGCTGAGCTGAGTAAGCTCACTGAGCTAATGACATATTTTGATATCCTTAACTAAAAATAGGTATTTTTCTTTAAGAAAATTAATTGAGGGGGCCAAATTTGTAGTATTCATCCATAAACATTTCACCTATTTGTTTGGCAAAAAAATGAAGGATAAAATCTATAAAACTTAGAAGATCTTTGTAATTATAAATTCTTCAAAATCGCTAATCTTTGGGTTATTCACATCATGTGATCCTGAAAACGACAATTGTTATTAACAGTAACATGTGATAGTAGTATAGTTCAATGTTTATTCTAAAAAGAGTACAGTAACATATATGTATATATATATATATATATTAACAAAAAGTTATAGAAGATATGACATTTACTAAAGATTAAAAAGCACACACAGGACTATAGGAACTTAGGAAGGAGGACGTTTTCCTGTGACTAGAATCTTAACCCTAATAAGTAATAAGTAACATATATAAGGAGTGGGCAAGCTAGCGTGCAAGTTAATTAAAATCCCTAATTTCAATATGAAAATGACGATGATCTCTCATCTTTAACGGGATTTAATTGGTAGAGGATATATATATATATATAGCTAGGGTTCCAATAACTTATATAGTAGCCGTGAGAATGAAATCCACTAGCAAACGATGAAATGATTTATCCAAAGATCGAATTTATATATGCAAATCAAAAGTAAAACATGAGTTAATTTGTGGGGTTCATGATGAGGACTTTTTCAATATGATTCGTTCTCCATGGAATCTTTAACGGATCATTTGATCAAGTCGAGATAACAAAGTCTTTCATTGCCATGGCTCACTAAAGAGGAAAAAACTAAGCTCGTGGTTAATTTGGAATCTGTATTTGGGAGAAACCTGGTGGATCAAACCAATACATGTCTTCCTCAGATTTGACATGTATTATGCTCTCGGTTACGTCAACAACAGCAAGAACCGTAATCAACCCACAAAATCTTCTTGATGTTTTTGGAGAATCACTTTAGCGTCGGACCACATTACTATCGTGGGTTTTGTTTAGGTCATTTTAAGCTTGTTTAGTTAACAAATGTTTTACAAAATTAAACGGATGGCCTGTTTAGCCCGTTAAGCATTTTTTTTTTGAGAAAACAATTATTCACAAAAACAACACTGTTTTGATATAAGGTTTATTTTTTTCACAACTAAGATTGATCCCCAAGCAAATGTGATGTTTGACAATGCGTTCCATTGACCAATCATGCTGTTAGGTATAGAACCGGTGTTTATGAGCAGAATGGATGAATCATCATCAGGTTTGAATCCTGAGGTTGCAATTTAAATTGCTTTTACATCAATCTCAATCACGAGACACATTAAGACTTTTACAATGTGTTTATTGCAACTTTTGTTTCATCTTCTATTCTTTTGACTCCCATATGTGCCAGCTTCATTAACATATGCACTATTAACGTGTGGTTGCTCTCAGCGAATCCTTGATCTTTCACCTCTTTTTTTATTTATTATGGGTTTCTCATTTTCCTCACTCGTACAAATCCTAGAGCTCAGCGCAAGTGTCATCACTAGTACATATCTCTATCGCCAAGAAGAATATCCGTGCTTTTCCACTTATGTTGAACATAAGTTTAGTGCAACTCAACAAAACGGCAAAAGGCAAGAGAAGAAGAGGAAGTGAGCTCTATAATACAACCAGTGCACAAGGAAATAAAGAGTCAAAGAGACTATACATACTAGTTATCCTCTTTTACAATATTCGTTTTTCTTGCCATCTCCTTTTCATTTGTTTTGTTATGTCAGACGAAGAGGGCCTCGATTTAACCACGTGACCCTCACTGAGGAGAGGAAGTAGACCATTCCAGATTTGAGTTATCTTTTTTTTTTTCTTTTTCTTTTTCCTCTCCATATACGCATAACATTTTATTTTGTAATTTACAAAAAGAATTTTAAGTTATAATAAAAACCATGTACCAATCTAGTTATTGCTAGTTGGTTTTAAGTTAGAATCCTATATAACTTAATGGATTTAAGTTAGAATCCTGTATAACTTAATATTTTATACAATATCCTTGACAATTCGTTTACTAATACATATATAGATATCAAATAAAAAGAAAGACAGCAAAATAGTAAACCTATTTTTTTTTTATCAAACTTCTTTATTTGTTATATATATATATATATAATAAGTATATAATCTAATAGTTTAGAGAAATATCATGCAACAAATAATGCTGAAATTAATCTCCAGCCACCAACATTTTCTCACTGTTACAGTTAATTAGTATTAAAAATCTTTATTATCTTTATCTTTTCAACTTTATTACTAATATCATTTTTCTTTTTCCTTTCTTCAGATTTTGACGATAACTACGATAGCATCCTTATTAGTATAACAACAACATAGTTAATGTCAATTTTTTTTTAATATGATAATTCTATTAACATGATTATTTTTCTTATATAACACAATTAACACAATAATTTTATATCAATAATTAATTAATATAGATAATTTATATTGATAAATAAATTAACATTATAATATATAACATGATTAACATAATTAAAAATTTAAGTTATAAAAAACTATAGACCAATCTAGTTATTGCTAATTGATTTTAAGTTAGAATCCTGTATAACTTAATATTTTACACAATATTTTTGATAATTCATTTACTAATACATATACAGATATCAAATAAAAAGAAAGACAGCAAAATAGTAAATCATTTTTTTATTGAACTTCTTTATTGGTTATATATATCCGTAATAAATATATAATCTAATAGTTTATAGATATGTTAATATAAATATTACTATGTACATTGTTAACAAAAATGAATTAATTGTAATTATATATATTATTTTTGTAGATACTGAAAGTCTGATATACATTTTGATTTTTTTACTTAAACACTATTACAATAAAAGCACCTAAAGTTTTCTGAAGCGAAGATTCAGTTTTTTTTAAAAAAAAATTGTAAAATGATTTAAAAAAATAAATAAACTGTCACTACATAAACCACCAAAGGCTGAAATAAATTAGAATAAATATTGTATAGTTTGGGTGGTCGGTTTCGACTTTGGAGGATATCAATTAGAAATAATATATTACATATACTTCAAAATTTCCAATCTAAAAATTTCATATACTTGAAAATTAAAAAAAAAAAAAAAGGTAAATAGATCAGTTTTGATCTAGTGAATTAAGAGTATTCTATTTTTTTATTATCATATTTAGCGCTAATAAAGGGATAGATATTTCTAAAAGTGAAAATATTAATTTTGATTTCCTTACCAAAATATGCTGTTCTTTCCTTCTTAAAGGCAAGTTTGTGTCTGTCAGGTCACAAGAATAATTTTTGTCGTCAGATCAAATCTACGGCTACAGTGGTTTTAGTAACCCGTACATGTATAAGCTACAAAGGCCAGTAGTTGTTGCATGAGACTGGTGAGCTCAGAGGAGTGTGCGAGAGATTCAAATGTCGAAGATAGCTTTTGGGAACGAGTCAATCGTTGGGTCTTTGACTCCATCGAACGATAGATCGTACAGAGTGACCAATAGGATTCAAGAAGCGAAGAAACCTTTGTACGCTGTTGTTTTTAACTTCATTGATTCCCGTTTCTACAGAGTTTTCGTAACCGCCGGTGGAAATCGGGTAAAAATTTCTTCTTTCCGAATCTCCATTAGGATTTTTTTTTTTTTTTCAATTCTGGGTCTGTTTAGGTTGTAATGGAGATCGATTGCCCAATAGGGAGTTTCCTTTTACTGTTTGATTTTTGAATTTGTGGCTGTTTCCTTGAGATGTTGTCCGAAAGATTGAAACTTTGCTTGATGGGTTCCTTTTCAAACGGCAGACACACACTTAAGCTCATCAATGATTATGAATCGTTTAGTTTAAGCTTTCTGGTATTGCAGATTTTGTGAAAGTTTATGGCTTTATCTATCTTAGAACTACTTGGAGGAACTTCATTACTTATACAGTTGATTACTCTATCTTGTTTTCAATGAGGGTTCCTGGTAATGGAGAGTTCTCGGATCCTGTTTGGGAATAAGTGGAGCTGACTTGTAATCTTATACATTTGATTAAGTCTCATCCTCTCTTAAATGCAGTTTTCCTAAGAGTTTTCCTTTCTGCAGTAAGGTTGTTTGGTTGCTCAACGTGAATATAGCAATCTTAAGTAGTTGTGAATTTTGTCATCTCTCCCAGTTTCCATTGAATTGTCAAATGAATGATTTTGCGGTGAGACTTTATTAGGTCTGATACCATGTGAAAGTTCTCATACACTTGAGTTTCTCATAAATTTTTTAACCAAGGGGTTCTTTCATTTTAAACTTTACCTGAGCTGAGTCATGAAATCTCATTACTGACATTGGTGTTCTCTCTTATTATGTTAGATTACTCTGTACAATTGTCTTGAAGATGGTGCCATATCTGCATTGCAATCCTATGCTGATGAAGATGTAAGGAGTAACATATATTTATTAGCTTTTAACTTCTGAGAAATAAATGAAGAAATGAAGTTTCACTGAGGCCACTTGTGTAAATGTATGTCCATGTGCTCTGGAGATCAGAAGGAGGAGTCCTTTTACACTGTGAGTTGGGCGTGTGGCGTTAATGCGAACCCATTTGTTGCGGCTGGGGGAGTAAAAGGCATAATCCGAGTCATTGATGTCAACAGTGAAACGATTCATAAGGTACTGTTGCTTTTTCATAAGCTCTCGAATGACATGAAGCAGTATCCTTGCAAATTTTTCTGGTATAATCTGTGCTCGCACATATGCAGAGCCTTGTGGGGCACGGGGACTCAGTGAACGAAATCAGGACACAACCCGTAAAACCTCAACTTGTGATTACTGCTAGTAAGGTATATCTCTTGGCTCTGTGTTTCTCTCTATAAATGTCGTGACATTCATTTATTTGTTGATGGTTAAGAAGTACTCTTACGTTTTTAATTGGATCAGGATGAATCTGTTCGATTGTGGAATGTTGAAACTGGGATATGTATTCTGATATTTGCTGGGGCTGGAGGTCATCGCTATGAAGTTCTAAGTGTGGTAAGCCATTATGGTTTTTTGTATTCCCTTAATCAGAATGGGTGTGAAAGAAAACAGTTGCTGATGCAGTTTGCTTCACTCAATATCAAGAGACATGTTAAGTATAACCATCTTCTCTTGGGTAATTGTAGGATTTTCATCCTTCTGATATTTACCGTTTTGCTAGTTGTGGTATGGACACCACCATTAAAATATGGTCAATGAAAGGTAAAGATTTAAACCGAGCACACTTGAAAGGAACTTCCATTTGTTGAAAACCTCTTGAGAAGAAAAAGGCTTTGTGGTTCGTTTGTATGATCTTGTTCTTTTGCTGCCTTCAGAGTTTTGGACATATGTCGAGAAGTCATATACGTGGACGGATGATCCGTCAAAATTTCCCACCAAATTTGTACAGTTCCCTGTGAGTATTCTCTTTTTCCTTCATCTTGTAACAACAAGTGTCAGACAGACACATATTGATGGACTTTGTTAATAATAACATCACTTCATTGTGTAGGTATTTACAGCTTCAGTTCATACAAATTATGTTGATTGTAACCGTTGGTTTGGTGATTTTATTCTTTCAAAGGTTAGTTAGTCAATGATGGATATGATGATTTCATATGGTGGAGTAAGCTAAAAAAAAACGAAAGCTTAACTCTTGTGTACTTCTTATTCAGAGTGTGGACAGCGAGATCCTGTTGTGGGAACCACAACTGAAAGAGAATTCTCCTGGAGAGGTTAGGATCTCATTACTGCACCAAACATAACTGAATCATTCATTTGATCACAAATGTTAGAAATTGTAGTTTCTTTGTTTTGTCTTGTTTGCAGGGTACTTCAGATGTTCTTCTAAGATACCCGATTCCAATGTGTGACATCTGGTTTCTCAAGTTTTCTTGTGACCTCCAATTAAATTCTGTTGCAATAGGTAATCAGAAATATATACTTAACTACAGTATATACTAATCTACTTAACTTTTCTAACCAAATTTGTGAAAATATTCTGGTTGGTTTGGTTATCAGGGAATCAGGAAGGAAAGATTTATGTATGGGATTTAAAAAGTTGCCCTCCTGTTTTGATTGCAAAGTAAGTTTACTTTCGGATTCAGACACAATGTTTGATCTTGAAAATCAAATGATTAAGCTTCACTTTGGTGTCTTGGTCTTGACATGATTCTATGTTTGCTAATTAGGTTGTGCCACACTCAGTCAAAGGCTGTAATCAGGCAAACCGCTATGTCTGTTGATGGAAGGTATATTTCATCTTCTCCCTCACCAGTAACTTAACTGCAAACAAAGCCAATACATTTGATTCCTGATTCAAACTCTGTTTCTTCCATGGCACTGTAGCACAATTCTTGCTTCCTGTGAGGACGGGACAATATGGCGTTGGGACGTGGTTCCCAAGTAGCAATCCCGAGTCTTGTAGGAATTGATGAATTAGGAGTCTGGAGGAAGAAGATATCCATTGTTTTACTGTAACTCTCATATAATAGAGTCCCTATGGGAAAATTTGTTGCCATGCCCTGAAACCTTAAGCCACATAAACTTCATTTTGAAAAAAAAAACATTTGTACTGTATTGTATTTCTAAACCCTCTATTGAGACATTTGTCTTGTAGTTTTATGTTCAATACACAAGGCTGTATCCAGGAGCTTTATTACAAAAACCACTCTCTTTCATAAGCTCTCTAGTCTTCAAAGCATTGTCCCAAGCTCCAGTAGCTGCATATACACTTGCCAAATTGATATAATTGACTGGTTTCTTCGGTTCCATACTCATAAGCTGTGTGGCTGCTACTTCGCTGAGCTGCACGTTCCCATGGCGCCTGCACGCATCAAGAAAAGCTCCCCATGTTGATGAGCCAAGACTCATAACACCCTTCTCACTTCTTATCAGTTCATAAGCTTCTTCCAAGTGGCCACCGCGTGCAAGCATATCTATGATGCAAGACAAATGCTCTTCTCTAGCTTTGATGCCGTGCTTGTTGATCATTTTGCTGAAAATCTTCCAGCCTAGTTCGGTTTCTCCTGTATGGCTACAAGCAGAGAGGAGAGAAAGAAATGTTACATCATTCGGTTTGATCCCTTCATGCTCCATTTTGCTGTAAAGATCGATTGCTTTCTCGATATTCCCATGTCTTCCATAGCCTGCAATCAAAGAGGTCCATGATCTCACATCTTTCTCGTCCATCTCTTCGAAAGCAAGCGCCGCATCATCAATTTCCCCAGACTTTGCATACATATCTATCAGCGAGTTCCCTAAAGCAACATCGAATCTGACTTGTGATGATTTTAAGGCGAAGCCATGGATCTGTCTCCCAGTGGATATCGAAGCCATGGTGGTGCATATCTTAAGCATTGAGGATACTACAACCTCGTCCATCTGAGTTTTCATCAGTATCATCTCCTTGAAGAGATCGAAAGCACCACTTGTGCAGTTTTTCTGCTGTGCAAGACCTGTAATTATAGCAGTGGAAGAGATAAGGTCTCTTCTCATTGCTCCCTCGAACAGTTTCCGAGCATTGGCAAGGCTACCACACTTAGCATATGCATCAATCAGAGACCTGATCAGTGCTTCTGATCTTCCAAAACCCAGCTTGATCGCAAATCCGTGTAACTCACTAACCATTTTAACTTCAGTAGAAGCTCTCAAGAGGCTCCCAAAGGTAAAACAGTCTGGCTTCTTCCCTGAGACACAACAGCAAAAGAAGCTATGAGTCACAAAAGTTTAGAAATATGTAAGAATGGAAAACAGTAGTTTTACCTTCCACGAGCATCAAATGAAGCAGACTAAAAGTATCTGAAGTAGAAGCGGCAGTGAATACATCGATCGTTGCATTCCAAGAAACCAAATCTCTCTTCTTCATTGAATCAAAGAGAAGACGAGCATCCTCCATCTTTCCACACTTAGCATAAAGACCAAGCAATGCAGTCCTCACAACTCCGTTACCTTTAAATTTCCCTTTCTCCACACAACCTTGTATCTGCATCCCTTCTTTCAGACATCCCGAATCTTTGCACGACTTCAAAACACTCCCGTAAGTGAAATCATTGGCCCTAACAGCTTCCTGGTGCATCTGTTTGAAAAACATCAACGCGTCACGGTGACATCCACACTTAGAAAATCCCGAGATCATAATCGTCCAAGACACCACATCTCTTTTAGGAATTCTGTCGAACAGTTTACGTGCGTGTTTCAAATCTCCCTGTTTCGCGTACAAACTCATCAACCTGTTGTTCATCTCGAGATTCGACCCGAACCCATTTGTCACAAACTTCCCATGGATCAACAGAAGCTGTTTCTCGACGTTTCGGTAGCTGCATAGTTTGAGAGCTTTGAGGTACAATGAAGGGTTATCATAAACAGCCAGCATTATCCACAAACTGAATTGGATTCGAATTCAAGAGACGAAAAGGGGTTGAAATCACCACAGATTCTCTGGGATTGAAATCAATCATGAAGAACGTAAATAAAAAACAGAGCTTTTCTGGTAAATCTCTCAAAATTTTATCCAAAAAGACACTTGTTTTGAGCAATTGCAAATACAGAGCATTGCTTTATATGCATACACAAATTTTTCGTTTGTGGGCGTATTTAAGGTACAAAATTTTCCCGCTTCAAGTAATGATGATCCTCACATCTCTCTATATATGCTATATACATAAAAGAATTAGCTATGGATGCTTCACTTCTTCCCGTCTGATATTGGGAAGTAGAGATTTTTAGATTTGGGTTCGTAATTTAGCCATCAAGCTCTGCAAGCTCTCGAGTTTCTGCTTCAGGTCGTCGATGTGTTTCGCGGAAGACTCTGAATCGCTGAGATCAGAAGCTAGAGCTGAACACTTTGTCTCCAACTCCATTGACGTTTCCTCAATGGAAGAAATGGTAGATTCCAGGTCTGTACGTGAGGGAATCTCTCTCATTGAATCTGATGAAACAGCAAAAGGTGAGCTTTTGGGAGTGCCTGCTCTGCTCGCTTTTGGGGAGAACATCTTGTCAAAACCTTCACTTCCTGCAAACATCAGACGATTTCTTCAATAACTGGAGGAAATTTATAACTAATTCTTTCTTGAATAGAAGCAGAGAAGAGTTTGAGAATAAGCATTACCAAGGTTGCTTAGTTGATTTAGAGCTGCCTGGCCAACAGATTCTTCAAGCTTCAGCACACGTAGAACACCTGCAACTATCCTTCCCATCGCGTCAACTTCAGATTTGCACAAGAATGTCAAATGTTGCAGCTCATCCTTTGTAACAACTGCTTCAACCTGCAGCACGAGGAACAAATTGGGTAAGAACCTCAGAATCATAGAAACTGATGTTCTAAAGAGGAATTGAAGCAAAAGAGCAATGAACTCAGCTTCACTTACAGGTTGCTTAACAGAGAATTTCAGACTCTCCGCCACCCAGTTTAACGCGTCATCATGACCAGATTTGTCTTCAGATGCCACGATATTAGCTTCAATGTTTATCCCTCCAGGTAAGTAACCATTTTCGTGAACTCCGTTTGTTGAACTGGTCCCTTTCTGCATCTGAGGCTTCAATATCTGTAAACCTTCAGCACTGACCTATAATGCATTCCACAGCCATTATGGCATTCAAGAATTAACTTTGTAAGACACCGGAAAGATAAAGATATGCATTACATATGATTTTTTCCTAAGATGAACAAACTCGCCTTCAAGATGAATTGGTTATCATGAACTTTCAGAGAGTTCAGGAAAGAAACTGAGTTGTGGAATAATAAGAGTGTACGGATACTTACAATAACTGAGTCCACGGGATACTTGTGAGAATCATACTTGGTTTCTGTCCCATTTGCATCCACATGCTTTGGTGTACTCTTGGCTATTACTCGGAAATTACGGAAATTCGTGTGCCAGCACTTTTCTTCTCTTCCAACATCTTCATTATCATTCGACCACCACCTTTCTGCCAACCCTTCTCTGCCCTCTAATGCAAACAACCAGTCTCTTAACTCAACGGAAACATCAATGTCATCTGGCCTTCCCAAATGTGGGAAGCCATCGCCACTCCAGTTTCCCGGAGTTCCATCTAGATGCATATATTAGCAATAATGGTTAGCAAAACTTGATGCTGTAAACAAGAACAATCTTGCGTATAGGATACTATTTTCACACGAACAATGAGAAATGGAGATAAACAAGATGAATTTTTTTTTCAATACCCTGTTTCCTTTCGTCAACAATAGATGGTTTGAGAAGTTTTGACAAAGGACCAGCAGATAAATGCTCTAATCCTCTAGACAGGCCTTCTCCAGGACCACCATCATGATTCAGAATTCCAAATCGGTGTAAAAGGGCTTCAGTGTAGCTCATTCCTCCTCCTAGACGTACGCCAGAAATGCAAGCCACGATGCTTAAACTGTGGCACTCCATATCCTTTTCACTAAGGGGAATCACATGTGTTACGCTTATGTCAAGAAAAGGTGTCACAAGAGTGCTGCCACTATGCCCATCATGTCTCCCGTTGATAATCCAAAAGACACGCCTCAATGGGGTAGACCCATTACAGCTAACTAAGTGACCATTCGAGCTATTCTCATGTTCATGTTGTACGTCGGTATCTACACAATCAACCTCAATATTTTCCCAGTATATATTAGAAGACACTGCAATTGCGCCGCCAAGGGTTCTGTGAGTTACCTTCACGGAAAGATCTTTGCCAAGAAACTGAACGAGTGGCATGTCCTGAGTACTAGTAAAGGAAGACTCAAGAAACCTTAGCTGAAGATCCTTCAATGCCAGTTTCACAGCAGTGTCGCTAGGAACCTTCTCCAACAACCCTTCACTCGAAGAAACAGTATTCTGGCGTTTGCTTTCTTTAACAATCGAAATCTTTTCACTGACCTTACCAAAGTAAGAATAGAGGTCCAGAACAAAAAATAACTGCTCCACCGAAGCATTCGAAATATATTGCTCACAAGCAACTCCTATGCGAACAATACCACCAGGAGGGGGAATTGATATCAATGGCTTTCCATCCGCAGATACCATAGCAACTTCTATACACACGTCTTTTCCTTCAACACAATTCCACAAACCCATTTCCAGACCACGAGAGCTCTGAAGTTCAGTAGAGCTAGGAGATGTTTCCAAAGCCAAACTAAAATGTGAGACTCCAGCTGTCCATTTCTTTTGGCTGGCGTCAATAGGCTGTCCCGGCCATAGACAGAAGCAAGCAGGATCCTTCTCCAGGTTTAGTAGCCGAACTTTTAAGGTAGGTGACTCCGCAAAAGATAAGTTTTCAATATGAAGCCTTGCTCCAGCGAAGAACTTTTTTCCGGAAAGGTCTTCTTTGATTGCTGAATCTTCCTCCAAGTTACTCATGTCTAATGGAACGGAAACATCTAACTCCTTGAGGGTGAAAAGAAGAGAGTTCACAGAGTTATCGGGCAAAACATCACCGGGATTCACAACAATGCCATCAGCCAGAAAAGAAGATATCCTTAAACAAGCTTCTTCCTGAAGATGAACCTAAGAAAGGATATAGGAAGAAAGTGGTGAAGAAATTATTAAAGAGAAGAATTTTGATTTTCCTTGATACTCACAAACATACCATGAGTGGTTGGCACTGGATAACCGTCTTTGAGAATAAGTGTGGGGGTTTTGGGGATGGCTTGACCTGAAGAGAGTGTAAGGAGATCAAAGGCACATCCTGAACTGATTGCCACGGCCCGCTGTCCAATGGATATATGAGAGGACAAAAATTCTTGGCTGTCCCAAATATATGGAAGGAAAATAAATTAGCACACACATGAATCAACAATTGACAGGAATCAACAAGAGAATGTTTTTTGTAAAATACAGTCCAGAACTATTAATACCAAAGTCGGGAACTGCAAGGTCTTCGGCAGCAGCTTTCATAGATGGTTGGACAAGAGCACAAGGAGACCGAGAAAAAGCATCCCTGAAATGCAACCATGAGTAATCATGCAAGAAAGCTATATCATCATTATAAACAGATAAGTGAAAAAAGGGAGCACTCCATAAGAACTGAAATTATTTGAACTTCTCCATATCGAATGGCATACACTATCAAGAGATTTTTTTGGATTCCGCATCCGCTAAACAGTGGTAACAAAGGGTAATAGGATAAAGTCTCGAAAGAGCCATCAGAAACGAAGATTTTGAGTGTGTAGAAGGGTAAGTCACAAATAAGAAAACATAATGCTCTGAAGATCAACATTAACTACAAAGTGCTCAGATCAACGTAGTAAACTTGCAACGAGAAAATTAATGATATAATGACAGGGAGCAGTTTGAAATTTAAAGAAGGCTATAGACAGATAACTCTAATCAAGGATTTTAGTCGACATATTTACCTTAAAAATAGCCCACCAATCAAAATCTTAGTCAAATAGTTAGCTGATTCTCCGTCCGAAACACAGGCCTGCAAGCATATATGCCTACCGGTGTCAGATTTCAGTGCCGTATAACAAGATATAATTCACTAAGATGCTCAGAGTAATGAAGTGCACTTAACTCTATAAACATTATTAACATCACTGAATAGAGAAATATAGTTTATTGTCAAACCCATCAAACGCATTAATCATTTCAACTATAAAGCCAATTTAATGAGAGCAAATCTAGTCTAGATCTCTAATTTCTTTACGGAACTCCTCACTATGTCCAGAATCCAAGCATAATGTATATGCAGGAAACAATATCATGAAAGTTACTGGATAAATCTAAAAATCAGTGAGAACATACTCGTGAAAAGAGGAGTGATTGCATCAGTAGTTCCAGTTGGAATTCTGAAACGACATAAAAGGTGGTAAAAAGTTAAGCCCAAGAAGCAAGAGTAATGGTTTCATGCAAAACTGCACTCTTAGCTTTACAGGTGAGGTGAGTCAGATTCTCGCCCCAGCCAAGTGAAGGATATTTTTAATTTAAGCATATCAGAAACTAACCAGCATCTTTGATGCAAAGAAATACATGGTCCACAAGAACAGAGACAAGAGAACGTCCTGCTGCTTCAGCAGACTGCTTGAGGCATACCATTAAAGAGTGAGAAAAAGAATTCATATCAAACTCTTTCTGTAAAAAGATCCACAGGGAATATGAAATTCAAGACCTGCTGAGATCTTGGATCCACATCTCCTCGGTTTAGGCATAGATACATTCCAGTTAGAAAGCGGAGAAGAGCGCGTAACCCTATTCCCAAGAATAATGGGTAGACTTAGTTATCCATATTTAACAATCAGCAATCTGAAAACTAAGAGAGAATGTCTTCAAACCTGGTTCACTTAACGCTGGACAAACAGCTTCTGGAATGTGCAACTGGACTTCAAGTCCAAGTGGACTGTTTAGTGCAGTTCTCTGAACTGTAATCTGAACAAGAGGCCACCATCAGGGCTAACGAATTACGCACTAAAACATGTAATGCCCTCAAGCATCCTACTACAATATCATATTGAGAAGTAAAAAGACAATCGGAAACAAATGTTTACATATGCTTGGCCAGATATCCCTTCTAAAAAGCGTTCTCCGCCAAAGAAAACTCTTTTTGCACCATCATCATCTCTGAGGTCTGCTTCTTCAGAGCGGGCTAAATTAGCTTCAGTGAACATATCAGGATGTGGCAGAAGATCAATTGATATTGCTTCCCATTCAAGTTTCTGATGATAAGGAAAGTACATGCACGTCACAGGTAAAAAAACAAAGCATATTAATAATATTATCTTCAAAGAAGACTATCAGGAAGGAATAAAGATATCTGGCACTATTTATGCTAACATGAAATGCTCAATCTTGAGCAACCAAGAATATAGTATCATTACCAACTAGCTAAAAAGAGTGGAATCAATACCTTAAACAAATAAATAAATCCTGTATTGGTAGAGAAGTCCCTTGCTTCTTTCAGATTTACAACCTGTAAATGATAATTGTGGTTCAGAAATACTAATTCTTCCAGAAAGTTTCAGAAAGAGATTTTCTTACAACATGCTCGCAGAGAGCTTACCTTCCAACTCTCATTAGTGGTGTACAGAACAAGGTTGCGTATTGTAATTGATGCCAGCGGAGCAGCCCTAGATACAAAGCATAAGAGCTTAGACAAACATAGGTAACAATCCAATGCATTTATAGTCAGGTCGAGTGTGAAAGGCACAAATAAAATGCAATAACCAGGTATATGTATCAAAGAACGCTACGTAACGAGATTCCAACACTCCATAGACGTGAAGCTAAATTTCTAACTGCTAGACAATGAGTGCAGTAAAAGCAACTTACCAGGCTGCCCCTCCTTCACGGTGAGCACCACCTCCAGTTTCAAGAAGAAGATTGACCACCTTAACTTGTAAAGTCATTCCATCTGCAATCTGATCAACATAATAAAAGATATAATTGCACAAGGACCTCTAATTCGGAAATGAATAGAACTATAAACCCGAAGAAAGACACTCTGGCAAATTGACATGATTTCTCCAAGAAAACAAAAGGACTATATGCTTAACTGGTCTTCAACCACATCCACATGCACAAGAAAGACCGAGAATGAACAAAGCTAAAAAAACCACCTAGCTAGCTACAAAAGTGATAGAAAACATTGTTTCTTTTTTGCATTTCCACTCTTGCCATTTTACTGAGACTTACAAACAGATATTGGCCGATATATTATCAGCATTTCCTACTGGAAAAAGGTCTTAAGATGACAAAGTAGCAGTGACACCTCACCTTGTCAGCGAATCCATAACCATTACTTTTTCCAGATGCGGTAGGAGACTGAGCACTAAACGTAAACAAAAATATCAAAAATTATAGACTCAATGATATTCAGTGAAATAAAGCAAGACTAAGTAGATTCGAAACATATGAAGTAGCGTTCACGTACCTTGTTGGACCCTTAGTCACATCAGCATCAGGATTTTCTTCAAGAACAAGATCGAGTTTATCGATTTGCACAACTACAGGCTCCGTTTGCACATTACTGACATAGGGAAGCTATTTGAGCAGAAAAGAGAGAGAAAAAAAATTATATTAATGCTTGTGGAGAGAACAAGAGAGGTGACAGACTAACTAATCAGCTTAAATAGCATGTTCTGTCAAATTTAAAACAAGTATGATTACTTCCACTTAAACTGTCAGAGACAAATCGAAGCAGCAGCTATTATAATCCCATGGACAGTCTCGAGAGACATGTTCTTCAACAATCCTAAATCTATACCTGATAAAAGGTGGAATCTACAGATATACACCACGGTAAAGGGGTTCTAATTTCAACAAATCAACTCAAAAATCAAGAAAGATGAACTAAGATGTATATATTATGCTACTCATCCACATTTGCAACAATTCGAACACAGAGAGATGTGTATAACAAACCATGATTTCCAATTTTCCAACTTTCGCAGTGGTCACACTAAGTGCTGGTGGCAAACCCATACTGGCATGTATAGCCTCGCCATTAATGTCTGCAAAACAGAGAAATCTGAATCAAAAGACACAATCTTTTTTCCCCAGTGAAGAAATGGGAAAGAAACAAAGTGGGCACCTAAATTAGAAAGCTGAGCGGTACGGCCTTGAAGCTTGAACTGATCTCTGGTGAATGATTTGAGCCAATACTTGAGAGTATACTCCAAGGCGCGTGCCAGTATCGACTCCATTTCCCCCCACCCGATGATCCTCTGACTCTAATCAAAAGATTTTGATCATCGACTTACTTTCCCGATTACGATCGAATCCCAGATCCGAGAGATTGGGTTGCAAAGACGTGGAATCGATAAATGTTGCCTCTTTAGAACATTAGAGCTAAGTTTTGGGTGTTGTAATAATAATAAAATGAAATTCACAAAATCATAAAGTAAAAGTTTTATAAATTAATTTAATCAATAAATTAATAATTATTATAAATTAATAAATTTATAGGTTCAAGTCGCACTAGTATAAAAATTAATAAATTTTAATATTTGATTGTTAGAAATACGAAAAAAAAAAGGATTGTTAGAAATGCAAGAACATGTACTCCAACTTTATTTTTAAGACCACAACACCACCAAAATATAGGTGAGAAGTTCATACTTATAAAAGAAATTGCAAATTTTAAATAAATCAAAAAAATTAATGAAATTTATATAGGTGTGAAAAAAATAGTGAAGAAATTGATTTCTGGATATTATAATTCACTTTGTGTTGAACAGATTTTTGTTCATTTTTTCTTTTGTTCAACCAAATATCTTTTAATTTATAAAAAGTTTTAAGAGGGTATATTGGATTAGTAATTTGGATAAATCTAAATTTATAAAGATTTTAATGAATTTAAAATTTTAAATTAATTTAAACAAATTTTGTCTTCTAAATTCTGTCAAATACCATCATACGAGATAGTATTTCAATCTATTAGTTTTTAACTCTATATTATTTCTCAAATTATTTCAAATTATTTTTTTAAAAAAATTATTAATGAAATTCCAATTTTCTAATAAGACAAGATTTTAATGAATATGTATAAATGACTAATCTAATAACCTTAAATTTTAAGTAATTTTTTTCAAATGCTAGATTTAATAAGAAGAGATTTGAAAAAAAAAAAAAAAATCATCTCAAATCATAAATCCAATATGCCCCACTAAGGTAAGTTTGAGTGTTTAACAAAATAATAGAAAACATACAAGAATTATAATATTAGACCATTTTTAATGATTTATTCTATTTTTTATTATAAACAAAAAATGATCCATCAAAGAAATACATCATTAAAATAGGTATCAATCCAAGCATGGTCGAACAAAAAAATTCAATTTTTTGTTCCTGCAAAATATATCTCTATTCATGAAACGTATGAGTTTTAACAAAATAACATAAAAATATAAAAATTAAGTGGAATTATGGCAAGTGGCAAATGAAGATATTACTTTTAGAGAAATAAAGTATAGTTGAATAAAAATTAGGATAGATACAAAATTAGGACAACTATTTTTCAGATTAACTAGGAAAAAACTGCTTATGGCATTGTTTAAGTCCTCTATTCCTAATTTTCTATCATAACCCTCATGTTTGCAATAGCTTATGGTTTGAAAAGCACACAACTAATATCATATATAGACAATAGAAAACTAAGCTTACTTAAACATATAAGTGAAATATACATTTGAAAATATGCTATGTGTCATATTTATCATTGTACTTGCGAAAAAAATAATAGAAAAATTGATTCTAGAGTTTTTACATTTTACATGAATAAGAATTCTACATGAATTTCAGTTCACTATGAATGATGAATTGGTGGTTGAAGATGAGATTCATCCAATTACCCTCAATTACGTTTCACCGGCTGAAATAGAAGAAAAAAATATCACGTGATATTAGATGAAGATGCATCGCAAGAAAATAGTAAAACCTGAAAATAACAAGTTTGAACTAAAGTTTGAATTAGAACGGCCGATGAAAAGATTGTTCTAGTGGAATATGGAATCTAGAAAACATACAAGAATTATAATATTAGACCATTTTTAATGATTTATTCTATTTTTTATTATAAACAAAAAATGATTCATCAAAGAAATACATCATTAAAATAGGTATCAATCCAAGCATGGTCGAACAAAAAAATTCAACTTTTTGTTCCTGCAAAATATATCTCTATTCATTAAACGTATGAGTTTTAACAAAATAACATAAAGATATAAAAATTAAGTGGAATTATGGCAAGTGGCAAATGAAGATGTTACTTTTAGAGAAATAAAGTGTAGTTGGATAAAAATTAGGATAGATACAAAATTAGGACAACTATTTTTCAGATTAACTAGGAAAAAACTGCTTATGGCATTGTTTAAGTCCTCTATTCCTAATTTTCTATCATAACCCTCATGTTTGCAATAGCTTATGGTTTGAAAAGCACACAACTAATATCATATATAGACAATAGAAAACTAAGCTTACTTAAACATATAAGTGAAATATACATTTGAAAATATGCTATGAATGTTATATTTATCATTGTACTTACGAAAAAAATAATAGAAAAATTGATTCTAGAGTTTTTACATTTTATATGAATAAGAATTTTACATGAATTTCAGTTCACTATGAATGATGAATTGGTGGTTGAAGATGAGATTCATCCAATTACCTTCAATTATGTTTCACCGGCTGAAATAGAAAAAAAAAATATCACGTGATATTAGATGAAGATGCATCGCAAGAAAATAGTAAAACCTGAAGATAACAAGTTTGAACTAAAGTTTGAATTAGAATGACCGATGAAAAGATTGTTCTAGTGGAATATGGAATCTAGAACCTACTGTGGCTTAAATCTTCTTTCTTAATAATCACTTGTTTGGATGATCTGAATCACTTGTTTAGATGATGTGAATCACTTGTTTGGATTGGATGATGTTGAATCACTTGTTTCGTTCGATCTACTTGTAGAAAGTGGAATTCTTTATCCAAAGATACGAGCTTTACGAATAAGCACATTGGCAAAGCAGCAGCAGCATCGGCAATGGAAAGAGAGTTTGTAATGATCATGGAATATTCCAGCGTTTATTTGATCAGCGTAAATCTCAATGGAACTCAAAACGACAAGGTCGATCTATCTATTAACCCTAAAGGTAGACTTGTTAGCCTCGACAGTTCAGATCCAATATCAAACATAAGTAAAGTCTTTCACTGCAACGGTTTATTGTTATGCATCCCAAGAAACATCACAGCTAGGTTTGTGGTTTGGAACCCGTATTGGGGGAAAAAAAGATGGGTCGAACCCACAAATAATCGTCGCCAGAGTTTAGACATGTTTGCTTTCGGATACGACAAATCATGCGGCAGCCACAAAATCTTGAGGATTTTTAATACTTATAACTTGGAAATCTACAATTTGAGCTCTGATTCATGGAGGGTTCTCAATGCCACTGTGGGACGGAATATAAAAAAGCATGGCGTGTCTTTGAAGGGAAATACCTACTGGTATGGTGAAGATAGAGATGGTGGTTTCTTACTCTGTTTTGATTTTACAAGAGAGAGATTTGGACCGACTCTGCCTCTTCCATCTAACTCAATTATCGGAGTTGATGTGTCTCTATCTTCGGTTAGAGAAGAGCAGCTTGTGGCGTTATTCAAGCGATGGGCTCCGTTAGAGATTGAGATTTGGGTTACCAACAAGATTGAGCCCGATGCGGTGTCGTGGAGCTGCTTCTTGAAACGTACAACGATACAACTCAATCCTTGGATCATGTTTGGGAGTTTCTTGATTGACGAGGACAAGAATGACGCTGTGCTTTTTCATGATAACGATGGATCTTCTTACCGAACAGCTTGCATCATTAATAGAGACAGTGGTCATGTCAAAATAGTGGATCTCAGAGAATCTCCATACACACGACTTTACCCACTTGTGTGCTCTTATCTTCCAAGTTCTGAGCATATATAGACTAGTTCATTTACATGTTCTTTCACACAATACTAGCTAACAAATCAAATTTAACTTGTATCTCAAGGATTATATTTATTTTATTTTATTTTTCGGTCAAACGGATTATATTTATTTTATTTTCATACAACAGAGAACTTTTTTTTTTTTTGGAACTCACAACAGAGAACAATTCCTCTGTTTTCTTTACTTTTTAGTTCATGGAGCATATAAACCGAGCCCCCCAAACCGAAACCTAAACCAAAATGTTGTAGGAGATTAACTCGACCGGTTTTGGTTGTTTTTTATTCCACTTGTGCGAGGATATAACTCCGCACGTGCGAATTTCTTATTTGAATGACCTTATCCTCTTCCTCGCATCAACCACACTCATGGCTTCTTCTACTCTCTTCAAACTCAATTCACAGACTTTTAAAGCTCTAAACCCATCGTCCTCTTCGTTCTTTCCTCCTACATCCAGAATTCTCCATATTCATTTCTCCAAATCACTCTCGCGACCTCCACGGCTCAACCACAAATCCACCACCACTACTCGTTTTTTCGTCCCTCTCTGTTCCTCTCTTCCTTCTCCTTCTTCTCCTCCAATTTCCAAAGAAGAAGCCATTCTTCAAGCCAAGACTTGTCTCTCCTCTTGCCTCATCAAACCCCTTAACAACCCCAAGCTCGCTTCACCGAAACTCAAGAAGCTCAAACAGCCTCGGTTCCGTCTCGAGATCCCAATCCTTGACGACGACTCTGCTTCCTCTCTCTCTCAGCTCGCTTTTTCCATCTTCAATGACATACCAATCTCGAGAAGAGGCTCCAATGTCAAGCTTCTCTTCCTCTGGCCTGACCCTTCTTTCATCGAAGCCGCGGTCAAAGCTTTCCGGTCCGACAATACCAGCCACATTGCCATGTCTCCGGTTTCAGAATCCGTCAACAGGGCTCTGAGATCTGCTGACGTGGCGGTTTTCATGGCGCCGGAGAGATCGCAGATGGAGGATGTGAGGACGGCGACGGAAGGTTTTTCTACCAAGCCTGTGGTGATGATCAATCCGAGATGGTTGTTCGAGGAAGAGAAGAGCTTTGGAGACGACGTGAACGGATTCATCGGTTCCTTTGAAGTGATCTACGCGTTTACAGGTTTAGAAGTGAGGGGATTGCTGAGCAAGAGAAAAGGAGTGATCTTTAAGTGCGTGAGAGACGGTGTTGTGAGTGGAGAGAGGTGGAACGTTCTCGTTGAAGAAGAAGAAGAAGGCAACGGCACGTTGAAGGTGGTGTCACAATTCAAAGCTCGGCCATCAATGGATGAAGTTGAGCTTGTTCTGTATAACTTGATGGCTATGAATTCGCCAATCACCAAATCAGCAAAGTTCCTCAAGGATTTGGTTTCAAACATCACTGGGAAGAAGTAGTTGATCAGTGTCCAATGTGCAGTATCTATATCTTCTTGTTCATTTTTCATTTCACTTCCCCTGGAATTAAGGGAGATTTCTATAAAAGGGTGGGTCTTTTTGATAAAGAAACCTATTGAACATAATTTAACTATCCAAGAACTTGTCCTTGAGAGAGTGTTGGCGAGAATTAGCAAGAGACAATGGTGAAGTTTGAGCATTGAATACTATCAGTATAAGATGTTGCTCAATCTGCTTTAGCTTCTTTTTCTAACATACGGTTTCTTCTTGTCGTAGATAATTGCACAATGCAACATGTCAATCCTACAGCCAGAGCAGGATTTAGATTTGAACTTGCACTTTATCAAATGATTTCCCCTTTTCGGTGGTTGCAATAGAAATGTTTTTTTTGGTTTAAGGTTAAGAGTTGCAATAGAAATTTGGTACAAGTTCATGATCAATCTTTAATACCAAGGAGATTTTCTTTCGTTTTGTTGTTTGGGAACTACAAAAGACCTTGTCAGAGAAATTTTGTTTCGATTCAGACCAGTTTTGTGAACAGATCACATCAACATAGAAGAAGAGAACTTGAGTCAAGAATTTGGTAAACAATGACTAAACAACACAATTGGAACTTGATACCAGTAAAAATAAGAAATATCGTGAGAAACCAAGAATTGAAGTTATAGAACAAGAGAGATACAAAGATGATGTAGTTGCAATTAGGATTGTTAATCAAAATTTCACCAACTTGGCATCATTAACCCCTAGACGAATAATCAAAGTCTTCTGAATCTAAACGCTCCCAAACTTGGGTTTAATGGGTTAAAAGTTGCAAATTCGTTTGTGGGTTTGAATAAATGGCACCAAAATTGCGTAAAGAATCGAGAATCAAATTATAGCATCCATATATTAAAGTCTTAATCTGAAACGAAACGACTCTACACCGTAGTCTAATGAAAAAAACCAAAAAGAAAAAGACCCAGAACAATACCTAAAACTTAATCTAAATCACGCTACACATTAAATTAGCTGCGAAACAACAACGAACTGAATCTACTCGTCGTCGCCGGAAGGTTTGGAGCCGCCGGCCTTCTTGGGAAGAAGAAGACTGTGAATGTTGGGCATCACACCTCCATTGGCAATGGTCACATCCCCAAGCAACTTGCTAAGCTCCTCGTCGTTTCTCACCGCCAATTGAATGTGACGTGGCACGATTCTCGTCTTCTTGTTATCCCTCGCTGCGTTTCCAGCCAATTCCAAAACCTACACAGATCCAATTTTTGAAATAGGCAAAACCGGTCAAATTAGGGTTTTAAACCAACTTTTATCTACCAGATCGATAGAACCGAGAGTGGAAGAAATATTAATTACCTCGGCGGCGAGGTACTCGAGAACGGCGGCCAAGTAGACCGGAGCTCCGGCACCAACACGTTCGGCGTACTTGCCGTTCTTCAGAAATCGGGCGATACGACCCACCGGGAACTGGAGACCGGCCTTGCTACTCCTCGACGTCGACTTCTTAGCAACCCCAGATCCGAGAGTTTTTCCACGACCCGCCATTTGTGAATTCGGAAGAGAGACAAAGCAAAGGAAAATTCAAAGCGGAGAGTTGGAAAAATTATGAGAGGGAATCGAACGAAATTATACAGTGAGCACAACTTCTCTCGGGGATATATATACTGCGTAGAGATGCCTGAGTAGTGGTTATCCAATAGATATCAATCACGCGGATCGGTATACCTGCCGTTGGATCAGATTAGGATCAACGGTTATTAATCAAGACTCCGAGGATGCGCATTATACGTTAGATTGACCGAAATACCCTTCTATGAGTCAGTGAATAACTGAGTGATGACGTTATTGGTCAATCAAAGTAAATGTGAAAGGTTTTAAAATTCAGGCCCAATCAACATTTGGATTCTTGGAATATATTTATGTAGTGTAAGAAAACATAACCAATGATAATGTGAAATGGTTTTGGATTGGTTTTTGATTTAGTTCAGTTATATCCTTATGTATATTTATTAGTAAATTAAGTGATAGATTCATCACCAAACCATTTTGTATATATATAACTTTGATTTGAATTTCGTATATGATTTATTTTTTTTCGTATCATGCGATATGCGTGGTTTTTTAAATTTAATATCATATTTTTGTTGAAGGTTTTTTTTCTTCCATATGATATCATTTTTCAACAAGTATTTTGTATATCTGGTTGATCAATTTTAGCATGACATGCTAGCTGTAAAAAAACTAAAAACACATATAAATATTTCCAATCAAGTAATTAAACGATTAAGCTTAAAATTACTAACCAAAAATAGACTCTGAAATTTTGAAATAGTATTGTATTAACAATGGAATATTAATATATAGAATGTGGCATACTTTAAGAGGACAACTCATAAACAAGAATAGAAAAATGTTTTCCTAGCTTTCTTTTTTTATTTTCTTTTGACATGGAAGAAAAGTTTGTTTTCCGATAACAACCAGCACAAAGAGATTTTCACACACCTCTTTAATATATAAATACGACAAAGAAGCCTTCTCCCTGTTCGTGTCAAAAAAATCAACACCTCCAAAATAAAAAAGAGTGCAAAACAAAAATTATACATGGAATCTTTACCGGAGAACAACGTCCGGCAACCGCTGCTGGAAAATCCGGCGAAGAAAGAAGCGGAAGGAGAAGAGAGATTGTGCATAGACGAGATGCTACAGAGATACTGCGGCGAGTTTGGCCGTTGGCAAATGAAGCACTTCGTGCTGACGTGTCTTGCCTGGGCACTAGAGGCGTTCCACACGATGGTGATGATATTCGCCGATCAGGAACCCGGTTGGAGGTGCGTCGGGTCGGATTGTCGGGTCGGGTCTTCGTACTGCGATATGGATCCGGGTTCTTGGGAATGGACTGAGGGTAAAGGGAGCTCCACTGTGGCAGAGTGGGGATTGATTTGCGGCGACAAGTACAAGGTCGGTCTTGTTCAAGCCCTCTTCTTCGCCGGATGCATGATCGGTAAGTTTTTTTAAACTATCCTTTATATGTTTTTGTTTGACTGGAAAATTTACATAACAGATAATATATAACAGCTGTATCCTGTAAATACATATATTTCACGTCGAATTGTTGTTTTTTTCATACTTAAAATCAAAATTCCAACTAGTATATTAAGAATGTCTGATCATGCCGTTTTCTTAAGATCAAAGAATCTAAAATCTCTTTACTTATATGTGAGGGTGTATAAAAAGGCATTAATTTGAAAAACTTCTTTAATTAAGTAGATTTATCTGACAGTTAATGAATAAGATTTGACATAATTGGTTGTTATTTGTGCTTAAAATATCGATTGATCGATTGGCACGTTGGCTGTAACCTGGATACTTCCGGTACGTACCACGTGGCCCGATCACATGACTCTTTTATGATTTATCCAAATTTCAGAAAACAAATCTATGCCTCCCAATTTTTTTATATAATTGACTGAATTTTTTTGAATGATAATGGTTTTTTACCACATGGCGTTATTAGGCGGTCCAAATTGACCCACAAAGAAAAAAAAAAAAATTGATAGCCGCAAAAGTACAAAAAAAAAATTGTTTTATGTGCTAGGTGCCCGAATAAACAAAACTATAGTGACAAATTGTGAGTTGTAGATGTAGTATATGATATACGTGTGACTGACAAACGAGTTCATTAGTCACATTGAATTTTATCCTGTTGGCTTTTTGTTTTGGTGTGATAAAAGTCATAACATTACTCTTTATTTAACTCTATGGTAGTGCACGAGAATGATTTCGTTGAACTGATCTGAAAAGCTAAAGAACACAAAGCATTTCATGGTGTGGCGTGCGCCTGCCTGTAAAATATTTACATTGTGTCATATGGCCAACATCATTTCATGCATTCATCTTATTGGTTTTCTATTTTTTTTTATATATAAACTAAAGAATAATATCTCATCCATCTCTATCTTCTTTTGAACTAAGCTTAGGTATATAACTCCCTTCGTCATTTATCTTGGATTTATCGATATATAAAATATGTAGTTGCACAAACAAGCAAGTTGATCATTATAATATTTGACATCGTTGATGTATAATAGAAATATCAAAAGTTGTTGCCATTTTTTGGCTTATGTTTAGATTAGTTCTTAAAAGGAGACAGTTTGGCTTTGGCTTATCAAATATCTAAATTTGCTACATATATATTATATAATGAATAGGAGGATATCCAAAGGAATATCCAATTACATTTGCATACACATAAGACTTGTCAAACTCCATTGACGTTGAAGATATCTTTTTTCATATCAACAAAAAGATTGTGACAAATTGGTCCAACATATCTCAAAAAGCATTTCACTTTTGTACATACACGCTTTTATGGTCTCTGTGTACTATAATATCTTTGAATAAAGTTTTTAGCCTAAGCTTTTAATGTATATTTATTTTTACTATCGCATACTGTTTTTAATATTTCATTTTTGTGGTTACAAACATGGCCTAAAGACATTGTACCCGATTTGACTACGTGCAGGTGCAGGAGTATTCGGACATCTCTCGGACTCGAAGCTAGGAAGAAAAGGCTCACTAACAGTCGTCTGCATCATCAATGCAATCTTTGGGATCGCGACAGCTTTCTCCCCAAACTACTGGACCTACGTCGTTCTCCGGTTCTTGACCGGTTTCAGCACCGGTGGTGTCGGTCTAACCGCGTTTGTCCTAGCCACTGAACCGGTTGGACCGAGCAAACGCGGTGTAGCCGGAATGTCAACTTTCTACTTCTTCTCTACCGGCATTGCGCTACTATCCGGCATTGCGTACGTTTTCAGGTCGTGGAGAGAGCTTTTCATAGTATCTTCCTTACCGTCTCTCTTGTTCCTACTCATCGTTATCCCGTTTATCTCCGAGTCCCCGAGATGGTACCTCGTGAGAGGCAAAGTAGACGAGGCCATGGAGCTGATGCATACGATCGCTAAAACGAACGGGCGTCACATTCCCGCAGGAGTCACTCTTGCTCTAGACGACGAGGAGGACGAAGCGGTGGAGAAAAACAACGGCCAGAGGAATACTGCGGCTGAGGGATCGCTTAAAGACGTTTTACAGTCGCCTCTCACGCGGATCCGTCTTCTCTTAGCGGTGGCCATAAGTTTCACGGTCTCGATTGTATACTACGGGCTGAGCCTCAACGTGGTAAACCTCAAGACCAATCTCTACCTCAACGTCTTCCTCAACGCCGTGACGGAGATGCCAGCTTTCGCCATAACAGCAGTTTTGTTAGACCGGTACGGGAGGAAACCGTTGACGATAGGGACACAGTGGTTCAGCTGCGCTTTCTGCCTAACCGGTTTCGTCGTGGGAGGCGTCGGTCCGTGGAAAGTGGTTAGGATGGTTTCAGGGGTTTTAGGGATATTCGGTATGGCGGGAACGTACAATCTTCTGTTCATATATATAGCGGAGCTGTTTCCTACGGTGGTGAGGAACGCTGCGTTGGGATGCGCGACTCAAGCGGCTCAAATGGGAGCGATTCTTGCGCCGTTTGTGGTGGTTTTAGGGGATGGTTTGCCGTTTGGTGTGTTTGCGGTTTGCGGTTTAGTTGGAGGCGGGCTTGCGTTTTACTTGCCGGAGACGTTGAACAAGCCGTTGTATGATACAATGTTTGGGATGCACGAAGCTGAGAGCAACAGAGGAAGAATAGTGTGTTAAAGAACAAAGATTTCAGAATGTACACAGAGACGCGGAGGCAGAGAGATATTAGAGACTAAAGGAAAGAATGTGGAATTGTTTTGTAGTCTTAACTTGTTTTGCTATCTTGGTCTCTTGTATTGTGATTTTTGGATCCAAGTCTTCTGGTTTTGATAGTGAACGCTTTTAACAGAATTAACGCCGATTTTGTAACAAAATAGATTTTAATGCATGTTCAAAGTTTTGGAAAACAAAAACCTGTTGTTTTTGGAGTTGAAAATTTGCGGTTTGCCATAGATTTTCGAGTGGTGTACACATCAATACAACAATAACACATATGTCTCTCTTTGTGACACATCATCTTTTTTAAGCTCTCCTAAGATGACATCTCAGCCCAAAAATTGACCAATGAAAATATTTTATTAATACAACTCATTAAAAAATATTTTCAGTTCATTTGGGTCAAAAAATTTATCCAAGATTAAAAACTAAATAAAACCCATTACATTAGAAAGCCCATAAGATCCTTTGATATAAATAATTATTTAAAAAAAAAAAAATTTCTTTCTTTTTTCCTTCAAACTATCATTAAATATCAGGTCTCCTCAATCTTATTTTATTACTCTACCTTCTGTATCGGATTGCGTTCTTCTTTTTAAAAAAATATGGATAAACAACAAGATACTACTATAAATTTTTTAGTTTACTTTCTCAGAAAACAATCTTTTAGTTTTAAGTTTGAAAATTATTTTGCTTTCTTTTTAGGTAGAAATATTCCCAAATTATTATCCTAATATAGTTCAACTTTTGGCTGACTTTTCGCAGAAAAATACAATTTTATAGTTTTTTCGAGAAAATGCAATTCGACGATTTTGGCGGAAAAATGCAATTTCTCAGTTTTGTTAGGAAAATACGATATCTCAGTTTGGCAAAAAAATAATTTTTCTTGGCTTTGGCGGAAATAGGAAATTTCTTAGTTTTGATAGAAAAATGTGATTTTCAGTTTTGGTAAGAAAACATAATTTTTGGTTATGGTGGAAAAAGCGAATTCTCGGGTTTGGCATAAAAATGTCAATTTTCAGTTTTGGTAAGAAAACAAAAAAAAATTGATTTTGACGGAAAAACAAAATATTTTAATTTTGACGAAAAAATGTGATTTTTGGTTGTGATGGGAAATAGAACTTTTTAATTTTGACTAAAAAATGTGATTTCTCTGTTTTGATAGGAAACACAAATTTTCGACTCTTGACGGATAATATGATTTTTTGATTTTTGCGGGAAAATGTGTTTTCTTAGTTTTCGAGAGAAATTGTAATTTCTCGGGTTTGATGGGAAATGTACGTTTTAAGTGTTTAACAAATAATGCGATTTTTTGGTTTTCGCGGGAAAAAAAATTTTTTGGGAGAAAATTGAATTTTTGGTTTTCGCGTGAAATTGTAGTTTATCGGTTTTAGTCGGAAAGCGTAATTTTTGGATTGACAAAAAATAAATTATTTGGTTTTGGTGGGATTAGATGATTTCTCGGTATCCGTGGGAAAACGAATTTTTCGGTTTCGATGGGAAAATACATTTTTTGGGTTTTTGAAGGAAGATGATTTTTTTTGGTTTTGATGAAAAAACGCGATTTCTCGGTTTTGGCGGAAAAACACAATCTCTTGCCGGAAAATGTGGTTTCTTGGTTTTTGTGGAAAAATACGATTTCTTTGTTTTAGTGGAAAAATAAAATTTTATGTTTGACGAGAAAATAATTTTTTTTTGTTATGGTGGGAATATGTGATTTCTCAGTTTTCGTAGGAATATGAAGTTTTTTTTTTGTTGACGGAAGATGCTATTTCTCGGTTTTTGTAAGAATATAAAATTTCTCTTTACTAAAATTTCAAATTACAATATGTTTACAGTAACCAAAATTTAATTATTTAACTTCAACTAAATCGAAAGTTCAAGAGTTTAAATAGAATTTTCTGTTTAGTTCAAAAGCAACAACAATGGTTTTGATATGAATGTTATTGATTATAGTTTGGTGGTTTTTTAAAAAATAGGTTTATAATAAATATTTGATAAATAAATAAATTTTGTACTTCAAAATAATTATTTAATTAATAAATATTTTTTAAATGGCATTTTGCTTTACATAATTACAAAAGATGATCAAGTGGCAATTTAGTGGAGAAAATATATTATATTTACCATTAGCATGAAAGTACTTAAAAATATATTACTGTATTCTTATATATATATATATTTATAGTTAGTTAGCTAATAGCTATTTATAATTTTAAAAAATAAAAAAAATTAAAGATATACAATGTTTATTCAGATTTAAAACATATAAATATATAACTTAAGCTAATAAAAAATAAAATAATACTCATTTACATTATAAAAATAATTTTATTATATTAAAAATATATACAAAATTTAGAAAAATATTCTGCAGCATAGCGTGGGTAAATACCTAGTATTTTTAAAAAATTAAAACTAGGCTTTTATCTCCTTTTTAAAGAAGTTTGAGTATATAAAACTACTTTGGTGACCGATGTGCATCTGGTTCCATGGCCCAATGGATAAGGCGCTGGTCTACGAAACCAGAGATTCTGGGTTCGATCCCCAGTGGAATCGGTTGGCGATATTTTTTTGAACTTTTTTGTTTTATCCGGCCCAAACATATTGTGATCCATCAGATTCAGAAATCAGAACGACGAGCGCCATGAAACAAGCTGCAGCCGCAAGCTAGTAAACAGAATTTAGGGGTTTTCTTCTATAAACCGAGCAAAGACAACAGATTTTATAAACCAATTTTGCTTGCCAAAGAAACCAAAAGTTGAATCGGAGTTTGAAGATTTTAGAAACTCCCCAACTCTCTCTATCTCTGGCTCTCCTATTTCCTCGCTTTGTTCGTTGGGTTCTTATCATTGGAGAGCATCCAAAAAGCTCCTACAAGCCGCAATTAGACTTATTTGTTATGAAACGAGGATTCTCCCAATCTCCCTCCAGCTCTGCTCCTCCTTCTTCATCCAGATTCAAATCCAATCCTGAAGGTTTCCTTCTTTCTACCTCTTCGTGGAAAAGAACGGCTTCCATAATCTGGGTTCTTCGCTTTTTATGTTGATTCGATTTGAATTCTACAAGGGTTTTCTTAGATTTCATTATTGGTCCCTGAAAGTTTTGCTCTTTATGGTTTTGGGTCTATCAAGCAAGCTTTCGTTATGATAGAGTGTAACTGTAGAAAAGATGACTTTGTTGTGGATTGTGTGTTTTGCTGTCTTGTTCGGTTTTAATTCAATTTTTTTTCAACAATTGTAATTGCTTGAAGCAACAATTGTAAAGCTTTAAAAGTCTGATTCTTTTTGGTTTTGACAACAGGTGATTCTCAGTTTCTTGAAGATGATACAACAAAGAACTTTGCCCGGAAGGTTGCTGATCATTACAGTCGAAGAACGAACCAGACTCTGGAAGAGAGAGAAGCTAGTCCCATCATTCATCTGAAGAAACTTAACAACTGGGTTAGGGTTTCCTCATAACATCTTCTCTCCATGAGGCTTATTGTGTTATGAATGTTAGTTTTGATTGCTCTTTTTTTTTCTTGCAAAACAGATTAAAAGTGTGTTGATCCAGCTTTATGCTCGTCCTGACGATGCTGTTCTTGACCTTGCCTGTGGGAAGGTTCTTGTCTTTCAAACAATCTTTTTTTGTTCACATGTCAATTGTTATTTCTCAAAAACTTGTTTCCAATGTTTTGCCTTTACATGTTCCAGGGTGGTGATTTAATCAAGTGGGATAAGGCAAGGATCGGGTACTATGTTGGAATAGATATAGCTGAAGGGTCGGTAAGTAGACTAGCTGAATAGTAGCTTCTTCTTTTTAGCAATTTTAGTATATCTATATCTGAGAATTGCTTCTATGTTTAACTGAATGACAGATTGAAGATTGTCGCACGCGTTATAATGGTGACGCAGACCATCACCAACGTCGTAAAAAGTTCAGTTTTCCCTCGCGTTTGTTATGTGGGGATTGTTTTGAGGTATGAATGAGAAAAGCTCCTCGACTAGTTTAGAAAACTCATTTGTTTTGCGATTGTGATTTCTGATTGTGGAACTGCGTTTTCAATGCTTCCAGGTTGAGTTAGACAAGATTCTTGAAGAGGATGCCCCTTTTGATATCTGCAGTTGCCAGGTTTTATTTTGTTTCAGTCACTTTTTTCTTCTTCTTTAAAGCTCTAGTTCTCGCTCAAGATTCAGTATCAATCTTGAATAACACATCTGGTTTTACTGCTCACGAGAATCTACTTCGGCTTTATAACTAGGTTCTGCCAAAAGTAGCTATTCCACTGACATATTGAAGTTTGTTATAAGTAGTATCTAATGTTACCAAGTCACTGTTTGATTGTAGTTTGCTATGCATTACTCATGGACTACTGAGGCGCGTGCACGACGAGCTTTGGCAAATGTCTCAGCTCTACTTCGTCCTGGAGGCGTCTTTATAGGAACAATGCCAGATGCCAATGTTATTATAAAAAAGCTCAGAGAAGGTTCTTATTTTTTCTTCTTCTTTGCTTAAAATTTGATCTTTTATCTATAAACATCAAGTTTTGCTTTACAGCTTCACACGGATTCTTCAGTGTGTCAATTTCAACTCATTGTAATAAAAAAAATGAAAGTTCTTATAGGAGTCCCTGCGAGTTCTCTTTAGTTGTTTCTTGGTTTTGGCACTAAAATGGTTTTCTTTGTTGTATACTGAATACGCAGCTGAAGGGTTGGAGATCGGTAATAGCGTATACTGGATTCGTTTTGGTGAAGAGCATTCCGAAAAGGTGATACTTCTTTTGTTACTCGAGTACCAAGATCCTTATAGCTTTCTCTTAATTGTCGTTTATAGTTTTCTCTTCCCCGATTCTGATGATGATTCTCGTTGTGTGGTTCAGAAGTTCAAATCTCGGAGCCCCTACGGTATCGAATACGTATTTCATCTTGAGGTACTTCATTTTTTTACAGATAGAGAGTAATTCACTTAGTAGTCTCTTCCGCAGAAACTGAAGCATTATAAAACAAGCTTTAGAGACTTTTGCTGTTATGAAGTAAAATGTAACATGGAAACGTTTATGGCAGGATGCTGTTGATTGTCCTGAATGGATTGTGCCCTTTAACGTCTTCAAGGCTTTAGCCGAAGAGGTAATTATCTTTCCTCCTCTAGATGTTCATGGACTTAGCTTTAAAAAACCTGGTTTTAACGTTGTCCCATGAACTTTTGAACAGTATGATTTAGAGTTGGTATTTGTGAAGAACTCACACGAGTTTGTGCATGAGTATATGAAAAAACCAGAGTTTGTAGACCTCATGAGAAGGCTTGGTGCTTTGGGTGATGGCAACCAAGATCAAAGTAAGTCTTTGTTTGATTCTCATGACCCCGTTTGATTCTAACCAAATGTGATAGAAACATTACTAAAGTCGACCAATTCTGTTTTCAGGCACATTATCAGCTGATGAATGGGAAGCTGCATATCTATACCTCTCTTTCGTCTTGAGGAAGGTTTGTCTCCTTTTCAACACCTTTTTGGTTTTCACCACTCTTTGCCCGCTTCACTGGAAACTTTTGTTTTTTTAACAGAGAGGAGAATCCGATGGAGTTCAAAGGAGAGGGCGGAGGAAGAATGGGAAGATGAACTTATCGAAAGACGATGTTTTGTATATCGATAGCTGAAGTGTAGAAGAGCGTCCCTTGTACACACACTATAGAGTGTCTCTAAGTCTCTGTTTTGGTCTCACTAGGCCCAATAATAAGATTAGTCGTCGAAGTCGAACACTTTGCGTTTTTCTCAAGTGTGTTAAGGCTTTAACAGAATATACCCATCAGGATGCTCAACATCGCACATCATCGTTTTGTATTATTATGTATTGAGATTATATCGACTTTGAACTTGAGAAAACTCAGAAAGATTCAATCTTTTGACTTTTGTTCTAATACAGTAATACGGAATCAACAGTCTTTTATAGAACAAGGACCATCAAGCTTTAAAGATCAAGCAAAAACTTAATCTCGACTTGTAGTTCTTGTTTTTTTTTTTTTTTTTTTTATCTCCTCATCTCAGTGTTCATTAATGGCATAAGGAGACGTCGTATTGCAGACTTGAAAGCATGTCCCTTTGCTTACAAAGATCGCGAGTGTACTTTTCTGAACAAAAACAGAATCGAGCATGTGATTTGCTTGGTTTTCTTCTTTTTGTTTGGAACTTTCTGCTTTGTGTCCACTGTATTTGCTTTAGTTTCAAACAGTTTAACTGTCTGATTGATCGATGCAGTGTGTTCTTCTTTTCAATCAATCTTGAAGACCCTCCGTTTCGCGAGAAGACTTCCAATTTCAAAGTTTCGAAACAACGTTTACATGATGAATTTGTACTTTTTTTTGTTTCTTATATGGTTTTTTTTTTTGTATAAAGCTGAAGAAAATAAATAAACAAATGGTTGTTTCTTAATTAAAAAAAAAACTTTTAATTTGTCGGTTCGAAGAAATCACTGGTGAACCAAGAACCTAGATCAAAACACATCTGCCTAACGGAGTCGGTAGATATATATAAGAATTGAATTACTCACTTATATACTACTAATCAAGATCATAACCACGTTTAATTATATTAATATTGCAAAAAATACGTTTAACCACATTTCTCTTTTGGAAAGTTCTTGTTTATGCAAAATTGCAAATATGATCTATATGAACAATTAATAATTCTTGAGTTTTTCTTCAACATTTGCACCATACCGACAACATCATTTGGCTTGTATCGGTCTCACTAACAACATCGTTTATCATGTTGCAAGCATTCGAAGTCTAATAACAAATAGTATAGCATTCTTTTTGGTACAAAAAGCCAAATATCTCTCTCTAAACGTAGGCAAACTATATAGTAGTTTAATAAGTTTATAGGTTAATCATTATGTGATAATCAAATGCACAAAGTCCAATAATTAATGTTATAAAAAACCAACGTTACTTTCTCTTTAAGATTATTCAATTGAGTATAATAAGCAAGCTTAGTCTCAAGAATATAATCAATCATGGCAGATCGAGAAAAGCAAAACAAAAAGTCGCTCCATTATTTGTTCTCTTCGTATTGTTATCATCAATCCTTTTTCCCTTTTTCCTTAACTAGAGTAAATAAATATTTTTTTTTTTGTAGATAAAATGTTTTACGAAATTCGTATATATATATATATATATATATTATGATGCAAAAATGAGGTATTGCTATCATGCGGCCACAACAACTTAATTTTATCTATCTTAAGCTATTATCAGTTGCCCACATATTGACGATTGTCCTCGTACTTTTGATTACATATAATTTAATTAATAAGCATGAAAACACTACTTATGCTATGTTTTCTTGCAACTTAAAATTCTGGTTATATCATCAACAAATAGTCCAGTGCTATACGATTAGGTATGTTAGAAGGTGGTTTATCGTCTGATTAACATCGTTTTTAAAAAAAAAATAGTGGTTATAGTCCAAATATGTATAATCATAATCAGCTACAAATTATTGGTAATATAGTTTTAAACGATTAATTCAAGATTGGGGTAACTAACTACCTTTTTATAAATAGTGAATTGAATAAGCAGTGAGCCCGAAAAATTAAGGTCGGGAGAATGTTCGGAGAGAGGTGTCCGGTATAGTTAGTTGTCCATATCACTTCTATGATATTTTTAAAATTTTAAAATTTATATTGTTGTTTTTATTGATAAGAAGATATTTTTTTTGGAAAGCACTAGTTGAAAATAAGTAAATTAAATATGTCAACTCCTAAAAAGGATATGTTCTTACATATTTATTTCTTTGTTGACTTGTAAGTTGTGTCCTGTCATGCTGTGATTTTATTTAAACGATCGCTTTATAGTTTTTTTAAACATTTTTCCACAAGGATAATCAATTGACACATTATTTACCCGAACTTCCGGAGAAGAAACTCAATCTTACTTAAACTTTTGTTCAAAAAAAAAAAACTCAATCTAACTTATGAGCCATGACAACTTCGTGACAGACCAAAAGATTTATGACAATATAATTAAAATCTGTGTTGCCAAATAGTAATTAAGTGTCATTTAAAATGAATCGCTGGTTGGTTTTAGTTAACATGAGTATCAGCGGTTTATAACCACTTTGTTATCAATCTAATTGATCATTATCGTTGTTCTTATACTAACTTCTCTTTTAACATCTTAGATTTATTATAAAAAAATGAATTTCGAGATATTTTTTCAAAAAATAAGAAGATAAACTGACCAATTAAATAAATAAAAAGTTAAAGTGAATGATATGTCAAATTAAACTGTAAATATCTCCTCCAATGTCACACACGTACAGTATTAAATATATAAACCATGCATTTGATTTCATCCGTATAGAGTCATAATCAAACAATATAGTATTATTTACAAAGGGATGAACAAGTTTTTGTAGATATGATGTTCAATTTTTTTGTTTTGTAGATATGTCAACCCCTATTTATACTAAAATAATAGAAATCGATTAATGAGCTCTAGAAAGAAGAATTATGGTGGTCTATATCTGTGGGGCTAGAACGGGTGGGAAAGTTGGTGACGATGAATACATTAATACGGTTTATCGATTAATTATCTACTGATTACTAATCTTTCCACTTAATTAAAATTTCATGACGTATTTTATAAATAAGATGTTATTTTAACGAATAACAGTATGTACAAATTCATATTTCTAATCAGAGTTACGTTTAACTAAAACCACATCAGTTATATATATATTTTTTTTGGTCAGGGATCAGTTATATTTTTATAATCATTGTTTACATAACTAAACAATATTTAAATATTTTTCAAAATATTATTTAAAATGAAAAGTGAAATCATAAAATTTTGAAAAATGGCTAAGCCGGGACATTATAAATGAGGGTTTAATTAGTATATATTATAAAAATTAAATATACGAATGAGAATGAGGTTGGGGTTTGTTTTTTCTGTACTAGTAACAAGAGATTACGTTAATTAATGTTGGATTGTTACGTTTTCCTTTAAACTAAAGAACAAGAATCATGAAATTCCAAGAGAAACACCTTTTTGATATATCTACCAACAAATCAGAACTAATATTGAATTATCCAAAGGTAGAAGTCATCAATCTAGATATGAACTCCACCACTAGCTGACCTAATATAACTTTTACATATTATTAATTTTGTATACATATGTAAAATATTTTAAAATGTATTTACAACATAATAATCAATGAATCATAACATTTGCGTGGGGGGGGGGGGGGGGGGGGGGGGGGAGATATGCTACTAGAATAAGCAAGTACGGCGGAGATATGATTGAAAGAAAGAAAAAACAAAACAAAAATAATAATGAAGCAATCGACGAATTAAGTGCGCAAGATTATAATTAAGAAATTAGTGTATTAATATCTTAAGGTAGTTGGAAGAATTAAGAAATTAATATTATATTAGAAAAGGGGTTTTGTCATGTTATGGCTTATATAAGACATATTAAGACAGACAACAATTCCATTTGATATGCCCAAGTGGAAGTCTTAGCTGTTTCTATTTCCTTCGGCTTTTTTTTTTCTTCTTCATCGTCTTAGTGCTTATGGGCGGCTTATAATACTACTATATAGTATATATACAACTATTACTTTACATATATGCATGCATATAGCATATAAATGCTTTGACATATCTACATCTATACACTAATACACATATATAATATATATACGCATCAGCATAAATGAACTATTCCCTCGTACATGCACTCACTACGATTTTTTTCGTAATAACAAATTAATTTATAACAACATACCAACACATAACTTAATTAAGAGCTAAGAGAATATACTTTTATGGCTGCTTTCCTCGTCAATCAGTGATTTAGTACCTATATAAAATGTGTTGTTAACTTGTTATTTTGGGTTATCAGATTTCAGCAAATTACATTAGCCCCCAAAAATATAGTAAGAAAGTCGCGAATGCTTTTGTTTCTATCCATAAGTTTCACGTCGTATATATGTAACAAACATTATCCGAGTGTCAATAAGTTTTTTTAAACGTTTCAATGAAAATCATGTTGTCGAAGTTTGATACTTTTATCTGTTACACAATATTTTCAAGCCAAAATATATACAATTTTCTAAGAAAATGATAGCACCAATGTTACGTATGTGAATATTATATACATGGATATATATATATATATATATATATATATATTAATACATATATATATGTGCGAGTCTATTATATTGCGAAATCATGGAGAGAGGAGAAACTAAAATTGGTGAAAGCAAAGATTGTGAGTTTTTCTTTGAATTAATAATTAACTTAAGCATATAACCTTTGACGTCAATATGAATGGTACGTACGACTTTGCTTCTTCGTGTCAAATATTTACTGTCAAGTTATACAAATGTGAATTACACACACATAATAATGCAGTTATATGTTAATTATATATATGTAAGAAATAACATAAAATATTGATAGATATTTGAAGACAAGCCACTTCACATGTGATGTGAGTTTAGCGTTTACTAGGAACAATACTTCGCAATATAGTCTAAATAATTTGCACCATGCCTCTCACTGAAATATTTTTATTTATTTATTTAAATTCGGTAATATTATGGTTTTGATTCATAATCATTATAAGTTTTATGTATTGCTCACGAAGTATTATTTTTAGTACAACATGAAACACAACTGCAAATTATATACCTACACATAAAGTATAACGGAAGTCAAAAGGAATAAAACACTAAAGCAAAACACTGAACGTGTAAACGATTAAATCACTCAGAGGTTGACTCCAAAAAAAGAAGAAGAATGGTGAGGTAAACGTCAAACTGAGGCGACAAGAATAGTTGAGAGCATAAGAGAGTGTGTGTGTGTACACAAATATTTTACAAACCAAAAAAACTATGACGGTCGAGATCTAATCAATTATATCCTTAGATCGATGGAGTAATGATGATGATTGTTTTGGACTACAAAACCATTTCTTGTATCTTATCACTTTCAACATTTATAAAATTATCGACTGTATTTCTATATAAAAACATGCATGAATTGTATTTTTATTATCTTAGCATATTAGTTTATATTTTGTAAAATCTAGCATCATGGCGTAACAGTAGTATACAAGAAGATTGCATTTTCTTATGTTTTGGATCCAAACTTTTTTTTAAACGAAAAGTTAATTTTAAAATCAAAATATCTACAAACTGATTCCAGATACTAAAAAACTTGTGAAACAAAGATTCAAAACTTCCACGATTCAAAACAAAGATTCAAAACTGATTCCAGATACATATTGTAGAATGTTATTAGTTTATATTTTTTTCTACAAAACATGGTGATGGAACATAAATTCACAAAATGATAAACGTGTAAACGTGTTGTGTAATAGAGTCCTTTAGTGGGTAGAACCGTAGAAGAATGTGGCAGGTCGAAGATATAGTACCATGCTCGTAAGAATTGTTTCTTTCTATTTTTTTTGTGTGTTGGATTTTGAGCTTTGGATTAAGAGGTATGAAGAGATTTGTAAACAATCACTAGCGCAATTTAATAAAATAAAGAAAACTCTAAATAAAAACGTATTCGTTTATATTACTTTATCTCTTCTAATTTTCTTTAAAAATTTCATCAAAATTTGTATCCTATTTCACTATAAAGATAAGGTTTACGAAATTTCTGATACCTCGGTTTTTTTTGTCGATAAGATATATTATATAACATATATACAAATGCATGATTTAGTAGTTTGAAACAAAACATGTGACTATCAAGATGAGTTGTGTATGAATGTGGGTCTTACACTTAGTAATGGAATTTATCCCAAGAAGAATAAAAAAAACAGCTTTGAATTCCATCTGGAAAGATTTGTAGATCAAAGACTAGAAAATTCAATGATTTTTCAGAAAATATATATTTTACAAAAAAGATGGAAACAGAAGTAGTTGACGGGATGATGGAAGGCCATGAGAGAGGCCGTGTGGGTTTGTCCCCGCGACAGTCTCTTTCTCACAGCTTTTCTTTGCTTTCTCAAATCCTCACTGTACAGTTTACATGTTCATCTTCTTCTCTGCGTTTTTTTTTTTTTTTTTGTCTTCTTTCATTACACCACACGCTTACGCCATTATGACGTCATTGCTCTACCTCAATCTTGCCCCTTCCGTAGTAATGTAAAAATGAAACCAATTTAAAAGTTTTTGGAGCGATTCTATACGTACGTTGCCGTGTTAGAACTATAACTAAAAATGGGTGTACCAACGGATATTGCTACACATTTTTGCTGTTGAATAGCAGTGTTCAATGACACAATCTGTTATATGATAATGCTTGAGACATAATCAAAATAAAGATCTCGAAGACAAAATTATTCCATTGTCGTCTATCGCTTTTTCTGATTAAGCAATGACACTATTTTGCATAGTGTGGTAGTTAGTGTAACAGTTTATGTTGTGAAACGTACATTAATGCAATTGGATTTTTTTAACTATTTCACTTGAAGCAAATTTATATGTGACGATCAAGATGAGTTGATTTAATTAGTGGTCTAATGAAAATTAGAGCAGAGTAGTACATTCAATTAGTTGTCACGAGTTCAAGTTTCATGGGTGCTACAAATTTCATGGACCATTTTCGTCAATAGACTTGTATATATCATCATTGTTTTATTATCTATGGTATATATTCGTGAGTTATACGGCGAACTAAACACTATTAAAAAATAATTATGGTTTTTTTTTTTAATCTTTCCACAATTTTAGATGAAGTTAAGTGGAAATCCAGACCAACTAATGATGAAAAATCAGAGAATGGATTGTGATTAGGGGTTAATGCCGCTCGAACCAACTATTTTCCATAAGGTGAAAATTGTTTTACAAAAATATTTCAATTAAAAAGAAAAAATAACCAACTAAATGGAATACAACCGTGGAACTCTTTATTTTCTCGAACGGCAATCATATGAGATACGTAATAATTAGTACTTGGATGGTACTAAACAGTAAGTAAATTCATTTCAGTACTGTGCCATCTCATAAGAGTAAAAATGAACACTTTAGTAAAAGAAAAGAAGTAAAATAAACTAAAACTAATTGGTGTGTAGGTATAACTGTTTGTTCTTGTATTGCAAATATTATTATTTTTGGTTGAAGTATTGTAAATACTTACTCAAATATTTCAATGGATAAACCGGGTAAGATGGACCAGTAACACGAACTAATTCAATGTCAATGAACAAATTCTTCAATTTTTTTTTAAATGATTTAGAATATGTGATTTTCTAGATAAGTACATGATCATGCAAACTGCAAATTATACCAATTCTGAATTTCTGATCTTCTTTAACAACAAAAAAAAAAAAATACCAATTTTGATCTCGGTTGTAAGAGAAACTGTGTAATATAAAGTGGTAACTTGGACACTGACTTTTTATAATCCAAATACAGATGCAAAAATTCACAACAATATTCAAAAAATTTGTGACATTATTTTTGTCGGGATCGTTGAGAATTGGAAATGAGAATTGAGAAGGTGCGTATAGAGACCAACGTTAGGCAAAAGGAAATGATTAGGGCGACGACCGGTGAAAAAAATTAAAATCGGATTTAATTATTAGTACAATTTTGTTAATAGTTATACTTTACAGTAATTTTAATAAGAAAAGATGCCCAAAAAGAAGAAGAGAAGTGTCACATTCGGGCTCTGACTCTGAGACGGAACAAGTGGGGTCCAGATGCTAAAGCACGCGCGCACGCCACGTGGAGCCCACTCGTTGACTTAGTGTGACCGGAAATAAAAATAACGGTGAAGGTCATAAGCCCAAAGGCCAAATGTTGAGAAAAATGTTTAAAATAGAATATCTCTGAGTGGTCTGTGACTCTGACTGTGACCGTGACTGTGACTCGCTCCTTCTAGTCCATCCTTGGTCTCTCCTCTCGCTTAAAATAAGTCAATTTCCGTTTCAACCTCTTTCTTCCATTTTTATTTCTTTTATATATTTTTTAAGAAAGTCAATTTGTATTTCCTGTGTTTTTACTTCTTAATATGTAAATCATTTGCTCATAAAACGCGTTGAATTTTGTTGTCTGTTTATATCCTCATAGAAAACAAGTTAACTCTTGATATTCTGTTATATTTTAGTCTCTGTTTCAGAAAAAATGTAATTTTAATACTTTATTTTTATTTCACAAAGAATGTCATTTTATATTTTTAATACAATTTTAAAATTAAATTTTAGTTTTATCCCTATTATCTTAGTTTACTAATTTGAGAAACTGTTTCAGTGTATTAGTAAATGACATTTATAAATTTTTCTTACTCTATGTGAATAATGTTTGAGAACATTCTTTGTGAAACGGAATTAGTATTACTTTTATAGAAATTAAATTACATGTATTTAAGACCAAACAACCATATAATGCTTAACCATCGTTTAATCTAAAACGAACCATTAATGTTTTAAATGAGCTGAAATATATGTAGTAGAAATCTTTTGGTCTAGTTTAGTGTTTTTTTACGCCAAACGGTTTGATTGTCGCAATATAAAAAGTATTACAGATTAATGGATAGAAATTTACTGTAAATCTCAACTGTAGTACAGAGAGAGACAGTGAGAGAGCGCTCCATATATTCACATGTGTTAACGTTAAAATTATGAATATGATGAATGTGAAACCGTTGATAAAATAATTTCTGTGGAGTATTTTTGTGGAAATCATGTACTGTAAGTCTGCAACTAGTTAGATCGGTTCACCGTAAATTGTAAGATCAATTATACTAGGAGAAAAAAATAATATATATAAATGATGTAAAACAAAGAAAAGAAATGACGGTCATTATGAATCTATACAACTCATCAAATGATACAGTAATATAAAAGGTGTATGTTTTAATAAGACTTGGTGAGCTAATTATACTATCATTTTCTATAGTAATTAAAAGGGAAACATACCAAAAAATGAAGGAAAGTAGGAGAAATGAAATACTAGTACAGTATTCTCTGAAGTGTAAACAATGGAAAAATAAACATATTTATTTTTCGAGAATAAAAAAAAAAGAAGAAGAGGAAGTTGGGTATGACGTGGGCAAAAGAGTCAGCGAGAGCCACCTGAAAAAATGTCAACCAAACATTAATCGGATGTCTTCATAAATAGTTAACGAAAGCCCTACCAGAAAATTAAGAAATATCCAATATAAATTGATAAATATTTATAACTATATAAGTATCTCTCTCGTGTGGATCCTCATCATCATTTCATGTGAAGCACAATCTGAGAGGACACAACAAATTTAGATCCATCATCGATCTCAGCAACATATATATATACACAGCGAGCAACCAAATTAAAAAAAAAAAAAAAGCCATGGGAGATCATCATGATTTTATCAATTCAGGAAGCTGGTGGAAAGTATCTTCTTCTTCCTCAACATCTACTTCATCTTCCATGAGAGCAAGCTCGATTGAATCTGGTGGTTCTGCTGTTTTCCATGATAAGCTTCATCATCATGATCATTCATTAGCTACTCATGATCATCAACTCCAGATGATTGGCTTAGGGCTTTCTTCACAATCACCTGTTGATCAATGGAACCAATCTCTCTTGTGAGTCTTCAAATGATGATTTCCTTTCTTTTATTTGTTTGTTTGTTTCAATCATAAGATTTATGCGTAAACATTAGCTTGTGTCTTTCTTTTTTTTCTTTGCGGGGAACAAAAGAAGAGGAGATAGTAAAGCGGAGACAAGCTTCGGAGTGATGCTTCAAGAGAATCTCAATTTAGATTCGACCTCAAACGCAAACGCTAACACAACGTCATCCACAACGTCTTACCAGCTGCAAGAATCCGATTCCTCTCACCACCAAGCTATGTGGCGAGATCCACAGATCAATAACAGCGATTACAAACCGCAGAATAACATGACGAGCAGCAATCGCGGGTTCTTCTTAGATCATCAGTTCAGCCCTCACGGGAGCTCAAGTACCGACAGTAGCACAGTGACGTGTCAAGGTTTCGCTTCTGACAACAACATGTACGCAGCGACAACAACAACTCCTAACTCCTCTTCATCAGCTATGTTTCATCATCAAGCATCTGGTTTTAATCTACCTGTCTCCTCCGATCAACAACAACCGTCGAGGAATCATCAGCAATCAAATCTTGGCTACTCACAGTACGGTTCATCCACCGGAAACTACGACCAGATGGCGACGGCGTTACCTTCGACTTGGTTTTTAAGATCTTCGCCGCCGAAACCACACAGTCCCTTGAGATTTTCTAACAACGCAACGTTTTGGAACCCTGCGGCTGCGGGAAACGCGGGTTTTCCTCCTCATGACGTGTCGTCGAACTTTTTCCCGGCGTTACAGCCACCGCAGATTCACCCGCCGAGTTTTGACGAACAACCAAAGGTATATAAATCTATAGCTGCATGATGAGTTCATATATATACTGTATATCTGAATATTTATATGTACTGTTTCGACGCAGAATATATCGGAGATTCGAGACTCGAGTAGCAGCGAAGTAAAGAGAGGTGGTGGAGATCAGCCGGCGGCGAAAAGGGCTAAGAGCGAAGCAGCGTCTCCGTCACCAGCTTTCAAGGTGCTTTGCTTTATTATTTTTTAAAAATATATTTATAAAAAGCTTCTTTTTTGGGGCTCTAATAAAAGCATCTTTATGCACATTGATATTTTATAATGGATTTAACTAAAACTTTCCATGGTTTTGCCAAATAAATAAAACGAATCTTTTTATCCATCAAAACAAAACCCTAATTTAAACGATACAATTAGGTTTATCATTTTCATAAAAAAACAAGGATAATGAATTTTTGACAACCCTAATCCGTACCAATCACAAAAAATAAGCAGGCTTGCTAAGTAGTATTATTTTTTACTAGAAAACAAAAAATTTCCCCCAAATTCTTGCATGATTACTATATTTCTTAAGTTTTCTTCTTAATTTTTTTGTTAAAATAGTGTTTTCTTGCTGAATTAGGTGAGGAAAGAGAAAATGGGGGACAGAATCGCTGCGCTCCAACAATTGGTTTCACCTTTCGGAAAGGTACTCTCTCTCTCTCTCTCTCTTTGTCTGCAATTTTTTGCTTTAGCTTTCAGAAAGCTGACGAGTGTGTATTAGTATATTTGTCTACTGTCATTATTACTTATCATATTATTATATCTTTATTTTGATATATATATATATGTAAAATCTATTTCATTTAGTACTAGCTATTATTTTTGGGGATGAATGAATTGTTAGATTTTGTTTTACTGAATCTCATGTGGTTTTGTGTCAGACTGACGCAGCCTCAGTGCTCTCTGAAGCCATTGAATACATTAAGTTCTTACACCAACAAGTTTCAGTAAGTTAGCCCATCCCTTAATTTTTAGTGCATAACATTTTTTGTTCTTTTGCTACAGTATTAGTTAGTTATTGTATTTCTACTGATGTACAAACCTGCAAATGATTATAATTCAGGCTCTGAGCAACCCATACATGAAAAGTGGAGCTTCTTTACAGCATCAACAGGTAGTTTTTTTTTTGTATATTAATTATTTATTCATTATACTGTCATTATTATACAATTGAATAAACGGACGGCTCTGGTTCGCATTCTTTATAACATGTATATATATTTAATGGTTGCTTCATCTTCAAGATTGGACAAAACATTATTCCAAGAAACAATGTAACAAGACGATTTTACAATAAGAAAAAAAAGATAATCATTTGAGACTTACTTTTGTTTATTAATGATGCAGAGTGATCATCATAACAAAGAGCTAGAAGTATCAGAAGAACCAGATCTTAGAAGTCGAGGTTTATGCTTAGTGCCAGTTTCGAGCACATTTCCAGTGACACACGATACTACAGTAGATTTTTGGACTCCTACATTTGGTGGGACTTTTAGATAGATCGATATATAGATGAAAAAAGTTATATTAGTTGTTGGTTGACGTATATTAAAACCTATATATACGTTGATTGCTGATAAAAAAAAATTACCGCATTTTAAACCAAGAGGAAAGATAAATTATTGGACAAGTGAAACGTGTTGTCCTTTTATATTTTTTAGATATATAACTAATTTTTAAAATAATATGTAATTGAAGAACTATGCACATCTACATGTAGAGGATATATAAGAGCTGTTGAGTTTCGACAAGTAATTTTCTTTTTACAAAATCAACTCTAAACATGTTTCAAAACATATCTAGAGAAGTCTTTTTTATGCTGTTGTTGTTGTGTAAGAAATTAGATATTAAGTTATATTCGTTAGAGAAGAATGTAGGGATCTATAACTATAATATAAGTAGGTTTCATTGATTCAGAGAGGGAGAAAGATGATTTAATTATGGCGAAAAGGAGCTTTTGTTTCTTTCTTTTTTTAGCTATTCTATTTTTTGAAAAGGAATAATTAGATTCCACGAATCAGAAAGAGTAATGTGTTGATATGCATATTTTGATTGGACAAGAGAAAAAAAAAATTTCGGACAGATATATTTTTATAACTTTGGAATAATGCTAGTGGAAGTAAGATGATGGTCCACAGCGGTTTTTATTTTTATATTTTGTCTCACAAAGTTTAATTTTTCTTTCTGAAATAAATAACATTTGTTAAAGGAAAAGAAAGCAATCCATGCTTCCAAAAAGCCCCTCTCCCTCCATTCATTACACTGAATTATACTGTGTAGAGAGAAAATAATTTTCTACATTGAGAGAAATTGGATGGAAAAACTCGGTCCTGCTGCTATTTTGTTTTCAACTACTATAGTGAGTTTAGATCACACCTTTTACTTCTTATATATAAATCTGAACCAGCACAGTGAGATATAGCGACATGAGATTAGATCACTGACCTATCATGCAACTCCAGTTCCCATCTTGATATAAATGTTATCCGTAAGAAAATATGGAAACTTTACAAAGAAGGAGACTATTGAAAAAAGTGACTTCTTTTGGAATATTATCGTGCGATTATCGTTTAACAAAACTACACTTGCGCATGCATAAGTTTATTTACATTAAAGTACTTCTGTTAGTAGAGAGTTAGTAATATATATATATATATATATATATAGTTTTAGTAATAAAGAAACTAAAGAAAGGGAGAACATTTTGGTTGCGACAATTCTTTTAAGAAGTTTTGTTTAGTTAACGTCTTATATTTTTTGTATGTTTGGAACAAATCAAGAACATCATCACTTCATTATCAATGTTCCTTCTTCAAAACATTCATATTTACATGTACCCTTTTTGTGTGTTTAACATATTTACATTGACTTTGAAATTTGAATACCCCGTTTTGCAAACAGGTCCGCTTCGTGCGTATATATAGTTTCATGTTTTTCCTTCTAAGTTTCCGAGTATCAATCCAACTTTTTGTAACCCCCGACCGCCCATTCTGGCGAGTCATTCTTCCCTCTGTCAGATTCGTGGGCTCCGCACCTGTCCGATAGTTGGTGCGTTATTTTTTTCCGAAGTCCAACCGACTTATTTACTGACTCTGCAATCACCACATGATCTTTTCCCGTGTTTTGGCCTCACTCACACGGTTTCAGAAATCACTTTCCGAAAGGTTACTCATCCTAGTCCTACTCCAGCTCAAGCACCCTTAACTGTGGAGTTCTTTCGGGACTAGTAACCGAAAAGATTAGTGCACTTTGGTGACATAAGTAGCCTAATCAATCTATTTAAACTTATTCAAATTGGTCGGACCCGGATCGTCACATTTTTATTCCTTGCACTCCCACTTTATAACATTGCCATCATTATAAGAAGTAAGAACATTACGTTACTCTACTCGTGTACTGTTACATCGATCTGGTCCATTACCATTCTTGCTTAATTAGTATCTGATATAAGTTTCATCCGCCCTGTTACATCCTAAGAGAAATTCATCTTCCTCTCTTTGACGCCAGAAGTGATAAAGGTAGTTTAATCTCCTCTGTGTACCGCAACTCCAATTACTAATTAACAACAAATAATAACGTCCAAATTAATACCAAAGATGAATAATCTGAAATCGTTGTTGATTATGATGATTTGGTATATTTTTCTTGTTCCTGTAGGATAGTGTTATAAAGGTTGTTGCTATTGGGCCAATACATATGCTAATGGGCCGTACAGTATTCTGGTGTGTGTTGTTGTTCCAACTCTATCCAATATTTTGTTCTTCATTTAGTATATTTTAAAATTTATCCAATAAAAAATCGATTAACAAAATTTTCTGAAATTCACACATTTTTGGTTTATTGCATAGTTCTAATTAAAAACACAATTTTTTTTAAAAAGAATTAGGTATTTACCTGCACTACGTTGCAGATATTTTTTCTAAATTTTATATACATATTTTTAATATAATAAAATTATTTTTATAATATAGATGAATATTATATTTATTTTTTATCAGCTTAATTTATGTATTTATATGTTTTAAATCTGAATAAACATTGTATATACTTAATTTTTTTAGTTTTCAAAATTATAATTTACTATCAAATTTTTTTTGGCTAACTAACTATAAATGTATATGTAAGAATAAAACAACACATTTTTAAGTACCTTCATGCCAATAACAAATGTAATCTATTTTCTCCACTAAATTACCACATGGTCCTCCTTTGTAATTATATAAAGCAAAATACCATTTAAAAAATTCTTAATTAATATGATTATTTTGAATTATAAAATTTATTTATTTATCAAATATATATTATAAATATATATTTCCAAACTATAATCAATAACATTCATATCAAAACCATTGCTGTTGCTTTAGAACTAATAAAAAATTATGTTTAAACTTTTGAAATATCAATTTAGTTGAAGTTAAATAATTAAATTTTGGTTACTGTAAACATATTGTAACTTGGAATTTTAGCACATAAATTTTTTATCTTCTTACAAAAATCGAGAAATCGTATTTCCATGAAAACAAAAATATTTCATTTTCCCACGAAATTGAAAAATTTCGTATTCCCACCAAAACAAAAAAAAATTCATATTTTCATCAAACCTGAAATTTCATTTTCCCACCAAAACAGAAAAATTGTATTTTTCTGCAAAAACAAAAAAAATCACAAATTCAGCGAGAATCTGTGTTTTCCTGCCAAAACCGAGAAATCAAGTTTTTTTACCAAAACCAAAAAATTTCATATTCCTTCAAAAACTAAAAAATTGTATTTTTCCATCAAAACTGAAAAATTCATTTTCCCGCGAAAATCGAGAAATCGTCTATTTCTGCAAAAAAAAAAACCATTTTTTCGTCAAACCAAAAATCATGCTTTGCTACCAAAATTGATAAACTACAATTTTCCGCGAAAACCAAAAATTGCATTATCTCCCGAGAAATTGCGTTTCACTCAAAACCTATGAAATCACGTTTTCCTGCGAAAACCAAAAAATCACATTATATATCAAAAACTGAAAATTTGCATTTTCCATCAAAACCGAGAAATTGCTTATTCCAGCCAAAACCGAGAAATTTTGTTTTTCCCATCAAACCCAGAAATTGTATTTTCTGCCAAAATTGTCAAATTGCATTTCCCATCAAAACCAAAAATTGCATTTTCTTGTCAAAACCAAGATATTTTGTTTTCGCCTCAAAATTCAATTTTTTTTACCAAAACCAAAAATTCACACTTTTCCGCCAAATCCGAAATTTGTTTTTTTCCGCCATAACCGAAAAATTATGTTTTCCTACCAAAACTGAAAATCACATTTTCCTACCGAAATCAAGAAATTCGCTATTCCCGCCAAAGCCAAAAAAATTTGTTCTTGGTAACCACCGGAATTGCTAATCTCCAAGCTGTTGTGGTCTTAGCTTCTCCTCATTTCCTTTCGACTTCCATTTTTTTTGTAAACTTTGAGCTTTTTAATGGGTCAGCAAAATAGTAAACTGATTTTATTATTGTGTTGATGATATGTATTATTGGTTCAAAATTTTTGCTGATGTGTGAGCTTCTTATAACATAAGGATTTTTGCGTTATTGTTATGGAAACATAGTTGATGCTGAGCATACACTTTCTTCAATCATATACGTCTCAGTCAAGCAAACAAATAGCTAGAATTTTTTATTTATTTGCTGTTAATTATTATTTGGGTTTGGGTATGACAAAAAATAAAATAATTTTTTTTTTTATCTGCTGTTATTTATTATTTGGGCTTGAGTTTGTTAAAAAATAAAACAAAGATTAACAAAAAAATATATTTGGATTTTTAGTGGGTTTAAGTTTAAAAATTAAAATAAGTAGATGAGTTGTATTAATAAAATATTTTGGTTGGTGAATTTGTTTTGCTGAGATGTTATTTTCAGAAAGTTCCAAAACGCTGAACTATCATTACCGGGAGAGATACTTGTGTTTTTGTTGTATTGATTATTATTATAATCCAATGGGAATTATATATTACAAACTGCATAGATTTATATATATCCAAATAATACATTTAAGATAAGAAATTTTTTCTAAATATCTTATCAAATTTCAATAATCTTTCTTGATAACTAGGTTATTAACTAGCGCTACGTGCAAGTCATATTAATAGTTTGATTTAATTCTTTTTAGTTACTATTTATAAAATTTTGAAAACTATAAAAGTATATAGAAATTTTATTTTATATAAGAGAATTAAAAATACAATTTGTAGTTTTCTTTAAATTTCCATTAAGTAAAATAATAACAATGACACCTATCAAATTATCCAACTTCCAAGTGTATACATGTTTGATTTATAGAAAAGTTTTCTTGCTAAGATCTTAGTGTTTTGTTTTGTTTACCATAGGATTTTGATATTTTCTTTCTTTAAGATTTATGTATTAAAATATTTAATTTTTGATTGAATATCTTATTGATGTTGTATACCTATGCATATATATATAATTCATGATTCATGTTGAATCATATTTAATTTTGTTAGAAAATTGCAATGATCCTACAAAGTCATTTTTTGCTTTTCCACCAGGTCTTCCACGTGTTTCAAAACTTATAGGATTAGTGGTGTGGAGTCTTCAAATTACTTTTCGCTGTTTTTATCTTTTGTGTGCTTTCTGTATATTTTGATTTGAATATTTTATCTAGTTATATTAGTCTGAGTTTGATTTATAACTCTGTCATATTTAATTATTTAAATATAATTTTATAAGGTGTTTCTCATGTGTTG